TGTTCTTGATGTTCTCCTTGCTCAGCTCCTCCTCGTCTCCCCTGCCTCCGGCCGGCAGAGCCACGGCGTTGTCGTACCCGGTGGAGCCTCCCCGGCCCTTGGGGTCCAGGAAGGAGGAGCCGCGGTAGCTGGGCACCAGGAACTTGCCGCTGAAGCTCTCGGGCTTGCCCGAGGCCACCAGCTGCTTGATGGTGAAGAGGAAGGGCACGCGCTCCCCCCCGGGGAGCTGGACGGTGACCGCGGCGTAGTCGATGCCGTCCTTCTCCTCGAACTTGACGGCGCCGTCGGGGGAGACCTCGAAGGGGCCCTCGATCTCGTCGAGGGTGTAGGTGAGGCGGGTCATCAGCTTCGTCCTCTGGAACTCGGCCGGGGCGTTCTTGCTCACCCCCTCGGCTTTGACGGTGAAGGAGGTGGGCTCCAGGCAGAACTTCTTGGCGTTGTACTTTCCGGGCTTGAAGGCGAAGGAGTCGACGCCGCCGTCGATGGTTGGGCACTGGTTGGCCGTGCCCGTGCCCTTCACCTCCATGTACGTCTTGCTCTGGATCTCGTCGTACGTCAGCCTCTTGGGCACGCCCTCTGCGCTCGCTCCCTTTCAAGAAGAACAAAAGGTCGGACAGGGAAGAGAAAAAGGAAGCAGAAGGACAAGAAGAAGAAGAAGCTTTTACCGCAACGACGAGGGCGGAGGTGGCCAACGCGAAACCGGCGAGCTTAGCAGCATCGGAGCACTTGTGGGCCAAATCACGGAGGTCCGACTGGAGAGAGCAGGTGAGCCTAGCGGTGGTCGGCTCGAACCCGAACGCCCTGGAGAGGTGAGAACCGGACCTCAACTGCTGCCCTCCGATGCTTCGGCTGGCGACGCCAACCTTGGATGGCTGCATGAGAGTGGCGGCCGCTTGAAGAGATGCTGCCATTCTTCTCTGCGTCCCTGCACTTGCCTTGTTCCGCTGCTACTTCTTCTGGTTGGTGGCTTAGCGTCCTCCTCCTTGGTAAGGGAGGGGTGAAGGTATAACGAGGGTGGGCGGATAAGATGATCGGATAAGAAGCCGTCTCTGATTGGTCGCTTGATGCTCTGTGCTCGGTTTCCACATTCATACGTGGCAATGTGGCCTGCCACGGCTTTGATACCGCTCGCGTTCTGTGGTGCTGATTTGGTCGCAGTAACGGATGGGCCCTCCTTTAAGATTGTGTTTTTATTCCCTGATGATTGATATTTTCCTTTCTTTTGAACTACTTGTTTTCTGATACCAGATTAATGATGACCAGACCAGAGATCAGAGGGTTGGAGTACAAGTTACCGAAATTATCCTATTAGGAAAGAGGTAATTATCATCTTATGCTTTTTGTCTTTAGACTTTCAATTAATAAAAAATATATAAGTTTTGATATGTTAAATGAATTAGATGTCGTACTTCATATTTGAGATTAAAATATATTTTGGGAGAAATATAAATGATAAAGAGTATATCGTCCATGTGTTCATCACGTGGTATTCTCTCAAAATAAATTGTATTCGGCACGTGATCGATCGAAATATGTTTTGGGGGAAATATAAATGATAAAAGAGTATGTCGTACTTCATATTCACCGCTTGTAGCATAATATTCCTGAAAGTAATTGTTGGTACAGTTTGTCTACGCATCACCACACCCCAACGAATCACGAATCGAAGCCAATCTTCTTCTAACGCGGGAGGGACCGAATCGTTTCCTGCAGTACGCCCCTAAACCTTCTTACGTCCAGCTTTATGCTCTGCCTGTCGAGGAAGACGGCCCACAGAGCGTTCCAACCTTGCCTGTGTATCGACTGAGGGTCCGTGAACACCGGATGGTCTCTCGGATACTGCTTCACCAGCGAGCTCTCTTCCTGCCTCACCTCGTACTCCGAGTACCTGATGCCCATGGCCGCGGTGGGATCCCCGTAGTCATGGTTGCAGGCGTACCTCAGCCCGCCCCATGGGATTATCTGGATCAGCGTCGCGTTTGCCGGCAGGAAGATCATGTTGGTCAGCCCCGCCCCGTGAACCCCCACCATCACGTCGCAGGAGTTGACGACCGCCGCGAACCGCGACAAGTTCTTCGTCTGCTCCGGCCCGGCGACCACGACTCTGTAACCCAACCTTCGAGCCACCGACACGACCGCCCTTTTGTTGGTCAACGACCGCGACCCCTTGCGAAGCATGAGCAGAAGCCTCGGCTTGCTGCTGCCGCCCACCCTCACCGACTTCCTCCTCAAAGAGAAGCAGGACCTCAGGAGCTCTCTGAAGTCGGCCATGGAGTAGTTGTTTGGGGCTTTGGCAGGGTCGATGACGAGCTCGCTGTGACTCATCAGCCCAACGTGAGCGTTCCGAAAGCAACGCACCCGGTCGTCTCGGTCCATATCGACGACCTCGTAGTTCGACAGCCGCTTCAGTATGGCCTCGTACCGGTTGATCCAACGAGGATTGAAGTTGGTCACCAGGAACTGGACCTCGCCGTGGTATCGGCGAGACGTGATGAAGAGAGGGATGAGGACGTCGCTGAAGTCGTGGAAGAAGTTCTTCCCCGAGAATCCACCTGTGGAGAAGACGACGGCAGGGACGGCGTGACGAGCGGTGCAGTTCGGGGTCTCCGAGGCTTCCGAAGCAACCCTGATGGGCAGCTCCCTGATGAGTTCCATGACGGGCGTTTCCCACTTCCGGGCGTATGGCTTGATCCGCCATGTCGTCTCCTCCGACGAGGCATCGGCGGACGTCTTCACCAAGAGAACGGAGGAGCCGAGCACCCTCACGTCACCATGCAGGGTGCAGGTGTCCGATCGGCGCTGAGAGAAGTCGCACCAAATCTTGCTGCTGGGAACTGCTGCGCTTCAGGGAAGAAGAAGAAGTCAGAATCTCGAGCACAGTGTGCAAGTGGGATTACGGACTTACCTGCTGCAGAGTAACGTGTGGCTTCTTCCTCAACTTTGGTGGCATTTGGTATTCGTATCACTGCAGCACTCTCTGCAGCAATCGAAAACAATGATTTCTCGGAAATTGCTCTGTAGATTGACCAAGAAATCAATTACCTATTTCTGTCTCATTGTGATTTTGCTGAAGGGGCGGCGGAGGAGGAGGAGGAGGAGGAGGAAGAGGTTGCACCATTTCTGCTGCGTCTGCGTGCGATTGGAGGTAAGACATCAAAATTGAAGGCCGAAGAAAAGAGAAAGAAAGGACTGACATGATACTGATTTCTTCTCTTCCGGTTGTGATTCTAAAGCATTTGGCATGTCCATCATTTTATCATCTGCAAGTAAGACAGAGAGAACAAGTAATTGCAGCGATTTAGTGTGCTATGAAGAGTATAAGATAAGATGTTGATTGCTACTCACACATAGCTCTCTTCTCTTCCTCACTACACAATATATTTCTTATTGAAATATTGATTTGATTGATCATTATTTCTGAAACGGAAATCAAAATCTCTTATGAACAGATTTAAAAATATATTAATTTTTATTTTTTTGATAAATTACTATTTTATAGGTAATTTGACTCCATACGCAGTAATTACGACTGCTGCTCTGCCGTCGTAATCTCCTCCCATTGCTCGAGCATCTTACTCAGCTGTTCATGAGTTGACCCTATCAGTAATGTGTCCTCTTCATTTTGGTTGAACCGAAGCTTCAATAAGAAGATAAACCGATGAATGGATTGGGATGCAGTCACATTCCAGCAGAGGCCGAAATGGTCACGCCACCAGTGGGGCATTCATATGCAACTCTCTCTCTCTCTCTTCGGAGGTGCAGCCAAAAGAAGGGTTGGCATGTTACAACTAGTTTACTGTGATCGTATTTGTTTGGTTTCTACGTCTACCTCTGATTTCTAATCTCATATCTCAGCTCCATTATACTGTGCCACAGTTTGCTAAGGGCGAAAGAAAGAAGGATTTCTTGTTGCACTCGAGATTAACAAGAACTCTAAAATACTACAGCATAAACAGCTCGCTTACCATGGTCATCTGAACTGCTTGTCTTCTCTTCGACCACTTCGATTCGTATACTCGATCTCACGGAGACCTGCAAACTCACTACAAGCAGAGAGACGAGATGGCCGGCGACCGTGAGAACTTCGATTCAGGCCGGCTGAAGAGGAGCGTATGTGCGTGCAGGAGACTTACGGAGGGAGGAAGGATCCAACCGCGGCTTCAGCACGACCAGAAAGAAGAAGGGAAGCAGCAGGAACCCCAGCAGCGAAAGTTGCATAAGCTTCCGAGGTCGATGAACCAAGCAAGCCATGGTCTTCTTATCTTCTCCTCCGCCACCAGTACCTCTCCGAGGGCGATGGCGATATGGTGGAGAGGGAGGATGGTATAGCATTCGGCATGCGTATGTGTGGGTGGCGAACAAGAATATGTCTTCTTGGTCTTTCCATTCCATCCATGCCACCAAAGGGGATGTTGACGTTCCAATTGCCACCTCATTTGTCCCCCCACTGATGTAGAAGACGCTGCTTGTGTTGGTGGTCTGTCTCTGTAAACCTCTTCTTCCTTTTTAGCTTTGCTTTCCTTCTCCTTCGATGCCTCTCTTCGGCGACGCATAAATAATGGAGGAAAGTAGGAACAGTCCAGAAAGAAACCAACGTCAACCGAGTCGAATTCCATTGCTACTTTCTTGTATCGTCAGGCTTTGATCCCAAAGGGCAAGTGTTGGATAGTGGGTGACCAGTTAACAGCAAGACGAAGATGAAATCACTGCATATCCTTATCCGGTTGTCTTTGTTGGGTCACCTGAGAAGACGAATCATACAAGGAAGAGCGTTCCCCATAATTTCCTGGGACGGACGGACGACCTCCAATTACTTCCGCACCGGTGGTTCTGTGGCTGGTGAAAGCAGTTGGGTGATGTCCTCCTGCTTGTGAGAGCTACCGAATGCATACGGATCGAGAGGACGACAATAAATGATTAGGTCAGGGAAGCACAACAGGCAACCTGTAATGGCATCGGATGATGGTCACATTAGACCTGTCTCAGGTAATTCTCTGTCTTGAACAGACAGTATTCTCATGATAGTATGTCAACAGTAAATGATCCATAATCTCATTCTCCTAATATAATAATACTTATGATACAGTTGAGGGCGAAGAAGAAGCTGATCTTTCTTCAAGTAAATGATGATTCTCAAACTCATGGACTGTGTCTTCACTAGCAGCTCAAAATGCACTTGATAGAATTGGCTTTACTGTTCTAACGGCAATAGAGACAGAAAGAACAAAATGGTTTCGATACTGTTCAGAATCCCCACTCACCAACTCAAACCTAACTCTCATTGCTATTTAACATATCCATAGGAAATAATGCAACTCTAATACCCCTACAAGGCATTGTAATGGATGAATGGAAGCGGAAGTCAAGGCTATCAAGACGAAGTTGATAAATTAATTTAACAATGAATTCTATTGATAGTAGTATACTCATCGGATCCTTATAAGTCAATTTCAATCTTGTTAACTTTCAATATGAAATTAATTGGGGGCATGACTAATAACTTCATTTGATTCAAATAACTGATCAAAATAGTTAAGCTGGAATTAATACTACTATTCGTCGTCTCGTATCTGTATTCATTTTCTTTCACGATTAGTAGATATATCTCTATGACACTCTTTCGAGTCTACCTTTATTCTAATTGATGCTTGATTTTTGGTAGCTAAGTTTCTCTGGACTCATTGTCGCTTTCTCGCTCATTTCGACCCCCTATTTTAATATCTCTGTGTTCTCGATATCTTCCTTTTAGAAAGATAGACTAAACGGTGTCACAGCACAGAGCCCGCCCGGCGATCCGACATAGTCGTCACTCAGTCTCTCTCGGCTCGGCGACGATCTGCGGGAGAGGAAAAGAAGAAGATCTTAGGACGTATTTGTTGCTACAACCACCGTGAGTTCTCTCGGATACACCGTTAGATCTTGATCGAACGCATGGAGGCGAACGATGTCGTGGAGGATGGAAAGGGTGATTTAGTCGATTCGGACTTGTTTGGGCTTAATGATGGAAAGTCTCTCTCTCCTTTCCTCGCCACTACCAAACCCTAGTTTTTGTGGGATGTGTTTGGTGTTGATCTACTGTTGATAGTAATAGGAATAGGTGAAGGTGAATAGAGGAGCGGCAATGGTGTGGGAAGGAGATCGGGGAGCTTCGGGGGGTGCGGAGGATGATCTGCCCATCTTTAACGCTGAAAACCTCCAGAGCAACGTTAAGTCCATCTATTACAGGTGACCCTCTCGAATCCCTTCGCGGCCATGCTTGCTCCCGTGGATCCTCCGGGTCTTCGGAAGACCGATGCTTTGTATGAGCGCCAGATGTTTGTTCTTTTTCCCCTTAATTATTCGGCATTCTTTGTGCTTTCTTGCGCCGTAGTAGAAGTCAGCGACGTAGGCTGTGGTGTCAAAATTGGAGCTGTGTCCCGAATGGTGGTAGAAAATTCATGAATGTGATGGCAAACCTTTAGATCGGGTTTCTTGAGAAGTTGTGCATAATTAGTAGATACTATGCAGCTTCCAATTGTTTGTGAACGTAAAAAAGAAAAATTAATCAGCAAAACTTGTAGAAGAAGTAGATGTAAGTAGTGTCTTACTGTACTGATATGTTTTTATCATTAATATGTGGTGTTTGAAAGACTAGAAACTTTTGAAGCAGACTGATGACTGAAAGCCTGGCTGTCTCAAGTGCAAATTCTACAAAATTATTCGTTTGGTTTCTTTTACTTTGGCCATGTTGTCTATCTGAACATATTGCCAATGCACATAAAACCTGCCAACGAGCGCCTTTGGCGATGGCAAAGGAGAAAATCTATTTTGTCCTGATGCAAGTCTAGATGCAGTTTACTTTGTGCACCGTATTGTTCACCATGCAATAAGATAATTAGTGGACTGAGCTCTTTTACATTTCTTCTGCAGTCGAACCTTCTTATCTATCATTGGTGGAGTGATTGCTGGAATATGGGGATTTACGGGCTTCACAGGCTTCATCTTTTATTTCTTAGTGATGGCAGCTGCTTCTTTCGGTCTTGCAACTCAAGCAAAATTTTCTGTCTGTACATACTTCGATTCTTGGAACAGGATTTTTCTTGATGGGATTTTTGGTGGCCTCATGGTATGCTTCTATAAAATGTCATTAGTCTTAGTGTTTCCTTCTTTTCTAATTTCTTGCTCTTAATAGCTATTAGAATATGTGAACCGTTTGTTGCCCCAAGCTAGGTATATTGTTTCATTGTGAGTTTTAAAATTACATCCAAGTTTGATTCTGACATCTTAATGGTAGACATGTCTTTTGCTCCAAAAGATCATCTATTGGGCCTCATGACATGAATGTATCCAGTTAGTAATATCTGAAGTACCATAGAGGTCAACAAGGTATATGGTGGCTTTTACTCTTGACTCAATATGTTAGTGGTGCCAATTCCATGTTACCTTTGAGTTTGGAAAATTAGGGACTTCAAGCTTTACAAATTAATGCCCATGTAAGAACTTAACTCCTGTTTAGCTGTGAATCTGTTTCTGGACCATGATGTACTAAAACAGCTCTTCTAAATTTATGAGAAAAAGGTCCTTAATACAATTTACCGTGATATACTTTTGTTGTTAACAAAAAAATCATTAACCACATATGTTTGCTCCACCAAGATTTATAATATATTGTGGTACACGCTACACATTACCAGTCATGAGATGCTGCTACAAGCTTTGTTTTGCTTAGTGTGTTTTTGAATTCATGTCATGGAAGGCAAAACTCTTTTCCCTTGTAAAATTTGTTTTCTGATGTTTGTATGATAAGAAAACCAACAACTCCGAAAAATGGTTTTCCAGAATTTCAGCAAAAGTTAGTGGTTACTTACTTCATTGTATGAAACGGCAGAAAGCAATAGATAAGCAAAAGAGTGCAAAATTAGACATTAAAATGAAAGCTGAATATAAATTCTTAAAATTTGCTTGCAACATCGCATAATCATAGGATAACAATAAGCTGTTACTACAAAGTCTTAGTCATCCATCGTATATGATCCTTGTGGTGTCCTACCTGCCTTCACTAGAGGTTTCAACCAAGGGCCTACTTTGCAAGTTGGAAAGCAATTATATTTTAATATGACTGATGTTGTAAATAAGCATTGATGTCTGGACTTGGTAAGGCGGTAATGCCCTACCATGAGCATAGCAAGCAAAGGCATCTTTCTTCCACTGGTGGGCACGGGATGAAGGGCAAGGGTGGGAGAGTTGAATACTAACTCTAGGTTACCAGCATAGTGGAAGGATGGTGTCCATCGAAAAAGGGAATGGTAAAGTTGAAGTAGCAAGGAAGTGATGTCCCGATGCTTGTCATAATTGACAGGAAAAATAGAAATATACCAAGTCCATCTCTTGACATGTTACAAGTCTAAATCTCAAACATTTGGCACCTATTTAGTTAGTCATGGTTGTCTTTCTTTTTCTTTGTCCTCCCAGCCTGACCTAGGATAGAGAAGACAGCTGACTCAAGAGTCATAAGGAGGTTTCAGTGACATCATCTGTAAATAAGCCTCAACTGTCATGACCTGGCCAGGCTAGCCCAAGTTGATGAGATTGCTCACCTGGTCGATAGTATAGACTAACTCTCAGTCTAACCTACGTTGATGAGATTGCTTGCCTGGTCAAGAGTTTAGACCAAGTCTCAGGCTAGCCTAAGTTGTTGAGATTGCTTGCCTAGCCGAAGTTTAGACTAAATTTCAGACTGGCCTAAGTTGATACTAGCGTAGTTGAAAGTTTAGACTAAGTCTCAGATTGCTGTTTTTCGATTTTGTTTAGCATGCAACCTTTTGTTGTCTAGGTAATGGTTCTGGTATTAGATTCTAAGAGTTTTCATGCTTCTAAATTGTTATTTGCACATGCTTTATTTTTCTCCCAATTTCAATTTGCTTGCCATGTCTTAATATCTGTTCCTTTTTGTATTCTCCCTCTTCAGTATTGTGGTGTTTTACTAACATATATGTTCTAAATGTATTTGCAGTCTTTCGTGCTGTTCTGGACGTATCCTCTGGTCCGTAAAAAGTTTGTAGTAAACTGTTTCTAGTGCATTTAAAAATTGGCAATCTTTTCTGAAAATTTGGTGCCTGCTATCGCATATCTTACTGTCATTATCTTATTCTGGACATCATTTATGTGAAAAAACAATAAACATGCGTGCCTCAGTTTTACGCCATATTTCCTTTTGTCATGTAACTCCATCTCTCTCTAGCATGCCCACTGATGCACAAGACACCTCGTTTGATGATAAATCGATTATTCATGGGCACTTAGCATCATCACTTCTATTGATCTGGTGTCAACTGGCCTTGAAAATTCAAGATGTAAACTAATCAAAGGATAATATTTGAGTTTGAAGGGGAACAACATGTAGGTAATTGCACAAGCTTAACCTTCCAGAGTAAATACTTACTGCAGCTTTTTTGGGTTTGCCATCATATATGGAGATGCAAATGAATCTCTTAGCCCAAATCATGTATGTTGTGATTCTGAATTAGACAAACGTTTTGACGTTTGCTTTTTCAACCATGTGATAATATTCATTAGTCCAACCTGAAGTTTGCTTCCACCCTGTAATTTGTTTACGGGAACTTTTTTGGCTCTTATCAAAAAATTATTTACCTGGACTACACATAACATTTTATCTTGTGTTTCTTGTTCTGCTACCAAATTGCAAGCTTACTTGGAGATACCGACATATCATGTGCACTGCTGTCCTCGACTTTGTGAAGTTCAACCTTGACACATCCAGATTTGCTTATGACATCGTTCATATTTTTTGAAGAAGATGACATGCTGGTGACAACAAGACGGTGCTTTGGAGCATTCAAGGATGTGCCAAAGGCCAATTACTTGAAAGCTAGCTTCACCATTCTCAGCTTCTTGTGAGGTGCAAACATTTGTATTATTTGGTATTTGATACATATTTGGTTTTTTGGGTTACCTAATGCTCAATTTACGGACGACCAAAATCCTTGTTGCTCTGTATTTGGTGAATCAAATCATTGATTCTGCTGCCTGCCTGTTTAATTTAATGGACTTGGTTTTTGATTCTGCCTCATGCCATCTCTAAAGCACAGCCTTTAATTTTATTTTTATATCGTGATTACTCCTGGAATAACACTGTTTAAATTCTTTTTGATACGCATGACAGTTTCGTCTGTTTTTTGGTTTGGTGGATGCATATAATACAAGGCTCATGGAACCACAGCATGCCAAAAACCCTAACCAACATCTTGACAATGATGTGATTGGTGAAGACGATGATGGCGGTGGTGGATGCCAAAAACCCTAACCAACATCTTGACAATGATGTGATTGGTGAAGACGATGATGGCGGTGGTGGACAACTCCTGTAGTAGAAAGGAAACCAACAACTCCTGTAGTATAAAGGAAACCAAGGAAGTATCGGTTTCAGTGGCCGAGGTGCAGGCAGTGTGTTGTTCGGTTTAGAGTAGTATCCGTCTTAGGGAGTCCCTGGTGGTGGAGGGTAATAACCTCACGTAGGCTGCTCTGAGGGAGGCCGGCAAGGGTAAGGTAGTTCATGACCGACATGGGTGACTGAAGGGCACACTCCGACGGAGAATGATAGGAGAAGCTCAACCCAAGACGGCTCGAGAACAGCACCAACAAGAGAAGGCTAGAGATGATGTAGGAACGCATCGCGTCGAACATAGAAGAAAGGTCTGCATCCACCCACTCGGGAAACATACCTCCCTTCAAATATGCACTCGTAAGTTTGTGCAGGAAAGACAACAGAATACAAGAAGAAAGCGCGGTCATGCCTCCACACACATCACAGAGAGAACAGAAGGAAGCAAAAACGTTCATGTCTGTGCAACCACACAAACTTCTTCTGTTCTTAGGTAACAACCAGCACGGAAAGATGATCAGGAATTCGTAACATGGAGGAGACAAATGGTGGGTGGATCACAAAAACAACATATCGGGGAACACCCATTCTGCACTAAGATGACCTCACATCAAGCGGAAATTTGATCCTCGATCTTGGGGGTGCTTTTTTCCATTTTCTTTTTGGATTCCAGGATATATTTCCAACCGCGCTTATTAACCCCACTTAACTTCACAGGAGCATCAGCAGCCGGTAAGCCTGCAAATTTTGCTAATTGATGAAAACAGGTACATTCAAAGGATCAAGGATGCACATCATCTTAACTTCAAAATTCAAATGAGCACCAGACTAGATCATGGTGATGTGCCAATACCATTAAATAGTGCCTCTGTGAAACCACAGAAGGTATGCGACAGAATCGCACGCCGTATTAACCACCAAAAGAGAAAAGGCTCAGTGAAATATACCATTTTGCAGAAAAAATATAGCAAACAAAGCTTCATCCCTACCTTCGGATATCTTAGAAGACGAAGTACCAAGTAAGTTTACGACTTTTAAGTTCTCACTTAAAGATAGAGATGCTATTACTATGAGTTTGCCTTCTTGCAATTATAAAGATTTTACTTGGGATGAAGGTAGAACTTCAGAAATAATTAAAACCAGAATTAGAATCACGTTAAAAACCCTGCCTCTTTAGGCGGCTCAAATATTATGTTCTTCGTGAAATTCAACAAAAGAAACCTGACTCATTGGATTCGGAAAACTTTTTGAAAAAAAAAAAAGAATAACAAGGCGAACTTTTATGCATTATAGTATGCAACTAATGACACTGGTTATGAGTTATTAACTTTATGAAAGCATAAGCGAACAATGAAATGTGAAGCAATTAAAATTAGAAACCTTAGTGAAAACAATTCTAACACCTGTCCTACGGGATGCCAGACATCGACAGGAATCGTCCAATGGCTACGTCAACATCAAATGTAACTTGATGAACCCAAATGCATTTTCTGTCTTAACTCATTTTTTTTTAAAACAAATACATATAAGTTAAAATCTTTGAGTTTGGGCTTTAACTATGGAAACTACAATTTTAGGAAGATTTTGGTGTAAGCGACGATGAGATTACAATAAAGCCAAAAATGGTCAAATCCGCTATCATTCGTGATTCAATTAGTTCCTGCATGTAATCCGGTATGGCCTAACTAACAATACCTCCCGGTTTGAGGAAGACGAATATACGTTTCAAATCCAAACAAGATAGACTTCATAAGCTACTTAAATTTCTCACAGAAGCGTCTTCGAATTAATCTAAGCAAAAAAAAGCAAGAGATTTTAGTCCAAAAATACAGATATTCTTTATGGCTTTCAGATGTAAGCCACATCTTGAAATGATAACTTTTAGAATCACTTACTGCCTGGGATGTCACTCCGAACTTATATCACAAAATAGGTACAATTTCATTTTTGTCCAAGAACAAATGAAAGAATTATGCCCAAGCGCTTCATCGATCTTCTTTAACATTTCCCAAAATCTTAATCTTACATAGAACATGCAATGAGGGGGAAAATTGCTAAATCCTACATTTCTAATTCTTCCTAAACCATTCAACCCTAAATTCTAAACTAGCCTACAGACCTCCTTAGTATCCAATGTCTTTGTACGTTTAAATCCTTAAGAACAACTATGATCATGGACCAAAAAATTACCAGTCACAAAGAAACAAAAGGTCCATAAATAGGTATGCTGTGGTGCTTGATGAACAAAGCAGGCTTTTTTCCTTATGTTCCTATTGTTATCTGCTGTTTTTGTATAGCTTGCTTTCCAGGACTGAAATCACAGGACGAGGTCAGTTGACGATTCTTCGCTCCCTACTCGGATGACAGATATAAAAATGGCATTTTTCGAGCGAAAATTGTAACAAGAACTTTTCACCGGAGGAAGAAGCACTATGATTCTCCAAGAATGTATGGAGAAAGACAACATGGAATTAGAAGACGATGAAACAATTCGAGCAGCAAGAATAATACGAACTCACCGGCCTTGTACCTGATTCCCCACGCTTTGCCATGCCGCCCATCCTGTCAAGAATCAATCAAGAGAGAAGCAAAGGAACAAATAAGAAAACAACGATAACAACAACGAATGCAAGAGGAAAAGGGAAACGACAAAGGGGAGGAAGAGGGCGTCGAGTGGGGAAGACAGGAAGGAGACCACCTTGTATAAGTTGATTTTAGTGATCTCGTAGCAGACGTCCCTCCAGTGGGTCTTGGCCATCTTGTATCCGATTCCCCAGTCAGGCAGGAACTGCGCTACCTCGAAGAGGTTCTTCTTCTTCTTCCGCTTCGGCCGCTTCTCGGCCTCCTCCGCGCCCGACGGGGGCAAAGAAGCTGCGCCGAGCGATCTTATGGCATCAAACGATCGGAGGAGGAATCCAACACCTCGGCTCACCGGTGCTCTGTGCTTCAACAGCGCCGCCGCCATTGGATCGACCGCCGCCGCCGCCGCCGCCTCTCTTCTTCCGCTCCACTCGCAAGGCGCAGAGCGATCGAGATACGTAAGGCGAAGGAGGGAAGGATTTGGGTCACGATAGATGACCGGACTTGGCCCGATCCGGTCCGGTCCGGTCCGGATGGCCCAATTAATAGACGAATCGGTCTGGTTCGACTTGCTAAAGCTACCATTTGGGGCGGTCTGCTCTAAGTCGAGCCTTTTGCATGTATCGGTCCAAAGCCTAACCACATATAGCCTGCACACAATAAATGCCAACAAAAGCAGAAAGGGAAGGATGGGTAGGTGAGACCACGAGCCAGTGCTACGGTCATATGGGTCGGTGATAGCGAGAGGACTCCATGGCGGAGCCCGTTCTTGCTTTTGGGTTCAAGTTCGAATGGATCCAATCTCACAGCCATGGTTGGGGATGGTCCACCGTCTACCTCTTTCCTGTGCCCGCGTTCACGCTCTGTTCCGGTGAGGCATGCGCAGTGGCGTCCACCTATTTGTCCTCTCCTATTTGTATGCTTTAATGTTGCCCATGAATCCCTTCTACAGCTCCATCAATCTCACACACTCCTTTAGAGTCGCTGCCCATCACAGGATTGAGCGGGCAATCTCATGCCTATATATACTGCAAATGCACTGTCAATCCAGTAACCAGTTCTTGGACGAGTGGCAGTGTTGTCTGCTACCCTTCTTCTTGGGTGTTTTCTAGATCAGTGGCATGAAAGTTGTGGTGCAGGAGAACTGCATTTGTTCTTCGGGTCTTAAAACCAATGCTATTCGCTTTTTCTGCATCCAAACACTGATTCAAACCAAAAGATGTCATGAAGGAGTCCCATCCTTCTATCGAAACTGTCATCTTTGTTCTTGCAGTTTCTCCCATCTGAATCGTAATGAGGAAACCTGTTGCGAACACAGCTGTTTCGGTGCTCGTGTTCTTCTTGATTAGCTTGCTCGTCACATCTGAGGTAGATGCTGTCTCAGCTCCGATGGAGGAAACGGAACGAGAAGCTCTGTATTTGGCCATTCAAGGATTCGTCGGGAGGCATTGGGATGGGCGGAATCTGTATCCTGATCCTTGCGGATGGACTCCGATACAGGTCATTAATGGATTATTCTCTATTTGATCTCCAATTTTTTGGATAATTTTCCTGCATATAGATTTCAAGCTCACGTTTGACTTCGTTCTCGCCTGAATTCTCGAACGCAGGGGGTGTCATGCGACGTTTTCGAAGGCTTGTGGTACGTCACCGTCGTCAACATCGGACCGGTTCTTGACAACTCTCTCGAATGCTCTCAGGAAGCAGCGTTCAGTCCCCAACTCTTTGAGCTGAAACGTTTGAGAAGCCTCTCCTTCTTCAGATGCTTCACTTCTCCAAGCCAAACCACCACCCTGTCTCAGGATTGGCGAAAGCTATCTGGAAGCTTGGAGACACTGGAGTTCAGATCAAACGATGGTCTCACAGGAGCAATTCCCGTCGATCTTGCTCTGCTCTCGAATCTCCAATCTCTTGTACTGGTAGAGAATTCATTGACGGGCGAGCTGCCTCGAGAGATGGGGAACTTGGTCCGCCTGAAGAGAATGTCGCTCGCGCGGAATCGGCTCTCTGGCCAACTCCCGGCTTCCTTGGGCAACAACTTGGCTGAGCTTTTGATCCTGGACTTGAGCGGCAACTCCCTGAGTGGTTCTCTTCCGTGTTCAATCGGTGGCATGAGTTCACTCCTAAAGCTTGACTTGAGCAACAATCACCTGAACGGAGAGCTCCCATCGGAGCTCGGGAAGCTGAAGAATCTCACACTTCTGGACCTGAGAAACAACAGTCTTTCTGGGATGACACGGTCCCTCGGAGGCATGGTGTCGCTCCGGTACATGCTTCTCTCCAACAATCCATTGGGTGGGAACCTAATGCAACTCGGGTTGCGGAATCTGAGGAGTTTGACCACCTTGGACCTTTCTAACACTGGCTTCATCGGTGGAATTCCAGAATACATTACGGACTTGAGAAGGTTGAGATTTATCGCCTTGGATAACAATAATCTCACAGGCAGCGTCTCCCAAAAGTTCCAAGAACTATCTGGTCTTGCTGCTCTTTACCTGAACGACAACAACCTGACAGGAGAGCTCGAGTTCTCGGACGAGTTCTACAGGAGGATGGGAAGCAGGTTTGCTGCTTGGAACAATCCAAACCTTTGCTGCAGATTTCAGGACAGTGGGCAGGTCCTTCGGGGGGTTCAGCGATGCAAGAACTAGGCAATCCCAAGTTTCCACTTGGTGTGTAAGGCGATCTTTGCTTAACTGTGTTGTTCTGTTCAACACTTCTGAAGGTCCTAAATCATAGAGTTCTTAGCAGAAAAATCCTCTGTTCTTGTAACAGAGGATCAGAGCAAATGCACCAAAGTCTTTTCCTGGACTTGCTTGGCAAGTGGTGGAGCTATCATGAACACTGTGCACGCATCACTTCCAAGTTCCATCCATGCATCATCCACTTTGACCAACGATGCTCTCGCCTCCCACTCATGTATGTGAGCCTTGACCACGACAAAGGACAATTCACGGTGTCTAGCAATACTGCAAGAGACAGATAATAGCAAAGAAGTAGGAACTGTGTTAATGCTGAGTGTAACACATTCGTTTAGGAATGTCGGTAATCGATCCACATCGCCAAACGTTGTTAGATTCTGCCACTCTGCAACATATCGACGTTACTTTGTGTAGTCGTGAAGGATATACGGAGGAGAAAAGATCACGACGACGAAGAAGAAGAAGAAGAAGCATGAGACCAGGTTCTATAGTTAGTCTGCTAAAACCACCCCTCCACAGGGCAGAAGAGGAAGGTGACACGGGTGATAGAGGAGGAGAACAGGGACAGGAATCGCCAAACGACCACCGGATCGACCAGCTTTCTCGGCCGCCTCTCACAAATGTCAGACTCTAAGCAGGTAGATGCTGAGCTCAGGGCCGCCTTGGTTATCAGGATTCATCATGTAGAAGGCCTCCGAGTCGCTGGATCCCACCACCCGCTCGAAGCTCGCCCTCATGTACATCACGTCCCCGCAGGCGACGCCGTCGCCGCCCGGGAGCACACCGGCGCCAGTCGACACAGGCTCCACCGCCTGTAAAACTCTCCAATCGGCCGGCCCGCACTCGCGGCGCACCGCGTGGCCGCACTTCTTTCCGTTGCAGTACGCACGCCACAGCGGCTCCTCCAGCAGCTTCTTTCCGCCGCCCGCACGTCGCTCGCACTCGAGCGCGATCCTCACCAGCCCCGACGCCATCTCCCTCACCAACGTGTCCGTGGGCGTCGCCAGCTCGATTAGCACCGCCGGGCAGGCCCGGGGGTCGACTTGGAACGCGAAGTGGACGTGGCCGCGGCGATGGCCGAATAGCGTGCCCGTAACACGGGGCCCCAAGCCCACGGGTCGATGCCTGCCCACAAATGCCGCAGTCAGCACCGCCCGGAACCTCGAAACAGCCACCGCCACCGCCGCCGCCGCCGAGGAGGTCGAGCCCTTCTTCCTTGCTAGTGGCGCGTCACCGTCACAAGAGAACGGTGATGATGAGGTGGCAATGGAGACCTCAAGCGTCTCCCCTTCCGCCCTCCCTCCTCGCTTCTTTTCGTCACCTCCTTTTCCACCTCTCCACTGGAAGTGTCTCTTGGAGGAGGAGAAGGAGGGCTCGTGGGGGCTGCTTGCCATGATGGTCCTCATCGGTGGGAGAGACAAAGCGACAACGAGAGAGGGCGACAAGGTAAAGACAGCACGGCAACCAGTGGCGACGATCGAAGAGCAAAGACAAGGAGGAGAGAATGCAGATTCCCTGCCTGTGTCCGTCTGCTTTCGGACAAAGGGCTCATTTATTCCATGCTTCTAGTCCTTCTCGTCAGCCACTTCTCCAGCCCTTCAATACCATGGGGTGACTGGAGAACACTGACAACAGCCGCAGGCGACGAAGCCAGAGAAACCTGCATGGCAGACAACGGAGAGAGAAAAGAACGGTGACCGGAGGAGAGATGACGAGGGGACGGTCCGTGACCAACCTTGGGGCAGGTGCACGGAGAAGAGTCCGGTCCAGGTGCAGTCGATGACCCAACATTGTTGACCAGGCCATCACGAACGAGCATCGACCGACCTCTGTTTTCCTTCTTCCTCTGTTTTCTGATATGACAGGGGTGGGACGACGTTCCTCAGGGAGAGCAACCAAATGTCCAAAACGATCACATAATCCATGGATGTTCTGCGTGGCTTCATACGTAGAACCCTGTGTCGCTTGTGATTCCAGAATGTCTCGATTCGAGGAACGACCAACGCCATTGCAACTCTGCTACAGACTTGTCTTCAACCTTGAGATCTCAATAAACACATTTTTTAGGGGAGAGGGGAAAGGACGAGATGTCAAAAGATTGATTGGAACACTAGAAAACGATTCGATTGTACGTGGAAGCGGAGATTTATAGAACAGGCTTAGCATTTGAATTAAAGTAGCTGATAATTAGCATGGCTGAGACCCTTTTACTACGATCAAAGTGTGGCGCAGCACTGTGTCTGCTTCAGGAAGCAGCTCACTGTTCGCTGTTGACTGCAGCGGGGTCAGTATTGCCGCCGAACGTGGTCGGAAACAGTGACGTAAGCATGACGTGAAATAAAAGTAAAAAAATCAAATATCGGAAAAAGATAAATTGGTATATGATAGGATCGATTTTGGTTTATCGATTATACGTGATAAATTAATCCGACTTTACTGATTTTATTAGTATCATTACATCCGAAAATAAAAAGTAAAAAGCTCAATTTCTCATAAACAAATCTATGCATTATAGTTCATTATGAAAATAAAATATTTGGACCATTTAACCTAATGTTACTAACCGAAACATAAAAATTAATTGATAAAAGTAATTTTAACATTTTAGTTGGTGATGATTGTGGATGATATCGGTGATAGCAAATAATAATACCATTGGGGGTCGTGGATAACTAATATGGATAAACTGCATTTGTATGGTAGTTGTTAAGCAACTCTTTCGTCCGTCAATACCAATGTAATTATTAAACAATATCACTTTACATTTTTGTTAGTGTCCGGTAGTTCTTTCACCGCTCAATAACTGTGTTGACGTCGACAAATGACCTTTACCCTTCATCGTTACTTTTCTCATCCACAACAGTCATTCAGACTTCCAACGATATCATCGTTCACTATCATCAATGAAAATGATTGAAATTATCTTTTTTATTTTTATATTTTCATTGATAAAATTAACGATGTTAAAATAAATAAATTTAGATATTTTATTTTTATAATTATATAAAATTTAATATAAATTTCTTAGATATAAAAACTGTGATACTAAAAGTATATAACTAAAAGAATAATATGTTTCCAAGAATCATTACTACTACGTTTCGAATCATTTACTGTGCTTAAGACACTTTCGATGCGTTCTCGTTTGATTTGCGATGTGAATGGCATCATAAGCCCGCACACATCCTATGCGATGCCTGCATGACAACGTGGGCTTGCATCCGATTCCGTCTAGAAGCTCGCAGTTGTTCCTTGTCCAACATGCTACGATTGTTCAACCCAGCGTTGCTCTTTGCTCTCGAATCTGATTCCCTCTCCCCCGCCACTGCGGTCACAATCCCACGCTATAAATGCCGCATCCGAGGCAGCGAAGAAAGTCGAGCCAAACCTCTTGCTGTCGAGTGGAGAGAGACTTGAAGAGTAAGAGGAAGGAAGAAGAAGAAGAATGGCGTCGGCGAAGGCGGCGAAACCTGTAGGGATCATGGAAAAGAGCAAGGAAGCTGCGGCCATGGCCGGCGAGGGCGCGCCGAGGGCGCCGGCCTCGAAGAAGGCCCCGAAGAGAGCTGGGCAAAAGCCTCGGGAGCCCAAGAGGAAGGTACCTCCGTAGAACTCGTCCTCGATACGGGTATCATTATCTAAGCCGTGTTTTTGGCAGGCGAAGGGTGGGAAACCGGCAGCGGCGAAGAGTTCGAAGCAGCAATGAGCGGAGGTGGGATTCGGGGCTCGTGGCATCTGCTCACGCTATCTATGGTTGTCCTCTTGCTTCGTCTTAGGCTCCCTTGTGATAATAACATGATGCCTCGTCCTGAAATCTAAAGGTTGGGTACTGTTTGCTCGGTGTTCTCCGGTTTTACCCCCTCCCCTCGTCCTGAAATCTCAGACTGGTGTTTTGTGAAAGCTGAGACTTTGTGTTTGAGATGATGCAGACCGGTGCATGAACGAGTCAAAGCGTACGTCGTGCGTGCATAGGCTCATATAAGTAGAAACCAAACGCTCCAACGATTCAACACATAATACAGATCAAACGAATCAATGATCGAAGGTTTGATGGGATACCCAAGTGGCTGATCTATATATTCTATGAATTCTTTTAGTGTTCCATGACATCTCATATAAGTATTCTTCACCATAGATTTATGGGATAATTGACTTATTAACTTTACGATTCGATGGGACGAATAATATATTAACTTGTTGAGTAATTAATTCATTTATTCTTTTGTTTTGATAGATTAATCATTTACTCAAAAATATATATATATATATATATATATATTATTTCTACGGTTAATAATAATATATTGGTAATTGAGAGGATAAGAATAATAAAAAAATTAAGATATCCATCCACACATGTGGGGGAGAATCAGTATGTTTGTATACTAAAATAACCTATGAATGGATTAAGTGGATACTTATAGGAATCCTATTTGCAAAGGGGAGAAAGGAATATTTTTTGAAAAAAAAAAAAATATTTTGTAGAATATTCTCCTCCTTTATTCGTGTTGAGTTTTGGTTGGTTGATCCAAAGCATCGATTACATCACTAATAAAGATAATTATCTCGAGTGATGTTTATCTTATATTTAATTTGATCATTGATAATATTTAATTTATGCTTATGAATTAAATTTGGTCTTCGCTTGTGTTTTGTCTTGTATTTACATTATATTTTTCGATCATTTTATTTGATGTTTCACTCTAATCATTAAAGTGTATAAATATATGTTTTGGATTCAAAAGGGGTTAATGAATCATGGAAAAAGAACTGTGACTAGAGTTCTTCGATTGTGCCATGATATATTAGTTTCCTCGAAATAATATTGCTATCTTTGACAGCATAATTCCTCCTAATGATACCTTAACAAAATCACATCGATCTAACCTTCTGTGTCCTAACAATGCATGAATTATCATGGAGCGCTTTTATAATCACTCGACATGACTCTCGCTTGCATCATCTCCATATAAATGATTTATTTTTATTTTCATTTTGATCGAAGAGAGAAGAGAGGGAAGATAAATTCCTCTCGTTTAGATATAGGAAAAGAGGGATGTTAAGATAAAACACGTACAACTCTGATGACTTTCACTCCTAGTAAAATAAAATTTCTTAAGATGAAGCTTTAACGAAAATACGTTCAACATAAAATGTCAGTGAAAATAATAGGCAAATAAATCGATAAGCAATGATAACGAGGAGTATAATAGAAATGTAAACTGATTTTATAATGATTCGATCGTTTCGACCTACGTCCACTATCGATTCCTCTTCCATCGAGGCCATCGGTATTTACTAATAATCTTCTTTCGATGAGCGAAGATCAACTATCATTTTTATAATTATTTCTCCTTTTCATAGGCTTAAGAGAAAATATTTACACCCCTCTTTTGCAAGATAACCCTCACACACCTTCATTAGAACAACCTTTAAGCTCAATAAAGGAGGGAACTCAACTTTTTAATAAAGTTTACACACTTTTATCTCAAGTATTCTTTCCCCTTTCTACTTTAATTTATACTTACCCAAACAGGAATTGGCGAGGTATTTATGGACTCTAAATAACTTCAAAAATTAGAACCAAAATTTAAATCATCGAGTTTTTAGGGTACTGACGATATCAACGCTAGCAACACTAATATTAAGCGATATCACCACCTGACACTAGCGGTACCACTGCCGAGTCTTTTGGAAGAAGTATATTTCATACTTTTTGCAGCTCACGTGGTTTCACCGCGTGGTACCACAGCTTGACCCAACTTTGGGTCACCGAATGAGCCTTCCAATGAGCCCAAGTCAGTGCCAAATCTAGGCCAATGGGCTCCTAATTGAGTTAGCATGATCACACCCAAAACTAACTCAATTATAACCTAACCTACATCGATCAAGACATGATTGATTATAAATGCCAATCATATATTGTCTGACATGTCATTGATTCATCCGACGCTTCATCCGAACCTTCATCGCATCATTATCTCGTTTGACGTATTACTCGACTATCAGTATATTAACCTCTCACAACATCCGATCTCCTTGGTCCAATGTCCGATCTTTCTGGCTCGATGCTCGAACTCATGACACGAAGTCCTTCTATCGACAAGTCGACCAGTCCTTCGGACCGACGTCCAATCTTCTGCCATGATGCTCTTCGACCCAACATCTGATTCTCCTGTTTTAATCGATTTATCTTTTCATAATCGAAGTTAGTCCTACATCACTCAAACGCTGATTAGATCATAACTTCATCAATCAATTTCATAATCAAAATCCAAAATTCAACACTTTATCTATTCATAATAACACTTTAATTCCCATTAATAGAAAAATAAGGTAAATTAAAATGTTTTCTCATACAACAATCGTTGACTTAGTCTCGAATGGTCTTGAATGAATTTGGTCGGCTCGATATATCGACATAGATGTTAGCGAACAAATATACCGTGGCTGATGAGTTAGCACGATAAGGTCCGCAAGTCGATGTTGGGAGCTTCCTATAAAGTGAGCTGGATGATGAGGTGGTTGTGCCCTTAGAAAGGAGTGCTGGTGGGCGTTAGTCGGGACTCGAGTTAGTTGATTGCTCTCCTTTGCGCAGAGGATGGAGTCCTCGGGGTTGAGACACTCGCCGCTCGTGGATGGTCATTCGCCTACAAAAACGGCCTTCGTCGGGTGGTTCCCGACTCTGGCCCCTCCTACGAGCAAGTTAGTAAAGGATTTTATTGTCTCCTTATTTTTCTCCCCCTGATTGGACGCCGACCAGGGGCTTTTATATTATTATGCAAGGGTCGGTTGCACGTCCGATCGATGTGGCCACTGACCCTTGTGGGATGGGACGACGCTTCTGACCCGCTAAAGTCTTGGGGAATGTTTGAGCGACGTCAGACGATACTGCCCCGAGCTCTTAGGATGGTCGCGTCGTACAATGCCTTAGCACGAAACTCGACTTGACGTCCGACATGGGGTTCTGATGGTGTGTGGTCTCGAATTCTGACATTGGTTGTGACTTGGCATCTGCCGTCGACGGTGATTTGTCTGAGACCCAAAATATGTCGTATCAATAGACATAAATAAATGATTTATATACGACCAAATGATCCCTCGCCAATAATGGAATATTTTTTTCTACTCGTACAAAAGTTCATTTATAGCCGTGGTTTGAATTTGTAGGTGTATCGAGGATGTAATTAATGGAGTCATCTCTACCTCTTAACAGCCACATTCAATTTGACATATCGGACGATCTCTTCCTATCACCACCCACCCGAGTCCGACGCACATCGAAACCCCGGTTCGCCCGGTCCGGTCCAAGTCCACCCATGGTTCGCCTATATGTAAGTATGCTCGCCCCGCGCGTGCCCATCGCTCGCCCATTTTGATTCTAGGTCGAAAGCGCCCGGAAGCATCCACCCGCGAGGGTTTCGTCTCCCCCCCTCCCTTCCCGGCTCTTCCCTTTGTGAATAACCCTACCGATAACAGCTCCCCTCGTCTGATCGGCTGGCGGCGGCGATGGATCTGGCGGTCGAGGGAAGACACGCGCTACTGTTCGACGACGACGCAACCGCGGCCTTCGTCAACGCTCGCGATGCCCTCGTCCCATGGAGCGGCGACCCCGCCCTCCTCATCGACCGCTACGACGTCCGCCACCTCCTCGATCGCATCCCGCCCCGCCCTCCCGTTAGGGCTGCATCTCGCCTTTGCGAGGTTCCCGCCGTCGACGGCGTGACCTCCTCCCAGCTCGACCGTGAGCGCTATCTCGATCTCCCCCTTTCCGGTCCTGACGCAGATCCGGGCGGCGATGATGATGCAAGGGGATCTTTGTCAGGTTCGTCTTCCGATTTGCTTGCAATTTTGGTACACTATTTCTTTTCTTTAATTGCTTGACAAATAAACAGCTATTATCCTACGTAGCCTTTATCATATTAACACTTATTAGGGATTCGTATGATCGAACTAGAGGATTCATGGGTGGTTGAGTTGACGCATAATTTAGCTTGGAAAAAGATCACCGTTTTGTTTTTCTTTAGTTTGTAATAGGGGCTCTTTTGAGGACTGTCAGTTTGTTAGTGAAACCTGGTAATCATTGCCACCGGGTCATGTTGTTGGAACTTTTCTTTGATCTGCTTTTTTTTTCTAGATTTCCTGCAAAGTATTCGTTTTCTTGCTGGTGATGTCTGACTTGGGGGTCGTGAAGCCGAACCATGTGTTCGGGGATGGTTCTTTTATGTAGTCTGTCATGTTATATACAGTGGGTATCGTGTCTCTGAAATGGTAACTTGTTATTGTTGACTACCTGATCTTTTTGGTTTAATGGCACGTACTATCCATAGAAAGGATGACATGCTAATCAACCAATATTATATTGCATTTGAATTTCCAAGTTTGCAGGATGGATGCTTAGTTTACTTCATGAGTTCTCTCAGAAGTCCAAGTAAGGAACCTTGACACATTCTCACTGCCGTTTGCTTCTCAGAGTTCTGTATTTTATATTATTTGCTGAGACTTCTACTGGCTTTAAGGACCATCTTTGATTGAACTTTTTGGCTTCCCAATTGCAGGAACAACCAAAGATTCAGATGGAACTTATCAGGCTGTACCTTTTTCATATGGAAATACTGCGAATGCAGTTGACTCGAAGAACTCCGATTCAGGACTCACTAATTCTTGTTACCGTCCACCTTTTCTGATCCCCGAAAGATTACAGTGTAACCTGGTAAATAAAATGAATGGATTCAATTTTATTGTTAATTTCCTTTTGGCATATGACAAAGATGAATGTTTTCTGTAGATTGTTAGTATTTCTTCAACAGTTGGGACATCAATATTTATCCAAGGTGCATATATTCTTCTAAGGCTTACATGTCTAAGTTTCAGAAGCTTGGAGCTGAGATGAAGTTCATACTATGGTTGCCATTCATGTGAACCATGTTTTGTTGTGATGTTTCTTGACGTAAAGGAATAGGCAGGTGGGATCAGCAATGTGTACATTGCTGAGCGTGCTCTTTGTTTCTACTCTTATGTGCTAATAGTACTTATCAGGAAGTTTTAAGCCATCAATTCTTGTTCAGTTAGAATTATGCATTTATAATGTAATTTATTGACACAAGTTTCTTATGGTTGTTTTCTGCAGCCTCCTACAGAAAAATTACATCAGATCATTGCAAGAACAGCAACGTTTGTAAGTCAGCATGGAGGACAATCAGAGATTGTCTTGCGGGTGAAACAGGGTGACAATCCAACTTTTGGGTTCTTGATGCCAGATCATCATCTTCATGAGTATTTTCGATTTCTTGTTGAACATCCTCAACTTCTGAAAAGTGATACAAGCACTACCAAAGCACAAGAAGAGGAAAATTTGGAAGAGAAGAAGGACAAGATGCTTGCTTCTGATAGTGGGGCTTTGTCATTGCTCGGATCTTTCTATGGAACCGCAGAGGATGATGATGGCTCACATGAAGCTGACACAGAGGTTCTAGGCTCTGTCTATACCAGCATCGCAGATATTGCAGCAGTTCCTCAAAAGGCAGAACAACCCTATATGGCTTTGGAAGGGAAAGGAGAAATTAAGAGTCTAGCTGCCCCTGTTGTTTCTAAAGACAAAACTGTTTCTATAAAAAGGAAGCTGCCTGCGAAATCTACTTTGGTTAATGGTCCATATGGCAAGAATGCAAGAGATGGCAACCCAATCCTTCCTGGTTTGGTTGAGCAGCCACGAAGTTCTGTGTCTGGCAGATCAGATGTCAAATCAGTGCTGTTGGAGCCTCCATCTTTCTTAAAAAGAATGATAGACAAAATAGTTGAATTCATACTTAGAAATGGGAAGGAATTTGAGGCAGTTCTTATTGAACAAGATAAGACAGTAGGCAGATTTCCATTTCTTCTGCCATCAAATCAATATCATCCTTACTACCTCAAGGTTCTTGAAGGTGCCCGTCAGGTAGTTTCTTCATAATTTTTGCTTATCTTGATCCATCTCATATGCGTCCTATACAAATTTATTTGTGTTATTTTTATGATAATAATTCCATTGTAGAACATTTTTATTTAAGTCCTTAAAACAATTAATGTATGTGCTGGATCTCATGTGCAGATTTGATTATTAATGTTTTGTCAAAAGTATTTGCAGCACTATTTAGTTCCAATTTTAGCAAACCTAAGATGTAGGAAATTTGCATTACGCAACTTACATATTCAAGTTGGCTTGACGAATAGATAGACTCATTTTATTTCTCGGATCATCTTCTTTCAGGTATTTTCAAATGTACATAATTTAATGCTGAATGATGTATAATGTCTCCTATGCTTATTTCATCCATTTACTCGGGCATTTTTGTGGCCTTGTCTCTCTTTTTTTACTGTCAGCAAGCGACACTTCCCTTTTGATGGAGTCCTTGGAGTTTAAGAGTGCAAATATGATCCTCTGGTTCACAATCTGAAGTCGGTATTTTTGTCCAGTCAAAGAAGCATTACTGCTCTGCTGTATTAAATTTTTTTTGATAATTATGCCAAACTGGTGGTATTGTAAAAAAAGTGGTATGGTATACCCGCGGAGCTTGAACCACTAACTAAAGATGCTTAATTCCAACTTAGTAGTAGTAAACCAGCACCATCAAACCTTTATAAGTCAATCCAAAAATTTTTCCACTTCTGATATGGGAATAGGTCGGGGTAGTAGTATAACATTGATCCGAGATTCACATTGGGCTTTTGGATGTCAACGGATGGTTAGTTACAGTTTGGCAAGCTTTTGGAGTGAGCACCACCACTGGCAAAGTTGATGGAGGTGCTGGTTAGACAGAGATATGGGCTTTCCATGGAAAATTAGAACCTATATCTCCAGAAACTAATTTAATGATTAAGGTGGTTGTTTTAGTGGCACAATGTTTAGTCCTACATAAAGGTTAATAACGGTTGATAAATGATATGATTAGCTACAAATTGGTATTCTAATTAATGATTTGTCACTCCTCTCAAGTTGTAAAGCGGGGCATACAATATTTTATTCGTAATCTTTGCTTCTTGCATTTATATTATGCTTGAGTAATAGCTACAAATTGACTTTCTGATTCTAGATTTGTCTCTCCATCCAGGTTACAAGTCATTCTAACAATGTTTTTTTCATATTCTTTGCTTTCTTGCATTTATTTTATGCTCAAGGTTTTGCACATAGTAGTATTGTGTTTGTTTGGATGGAAAATGAATATGCCCTTCACGCAAATGTCTTTTGAGTTATCTTTTGTTATTTAACATTTTTCATCGTGGACATAAATCTTCTAAATTTAAAACTATCGACAGGGTAATACTGGTAGCAAGAAGAAAGTGCAAGCTGATCTTACTAAAGAATCTGCCCGGGACCACAACTCGTCAGACTTATCAGAAGGATGGTTGTATGATCCTCATAGAAAGGAGAAATTTAAGATGGTAATTGGTGCGCCAAAGAAGGAAAAGCATGATCAACAGCCGACACTCGCCCCTCAGGCTGGAGTGAGCGTAGATGAAGCTGCTGCCATTGTTCTGGCAGCTACAAGGGGTGTCAGTTCTGCTAATGCTCATCAGGATATTTCACGTCCTGAGTTGGCTGCAGGCCGCACTCACCGGGAGGCTACACATGCTTCCAGCTTGGGGAGTTACTCCTTTTTACAAGGCCGGGAATCTATACCTAAACCTACTTCTAGCCATGAAGAGGGTACTTCTTTGCCTTCATCCAATCAACAACTTAGCAATAAAGGTTCCAACACGGATGATGATGTATGGATTGCAAAGGCTATTGCAAAAACTGCAGCCCTTGTTACCTCTTGCGAAGCTGACTCTTCAGAAGCTTCCTTAACAAAGGAACAAAAGCTCAAGGCTGAGAGGCTGAAACGAGCAAAGATGTTTGCAGCTATGATAAAGAGTGGTGATCCATTAAGCAAATTGACTGGTTCCATCACTGCTCAAAATTCATCATTGGAAATTTCTGCCGCTGGTTCATCTCGATCTGGCGCAGGATCAGATCTTTTGGTCAAAGAACGAGAAGGAAGCTCTGTACCTTTCGATGCTGAGGTTTCTGGTAGATCTAAGTTTCAAGAGAGAGAGTCTGATCATGATGTTAGTGAGGAATATAGCCATAGGGAGAAACATCAATCGTGTTCTCGAGATCTTAGAACTGATGACATGGTCGAAAGTCATAAGCAGTCCAAAAAGAGGCATCGGTCTGAACATTCTATAAACCATAGAAGTGATAAAAAACATAGGAAGCATCCTTCGTCTTCCAAGGACAAAGAATCTCGGCATCGTCATAAGCACCACAGTTCCTCGGAAGACGAGAACGGGCATAGAAAGCATTCTAGGTCTCATCGTCGTCATAAGGATGAAGGTACACCAGAAGAAAAGGAAAGGACAGGGTCCGATGGACACAGGAAGAAGCATCACCGGCGGTCTCAAAGGAACCATGACACTGATGAAGAGGTGAATACAACAATTTTGGATCAGTCGGAAGTCCCTCAGAAATCTAACCACCAAAAGGTCGTAAATATGCCATCAGCTCCAACTGATGCAGCAACTGAAGTATCCAAAGATCTAAGAGCAAAAATCCGAGCTATGCTATTAGAAACCTTGTAGCTATCCTGGATGCAGTGCCAAATGAGTATAAATGTGATGATGTTCTGATTGATGCAAACATCTTTCAGGTGCAATCTCTATTTTCGCACATTGCCCTATTTACAAAGTTGAATTTTCCTGAACTATATCAAAAAGACAAGACATGAGGAACGGGTGAAATCTGCTAATTCGGGTGTCCAAACAAAGACTACATCAAATGATTGCTTTGGTATGATGTTGTAATCATTAGATCCTAGATTAATAGTTCTGATTGCGAATAGATTACCCAGATGGTCTTTTGAGGGAAGCATGTTGCCTTCCACCAGAATAGAGCATAGCCGAGCAGAGGACGAAAAGGCAACGCAGAGATCCCATGTCCTCTGGATCTCTCTCCCTTTCTCGCTCCCATTTTAAGCCTAGCAATTAGGATGATTAGATCCTTATTTTTAGTTCATGAGTTTATAATATAATTATAGAATGTGCAAAGTTTGATTCTTATTGTGCAATCATTTGATGTATTGCTGGAGTCACTTGGTTCTTTTGTTTGCTTGCTCTGGTTCATGGTGCCTACAGTCGTGTTTATTTTGCTATCTGATGGCTGCTCTCAATTTCTGATCTGGCTTGCCGGTGCCCATGTGTTCGTGGGGGCCAAAGCCCAAGTCATGGTGAGTGTCTGACATTTGTCTTCTTACGTGTGTGGATCAGATAGATTAGATTCTGTCCCAAGGGGACAAAGCTACTTAAAGCATGACCTCCCTCGATCAATCTTTGGTGCTGGTCATCAGTAGGACTTGATATATTTTATTTTCTTTGGGTTTTCAACTTAAATTTTTAATCCATATCGGCGATCAAATCGGTTTAGTTCCAAACCCTTATGATAAACGTGCATGATTTGATTTGCCTCTGAAATATTCACTTCCAAAAATCATCGGCTGAAGTCATGCGACAAGTCAGGCAATACTAACACGTCGATTTCAGGATCAGCAACGGTAACAACGCAAGCCTTATCTTAATGAATATTCCGTGAAAGCAACACAGCTTCATAATACAATCCTTAGTTTAATCGATCGTCTGTCCAAATCACAAGGATTCACGGCGAGACGCCACAATCAAAATATATGTGTGATTCGATATCCAACAAAATGAATTAAAATAATATCAATAAACTTAATCTGATGGAAAGATTTTGATTCCGACAAGTTCTTCACCCTTCATTTTCTTTACATCTCGTGCAGTACTCTTACCATATTTCGTCCTTTCCACGGTGGAGCCGCTCCGGTGCTGTGCACATTGGTCTCTTAGCCTCGCTCTCTGTCAGCGTCCCCTTTTCTCTTGGCCTTTCTCTCTCGTGCTGCCCCCCCCCGCCCCCTCTGCTGCCTTTTTACCCCCCCCCGTGTATCATTGAGATCTAAGTGCGAACTTAGCACCTAAGACTTGGCGCAGACGGCAGTCCCGAGGTAAGCTTCTCTGCGGTGTTGGATTGCTGGATCTGCTAGGGTATCTGTTTCCCTTTCTTTCCTCCTTTTGCCACTCTCTATCTTGCTTTTGTTGCTCGGTTGGAGGTCGTGATTTTGCACTTGATACTCGAGAATGAAGCTTTCGCTGCTTCCGATGGTGATTTCTTGCATCACGTTAGGTCTTTTCTGGACTAGATTTGCGGCATTTTTTATGCTTCTTGCTGCGGGCCTTTAGATCCTGCACCTTGTTGGTTCGGCAGCGAAGAATTCGGTTCCCTGATTTTTTTTCCCCCTCGGATCTCTTGTTCCTAGACGACTCCCTTTTCTTTGGCAAATTTGCGATGTTTCTTTAGCATTTACTTGTAATCTTTCGAAGAATACACTTCCCCTTTTAGTATACGTGTGACTCCACGTCGCGGTTCGTGTGAGATGGACATTCCGATCTCCATTTCCAAGAACTAGAAAGTTGGGCTCTTTTCCTTATCTGGAGTACCGGAACCATGAAAAAACATGAGTAGGTATGCAGATACTCGAACAATGCAGTGTTATGACGCAATATGATGTGTGTTGGCCTCTTCGGAGTTCTCTATTTCAGCTTCTTGGTTTTGCTTTCTTGAATATCAGTAATCTTCAGCATCTTGGACACGAGCTCGGAAGAAATTTTGATTGTAACGGCGAAGTTTGTACAATCTTTAGTTTCTTTTACTATCAGATCTTTCTACGTGTTCTGCTACTAATTTGCTTCTTTTAATCTCAGCAGGACTATTAGTTTGCTGTTTCAAAAGATTGGCGTTGTCATGTTATTCGCTCGGGTGAATAACCTGGATTTGAAGCTCTTTTCATGGGTTGGTCTGATGGTGATTTTTGGGTTGTCATGTTGCTCTGCATACACTAATGAAGTAGATGGTAAGCGAAGCTGTATATACTCATCATTTCATCTTTATCTGAATTCACTATTTTGTAAAATTTGAAAACTGGCACTTGTATGCTTCTTGCTATGCCTTTGCCAGTTCCAGTTTTTAATTTGTCATTTGTTTTATTTTATAATCCTTCTTTAGGCAAGAACAAATATGCCAACAATTTTCAAGTATTCTTATTCGGGCAACAATTACCTCCACGTGTACGTGCTAGTGTATCTTCACACGCACAAGTCATATTGTAGATTCTTATTTGTATTTTTTTCTTTGTTGTGTTTCGGTTAATCCGTTCAATTGTGCTGCAGAGCATCACATCAGATGCTTATAATATGAGATTGTCATTTAATAACTATATTAGGAAACTTATAATGTAGAAATTATGTTTTGGTACTTTTCTGGATGAACACCTTTGGAAATTTGTTTTACACATAGTTGAGAAAATGCAATGTTTTGTGTATGCAAGTTGTCACTGAATTACTTGTTCAGCTTATAGTTAAAATTTTTGCAAAACTTGTTTTCTCTTAGTTTATGCTATAAATAGCTTTTATGCTGCCCTGGGTTCACCTCCTCTTCCTGGATGGGTCCCGAATGGAGGAGATCCCTGCTTGGAGAACTGGCAAGGCGTTCAATGTGTTGCCTCAAATATTACTGGAATGTACGGTAATTTCCTCTTACTTTATCCTATTAAAGCAATCATTATTTGTTCTCATCTTAATGGTTGATTTTATTAGAGTTATAAATGGTGCAAATCTTGGAGGGCAACTAGGTGATGAATTAGGCAATTTTTCTTCAATAAGAACAATGTAAGTGATACTCATTAATTTCATTTTTCCATTGACAGGAGACAAAACTAATTTTGTACAGCCATCTTGTTGGTCTATTCTCCAATTTGTGCTGTTCATTACTAAGAGGCTCTCTAGCATTATAATCCCTCTTCTTTCCTGTTACATGGACTGATCTTTGTCTGCTATTTTATGTTGTAGAGATCTGAGTAACAATAATATTGGCGGTGGCATACCAGAAAATCTGCCTCTTACCTTGCACACATTGTATGTTTTAAAAAAATTAAATTACATCTTCTAAGATTTGTTCCTTTCAATCTAACTATATTACTTATTTTGAGTGAAAACCATTTGTTTTTCTTTGCTGGGACAGCTTTCTTTCAGCTAATCAGTTCATGGGAAGCATCCCAAATTCTTTATCAAAATTAACACTTCTGACAGACATGTAATTCCATGCTTATTTTGTTTAAATAAAAAACTACATCTTATATCACTAAATAGTGTTATTGTTCATTATTGATCTTTGTACTTTTCAGGTCAGTTAATAACAATCATTTGACTGGAGATTTGCCGGATGCTTTTAGTTCTCTTACTGGTGTGATAAATTTGTAAGTTGGATTTTCTGCTTTACTCATTTTTCACTTAGCTTTTTCTAGTCATTTAATATTCTTGATGATTGACATGCCAAATTATCAAATTAGGGATCTTTCTTTCAACAACTTGAGTGGTCAGTTGCCACCTTCAATGGGAAGCTTGTCATCTTTGACTACCTTGTGAGTATCAGCTTCTTATATATCTGATAATTTCTCTAAAGTTTCTTAAGCATGATATAATTTTGATGATGACTATTTTTGCAGGCACATGCAGAATAATCAGCTTTCTGGGATCCTTAATGTGTTGGAAGATCTTCCTCTCAAAGACTTGTATTTTCAAAATAGATCCCTGCATTTCTTTAACTTACATTTCTTTTCATCATCTTCTCAAATTTTATCATGCAATTTGATCCATATAATTAACTTTGATAAAGAATGAAAAGTGGAAACAGTATTCGGCTCAATGTCGACTTAGAAAAGTCTAAAAGATCATGCAAAATCCTTTGACCTAGTTGGTGTTGTTGGAGTTACTAGAATCAAAGCTCGAAAGTTTCTTAACAGGACTCTCATCTTGTGTAATCTAAATAAACTGACCTCATTTAATTAATAATTTGTGTTCAGTCATAGTTCATAAGCTCTCATATGCCCTCTCTCTCTTCTCTCTTTCTCTCTATATATGTATAGCTCTTGCATGTGGGTGTTCTTTTTTTCACCACTTAAAGCTATGTAACGCTAGACATTTCAGTTTCACTTTTTCTCTCCATTTTCTGAGTATACGTTTCAAGCACAACCACTTGATGCAAAGATATCATACGTAGCAATTTTTAAAAGGTAATTCATATCCTATTGTCTTGATTTAGTGTGTGTAACATGATATGTGTGAATATGGTTGTGTGCAACATGGTTTTAAAAACCAGTCAGAACGGTCCATACTGATTGGTATTTACCAGTCTCACCAAGAACTGATACATGGCCTATGCGATTTCTCTCTTTTGGGACTCTTTTTTTAAAAGTTTGGACAAAAGTAACTATTTTAGTATCTCTGTTTGCCTCCCGATTCTCCCTAGCCTCAATGGTCCTCTCTCTCTCTCTCTGCTTTTTGGTCATTGTTGTTGCCCATAATTCTTTCCTAGTCCTCATCTCCTCTTCTGTTGTCTTCCTCCTCCTCCTATTTCTCCTCTTACTCTGCTACTCCACCACCATGACACCTCCTCCTCCTCCTCCTCCTCCTCTTATCTTTCTCATCCCCTTCTTGGTGCCAACCGGTATATTGGTGTAATCACATGTTGGTATGTCAGCATGTACTGGACCCTTGCTGATCTGACCAGGGACTGATACATGTTCAATATCATGATTTAAAATAACGGTGTACATTAAGATGATTTGTTGGGTAAGTCAAATCCCACCCAATAAAATTATCAGTCTGAAAGCTCTCAATACTTAGTTGGAGTCACCCTGAATTGTTTGGCTGGCCAAGAATAGCATGAACTTGACCAAAATTTGCTGAGCCTGATTATTTTTCGCAAATCATGAGTGAATCTGACAAATTTATTCAATTGCATTACATTGCTGAAAGACTCTTGAGGTTTTATCTGTTGGTGCTGGCTGACCCCAGTGAGGATCTGCTGACCGCAAGCCATGCTGTGAATCATTTCTTCGCTCCTTAAAGAAGATATTTTTCCTTTTTTTGTGTGCTGGTGTCAACTTGGATGAACTGGTATAAAGCTTTGTTGCCTATGCCTCCTGCTAAAAGGACATGGGATTCTGTCAAAGCTGCCTTTGAGATGCATTTGCTGTCATAGTTTTATTTTTATATGCAATGCCTTCAAAACAACAATTAACTGTGATGCAAAAAGTTCTTTTTCATTGACTTCCTTTCTAAATATGTTTCTTGATTTGGCTTTACAGGAACATAGAAAACAATCTGTTTTCTGGACCTGTCCCTGAGAAGTTGCTGAATGTTCCAAATTTAAAGTGAGATTCTCATGCTGATTGAATCATCTCATTTTGCACATTCATTATCTTCTAAAGTGTGATACAATAGGCCCAGCTAAAGGGCTAATTTACCATGTATGGATCAAACTTTCTTGTAAATTGTATTCACAATTTCAGTATTGAATTGATTATGGATATCTATACATGCACATGTAGGTGACACACATACACACAGACACAGATATCTACACAATGAAAGTTTTAATAACATGTAATTGGTGCACAGAAAGGATGGAAACCCATTCAATACCACCATTGCACCATCACCGGCGACGCCTCAATCTCCACCGCTACTTTCTCATTCGGGAGCTCCCATTCCTTATATCACACATACAAACTCTTCAGATGGGTCATCCAGTCAAGAAAGTAACCACGGAGTGAAAAAACGAAGCGTGTCAACCATGAAAATTGTTGGATATGTTTTTGTTGTGGTGGTTTTAGTTATCGTCATTGTGTTGATGGTAATCATTTGCTTATCAAAGTACCAAGAGAGGAAATCAAAGAAAGATAAATTGTTCAAAAGCCAAGTAAGAAGGACAGGAATAGGATTCAAAGAGGCTAAAAGCAAAGATCATTTTGCAGAGACAAACAACAGATTTAGGGAAGGTAAGAGTTCTGTGCATCTAGCATGTTCTAACTTTAGGCTTTATAGAACTTTTTTCTTTGGAGCTATGTAACTTGAAAATGGCTGTTTATAGCTGCAAAAGAGGTTCATGAAGAAAGAAAGAAGGAATCTGGAGTTGATATTGCAGTGGCAGGTACATTCCATTCTGTTTGGTGGTCTTGTCATTTGCTCTAGTTATATAATTAGGATTGGTTTCTACTTTTCCTGTGCCAGTTATGAAGGACTCTGGAAAGGAGAAAGAACACATAATTGATATGAGAGAGACTGATGTCATTATTATGCCCCCACCACCTGTGGAAAAAGTTATTGTAAAACCGATTGTCACCAGTGGAAATGTTGTGGGCCTTTCACCAGAGATGATGAACACTCCACCAACTCCTACGACATCCTATTCTGTTGCAGAACTACAACAATACACAAACAGTTTTAGTGAAGAAAATCTGATCAGAGACGGCAGACTAGGCAAAGCTTATCTTGCAGTGCTTCCTGATGGAAAGGTATGATGTCAAAAATGTGTGTATAACAGATAAAGATAATTCTGTTTCGGATTTTTATCAGCTCAAATATTTATTCAGCTTCCAAGTTATAAAATATCTGAAAAATATGTCTCTGCAAATTTGCTACCTTGGGTAGATAGTGTTGACAACACAATCATAGTCTATGATATAATTGAAAATTACCTTCCAACAATATTCTTAAGTTTTTCTAGTGTATTAAGTTGATGTCCTGATGCTTTCCTAGTTGAGTTATTCACCCCTATATATGTCAATTTTTAGATTTTTACACCAGATCTTTGGAAAATCTATGTTGCCCATGTTTAGTATTTTCTTGTAATCTAATTCATTAAATCTCTATTACTTACTGCTAACAAATGCTTGAATTGAGTACTTGATCACTTTCTGAAAAAAAAGTCAAGTAGTACTCCTTTTTTAGGATTATTGGGTTTTGTAACTACTGTGCCTTCCGTACAGCTCTTGGAAGTCATGAAGCTTGACAATGTTAACTCAAGAATACCAGTTGGTGACTTTCTAGAGCTAGTATTAAGTGTGTCCGAACTAAGGCATCCTAACATTCTTGAGCTTGTGGGGTATTGCGCGGAGTTTGATCAACGATTACTTGTCTATAAGTACTTTGGTAAGAAGACCTTGCATGACATTCTTCATGCTGAAGATGATGTCAATGGCAACCTAAAGTTATCTTGGAGTGCCCGCCTTGAGGTAGCCCTTGGAGCAGCCAAAGCCTTAGAGTAAGTGGAGAATCTGTTTCGTCCTTAAATGTGCTGTATAAGAAGTACATATCTGTGGACTGAGAACTTCACCTGTTGTATTTTAGGTATCTGCATGAGGATTGTCAACTGCCACTTGTGCATCAGAATTTTGAGCCTGCCAATCTTCTCCTTAATGATGAGCTTGCTGTATGTGTTACTGAATGTGGCCTGTCTTCTCTAATGTCAACCAACTCTGTGACTCAGGTAATTCCATTTAGCTACGTATTGCAGACAGCCATTCTATAAAAATGAAAAGGCTTAATTCAGCAGAATATAGGAAACAAAATCTGATTGTCATGTAAAACTCTTTAATTTTTAGATCTTAGCCACGAAAGAAAACTATATTTCAGCAAACAATTAGTTTGAAACTATGAAAAGAGCAGTCTGATTTAGTAACAGGCCATTTGGCATACTTTAGCCTTAGTCAAGAACATGACTATTATGCGATACATATGACATCTAACAATAGGAGTCTTGTGAAGAATAATGCATTGCAGATTTCCGGCCTTACTTCCTAAGGCTAGATTTATGTGTCAATAACTTGGCCAAACTTCTGCCAGTTAGTTCTGATGTTTAGTTTAGGTAAGTCAAACAAGAGGGACAGCATGGAACCCAAAAGCACGGAATGGTGGATGATGACATTTAAAGATCAGCTTATGCATATAAACTCATAATAGAAAGTGGTTATATAAGGTTCACATGGAAAGTGCATTTATAAGGGAAATAAGCCTCAAATTTAATGTGAATTTGTGGAGTCATCACTGCTTCCATAAATCCACATTGCCAAATTCAACTACAATCCAATCTATTTTATGCTCCTCATAGCAGTATTTTATGTTACTTATGCATGTAAATTCTCCCCCCTCCCACCCCAAGACCCAGAAACCACACACACCTTGCACTCCGTCCAAAAAGGAAAAAAAATATAACTTAGTGCATAACTAACTTTTGATGTTATCTTCATAACAGTTGTCAGGTCGAATGCGTGCATTGTACAATTATGAAGCACCTGAAATCAATGACTCTGGACAACATACTGATAGGAGTGATGTTTATAGCTTCGGGGTAGTCATGCTAGAACTTCTCACAGGACGCAAACCTCATGACAGGTAAACTACTTGGTTGTCCTGCCCTGCTGCATGACTTTCTTCAATCGTCCTCTTTCCTATATTCCTTTATCATAAAGGGATTGTTTCTAATCTGTTTTCTTACCACCTGCAGTACTCGCCCTCGTGCTGAACAACATCTTGTGAGGTGGGCTAGTTCTCAGCTCTATGATATCGATGCCTTAGCAAGAATGGTGGATCCTTTAATATCAGGAAGTTATCCTGTGAAATCATTATCTTGCTTTGCTGATATTATAAGCCGTTGCATTCAGGTATTTTTTTTGCACATTTCTTGCCTATTTGTCTCCTTAATTAAGTTTTTTTCTTACACTATTTGGTCATTGTTTGTAAGCAGTAGATGTGCTTCCTTTCCCCAGACAGTATGGTAATTCAGCTCTTCTTCATTGGCATTATTGAAGTTCTTAAAACATGGAATTATCTTGTGCCCCTGTTATTGTATTAGTTTATTTTAGTATGTGTATCTAAGTTGAATGATATTACATTTTGATCTGTTCCTGAAGACACTGAATGGCAATATAACTTGATGACCAAACATCTTCCTGCAAGTTTGAACACATTAGGGTTAGAAACAGTAAAATTTCATGTTGATTCAAGCAAATCTTCAAGAACCAACATGATTGCTATAAGCATCCCATCTTATGTGCTTAGAAACTGCAACAAGTCTTCTATTCGAAAACTATAATTCTAACATGAGATTCTATTCCGCAGCAAGAGCCGGAGTTTCGGCCAGCCATCACCGAGGTTGTTCAGGACCTTAATCACATGGTAAAGGATGTGAAGGGTGCAGCAAACAAGTGATGACCATGTCTAGTCTAAGAAAGGGAATTGGTTCCACAGGCAGGAGAAGAATGCTAGGGTTACATTATTTGCTGCACCAAATTACTTGTAATCTTCTGCCTCCACGCCGACGATCACAATCCATGAGGAAGAATGGTGGCTCAGTCCGGAGCTTCTGTTGATCCATCATCTGTCACATTTAGCTTATCACGTTATTGCTCAACATTAATGTGAGTTTATTAATGTAATGCCCTCTCTATATGGTAGTGTTATGAAGCAGAAATTTGCTCATCATAATTCTTTGTTTTAATCTTTAGTATATTGAAGCTGCAATCTATATTAGATTTCACTACATGTGACCAAATCCGTGTTCTCCAGGATTTGTTGATAGATTTTTCCTACTTAAGTTCTTAATCATGTTCAATACCGGAGTCTATGAGTATGATATCATTTGTGCTGATGAAATGATTGACTCGTTGTTCTAATAGATTTTTGAATCATCTGTCTAAAATGTTTAAACATGAGTTAATGATAGTAAATCTATTTAGTTAAGTCAGTCACTTCGAACATAGAACTAAACTGGGATATTACAATGTATGCATGCAATAATAAATCACGTCAAAGAGAAGTCTGGGAGAGAATGGAATTCAAGCCGCTTTAACTGCACAGGCTTCTGGTTTGGGTCGCCATCAGCGATAAGGTCTTCTCACCACCTAAACCAAAGAGACGGTGGTGGACAAGGCTGCCTGCCACCGTGCCAACCTCCTCCTCCTCCGTCGTCTGCCAGACCAGTCGCAGCAGATGGCATATCGTCCTGCCGTTCTTCCTCCCCCTTTCCCCACCTAAACGACCTGCCCTGTCTCATACGTCTCGACATCCCCTCCCCATCTGCCAACCCCCTCTTCTTCGTTCTTGCTTGCTGCTCTCTCGTTTCCTCGCTCACCATTTAGCATGCAAATGTAGAGATACATACACCTACACGAGAGAGGAGGAGAGGCAAAGAAGAAGAAGAAGAAGAAGAAGAAGATGGCGTTCTTCTGCTTTCTGGTGGACCAGCGGCGGACGGTGAGGAGCAGCAAGCCGGCGCCCGGGATCTGCTCGCGCTGCGGTGGCTGCGCCAGCGCCGCCGACATGGTGACCCTCACGCGGTTCTGCTACGTCCCCGTTCATCGTAAGACCTGGCGGGCCATCATCTGCACCTTCTGCGGCGCCTTCCTCAAGTCCTACCACCGGTAGATGCATGCAGACGATACCTGCAGATCGAAACGTTCGCGTATGCAAAGCATCATTTACATGTACGATGGAATGTATCAACTTGTGAGTTAGTTCGATTTGACGCTCGTGGATTTTTCTTCCCCTAAAGATCGATCTAATCGAAGAATCGATCATTTAATTTTCTTCTGGAGTAAGCGCATAGCCATTAATATTTGTTCTCGCCGACCCAATACAGAGGAACGCAAGCTGTCCCCATAAATTGCTCATTTGATCCTCCCATCCGTCCACCAATACCTCTTTTCATTAAATAGCCGGACACATGAATTCGCTCTCCCAACCCTCCCCCCATGGATGGGGAGCAATTGGATGGTTCCAATTAATAGTTATGTTCAGGATCGTTATTAGTACTTCTGTCACATCCCCCGACTTCTCACCAATTAACAATTAAGACTAGAGAGAGAGAGAGAGAGAGAGAGAGAGAGATCTATTCGACTTGAGAGAATCTAATGGCATTAAAGATAAAGATGGAGAGGATCCTAAGCCAATAGTATGCGGTTCTGTCAACAGTAGCAAACAAACATTCTACGTCTTGTTCACGTCAATCATGTTATCCAACATGATCTGATCGGCCTTCCCAAGGATCATTCTGCAGGTTCTGAAGGATTATTCATCCATTTCCTTCATAGCAGTGCATCCGGTAATGCATTCCGAACCACTGCAGAATCCGAGTGTTTTCATCAAGTTGCAATCTCCGATTCGTCTATTCTGTGTTTGCATGCATGATTCTGTGGGCGCGTATGATCGATCCACCGTGAATCTGATGTCTCGCGCTAAAACGGGGAAGCATCCACCGACAACGCGATGGAGACTGTGACGAAGGAAGACGAAGCACGACGACAACAGCGTCCTCAAACGATCCGTACATAAGGATGAAGATAGAGCAGTCGACGGCGCTCTTTTCGCCTTTTAACGCGGTTACAAACACGATACCACCACATAAACAAATATTTGATTGCGTCCCAAAGAGAAGGAATCAGACACATGAAGAAAGCTTCATCCGCGAGGGAAGAAGAAGGCCGCAAGCTGTGACCCATCTCTGGCGATGAAGACAGACACGGCGGTCGGGCACCGTCATCAAACGTTGACCCCGACGGCAAACAAGTGACGGCCGTCGGGCAACGGAAAGATCCAAGTGACGGGAGTCGATGTCGTCCGCTGACGCCGTCAAGCGCGCCATGTGCGCGAAGCCGCGTGAAGGCACATGGCCCTCTGGCTCCTCTCCCCATCTCAAAAAGACCTCTGTCTGCTGTCACATCCGCGGCGAAATTTACTCTCGTGCATACCGAAGCTCGGTCGCACATCTCTCGTGGCTCCGTTTGAAGATCCATCTCGGCTCCTCGGCATTGGTGTTCACGGAGAGGAGGAGGAGGAGGAGGAAATGGAAGGAAGCCGCGCCGCATGATCTCGAGGGTTGGACTGGAACAGCTCTAAATCCGCTCGCTGGTATCGGAAAGCTGGTCATTATGAGTGTTCATGTCTTCGCTCTTTTACTGTCGTCTCCCTCTCACCGTGTCTGGATAAAAAGGAAGGCCACAGCTGATGTGGGTCCTGTGGCTTCTCTCTGTAGGTGGTGGCAGCCAGCCTCATCTCATTCCCCAGGCTGGAAAGCAGCTGTTTTGGGTCTCACAACAGCCTTGGCAGATCCTTATGGTGGGCTCATTCAGCTCAAAATCCCGTCTTTGTCCATCCTCGGAGCACTGCCCGAGTTCCGATCTTGGAGTGGGAAGGGGGTGTGTCTGAGTTCCGGAGGTGAAGTCCCTATCTAGGTTTATCTCCTTACTCTTCTCTGGTTTTGTTTTCCTAGACCAAGGGCTCCGCTCTTGTAGATCTCAGTTCTTTCATGATTTAGAGTACTTATCCTTTTCCCTTGGTCTGTCAGGTGATTGGCATTTGGATTCTTCTTTATTTTCCATCTTTTTTCCTGCATTTTTTTTTGACTGATCGTTTGTTTTCCTACTTCGTATCTTTCTGCTTTCCATTTTAGCGCAATCAGAAACTGAGGAGAAATAGTTTAGGAGCTCAGAAAGTAAAGATCAGTAGAATGTGCTAATCTTGATCTGCAAGTTATGGACTTTCGTTGCTTAGGTCTCAAGAATGTGATCCACAAGTTTCGAGTTGGGAATTTGGTGATCTGATTTCTCCTTTTGGAATTTAAAGTGCTGGAGATACTCATCTCATAATCTCACTGTGCATGCATCTGGCTGTGTTAGGAGTTGAGGATGGGGAATCTGGAAATGATGAGGTTGATCTATTTGTTCTTCTCTGTTTTATTCCCTGCCTTGATTCTTGAGAGTTCCTCTGCTGCATTCACTCCCGCAGACAACTATCTCCTCGCCTGCGGATCTTCCCAGGATGTGTCGGTCCAAGGCCAGCTTTTCGTTCCTGATTCGCAGCAGTCCTCGTTTTCTCTAAGAACTTCCGGAGATGGAACCTTTTCCGCCTCCAATTCTGCTCTCCCATCCCCTGTGTACCAATCCCTTCGAATCTTTCAGGAACTTGCCCACTATAGTTTCGATATCCGGCAAGAGGGCCGCCACTGGATCCGTCTCTACTTCTATCCCGCTCCCAATTCTGGCCATGACTTGAGCTCTGCTCCTTTGACCGTCGTGACAGATGAGTTCGTCCTCATGAATAACTTCACCTTCAAGAACTCCAACCGTACTTACCTGTTCAAAGAGTACTTGGTGAACGTGACCTCTGATTCCTTGGTCCTCACCTTTATCCCGTCAAACGGCTCCGTTTCATTTGTTAATGGGATCGAAGTCATCTCGGTTCCTGACGGGCTGATCTATGACCAGGCTCTTGCTATACCTAATGCCCCTTTCAGTGGTCTTTCGGTGCTCGGTCTCGAGACCATGTATCGCTTGAATATGGGTGGTCCTCTGCTCACACCACAGAATGATTCTCTTGGGAGGACTTGGGAAAATGATGCCAAGTTCCTTCACGTAAACAGCTCTGCGGTGAAGGTGTCGGTGGATCTGGCAACTATAACTTACCCTGACGGAATCACCATTGAGACAGCACCAAGGTGGGTTTATTCCACCGCGGAAGCAATGGAAGACGCAAACGTGACGGATTTAAATTTCAACATCACCTGGGTCTTCTCAGTGGATCCAAGCTTCCTTTACCTGATCCGTCTCCATTTCTGTGATATCGTTAGTAAGGCTCTGAACACGCTCGTCTTCAATGTTTATGTCAATTCTGACATTGCCATCGCCAGTTTGGATCTGTCATCGCTCAAGGGTGAGTTGGCTGTACCCTACTACAAGGATTTTGTTTCAAGCTCCTCAAATGGTTCGAACACACTGTCTGTTAGTGTCGGTCCAGATACGATGGCTGATTTCAGCAATGCTATATTGAATGGGTTGGAGATCATGAAGATTAGCAACGATGCAAAAAGCTTGGATGGAGTCTATGCTGTGAAAGACCTTCTGCCCGAGTCACCCTCGGGGAGGAATAAATTGGGAATAGTAATTGGAATAGTCTTGGGATCATTGGTTGTCATCGCATTGGCAACTTTGAGCTACTGCTGTTTTGTTGTTCGCAAGAGAAAAACTAGGCCCCATGACCATCCATGGTTACCGCTACCCTTCTACGGGAACTCCCACACCATCAGCAAAGTGTCAACAACTTCTCAGAAGAGCGGAACAGCAAGCTGCATATCTTTGGCCTCGACAAACCTTGGACGTGTTTTCATGTTCCAAGAGATCCTGGATGCCACCAACAAGTTTGACGAGAGCTTGCTTCTTGGAGTGGGTGGGTTTGGAAAAGTCTACAAGGGCACACTAGACGATAGCACTAAAGTCGCTGTCAAGCGAGGGAATCCGAGGTCCGAGCAAGGGCTAGCTGAATTCCAGACTGAGATCGAGATGTTATCCAAGCTCCGCCATCGCCATCTGGTCTCGCTCATAGGCTACTGTGATGAGCGTTCTGAGATGATTTTGGTCTACGAATACATGGCGAATGGGCCTCTAAGGAGCCATCTATATGGTACCAACCTTCCATCTCTGTCATGGAGACAGCGCCTTGAGATCTGCATCGGTGCTTCAAGGGGATTGCATTACCTTCACACCGGTGCAGCACAGAGCATCATCCACCGTGACGTGAAGACCACCAACATTCTTTTAGATGAGAACTTCGTTGCTAAGGTGGCAGACTTCGGCCTTTCAAAGACTGGTCCTGCCTTGGATCAGACCCATGTTAGCACTGCGGTGAAAGGGAGCTTTGGATATCTCGATCCTGAGTACTTCAGGAGGCAGCAGCTGACTGAGAAGTCTGATGTCTACTCCTTTGGTGTTGTATTGATGGAAGTTCTCTGTGCAAGGCCAGCTCTCAACCCTGTGCTCCCCAGAGAGCAGGTGAACATTGCGGAGTGGGCAATGAGCTGGCAGAAGAAGGGCATGCTGGAAAGAATTGTAGATCCAGCATTGGTGGGGAAAATTCATCCAGGTTCCCTTAGGAAATATGGTGACACGGCTGAAAAATGCCTGGCAGAACAGGGAGTTGACAGGCCGACAATGGGAGATGTTCTATGGAACCTTGAGTATGCTCTCCAGCTTGAGGAGACTTCATCGCTTGCCGACCCATATGAGAACAGCATAAGGAGTATCTCTGGTATCATGTTGCCGCAGATGGAACCTCTGGACAGCAGCATTAGCGTAGTCGAGGGAGTAAACACCAGTACTGACGACGACGCAGAAGATGCTACAACAAGCGCGGTATTCTCTCAACTTGTAAACCCTCGAGGAAGATAAGGTCAAATCAGATTGTTGCTTCAGAATTTGCTGCAGGTATGTGCAAATGAAAGATTACTTTCTATGACTGTGAGTTCTTGTGTTTCAATTTATAACATATGCCAATTTGATGAGGCTACGCCGCAACGACTTAGGGCTAGATATCTTCAGTTGTAAGCTGGGTGCCTTCAGCTTGTGAAATATCCATGATTAATATCCAATGATAATAAATGATTGAAACAAGCTTCTTTTTTTTTTATGTCAAGATGTCAGAACTTGGTGTTTTTATCTTGAAGTTCTTAAGCAGAGTGCTCAACACCCTTGTTTTCTATTTGACAATGCTCATCATTCAGGAGATGTGACTCAGCATATGGATCATCCATACAAAACAAGTGATGCCTAATTCTTGTGTTAGGAAATTAAGATAAAAAGATGCTCTGAATCTGAAGACTGACAAAGGTCAATCTCTAAACCAGTAGCAGAAACCATGTTACCTCCAGCTGGAAGAAGGTAACTCCTCCTGTGCGAAGTAGATCTATGACTAATATTATAGGCAAAGGTCATCGACCATAATAAGAACCCTCTCGTTGCTATTGGTTTGGCATCCAAATTCCAATGATGTATCAGAGGAGATTAGCTCCGTAGCTGAGTCTCCTGTAATCTCTTTGTAATTGTTTACACGGCATCACATGCAAGCTTCTTTAGCTCTTCTTACTGTTGGCCAGTCGCAAAGAACTCCGAGTTCCAAGAAGCCTTGCATCATCCTCGACACTTGGAATGCCACCATTCGTCGGTGGGTGCTGCGACCAGACTAACTCCTTTGATTGGGAAGAAGAACTACGCGAGTCAATGCATGACTCAGCTGTTCAGACCTTGTAGACATTACCGAGTCGAGTCGGTCGTCGTGTCTGCATGCAAGAAGAAGACAGGACAGAGCCTTATCGTTCCCGTAATTGAGTCGAGGTTGACGCGTGCAATCGCGTGAACATCATCTCTGAACGTCCCATTCAATGCTTGCTTGTAGTCATCAGCAGGCGTTACGGTCGGTGAGTCTGCCCGAGTTGCCGACGACGAAGCGCTGATCGACGCTCTCTTTATGGTTGCGAGGGACTTCATGTTCTTTAGCTTCCGCCCCATATTTGTCCCCGTGATTTGGTCGCTGTCAGTCTCTCGCTTGAGATCAAAGATGCTCGCTATCTTGAGTTGACTTCGGATCGGTCAGACCAAACGTTCGTAGTCGGCAGCATGAAGGTAGATGACACCCAGCGGCTAGAGGTGATGGCGTCACAGCAACACCTACGCCTCTTCTCTATATACATCACCCTCGTCTCCTCCCCGTAGCTGCCACCGACGCAGCCCAAACGAACAAAGAGCGTAAGACTGTGGTCGCTTACGGACGGTGACGATGGGCTCCCCCCGCACGAGCGGCAGCGGCTCGCTGATGCTGTTCCTCAAGGCGGCGCTCGCCTCTGCCGCGGTGGTGGTAACGACGGCCGTGATGCTCCACGCGGGTCCACCCATCCGACGGCTCCTCGCCACCGAGGTCCCCCGGGCGTACGCCTCGCTCGTGGCCTGGCTCACACCGCCCTACCTCTACTTCGTCCTCAACGCCATAATCCTCTCCATCGCCGCTGCCTCCCGCTTCCACAAACCGTCCGCCGACTCTACCGATCGGGTACCTGTTTCTCCGGCAGAGATGGTGGTTCACCCACCGGACTACATGCTAGTCGCCGCCGCGTCGGAGGAGTACTATGGCGGTGGTGAGCAGGAGGCGATGGTGTTGGGCCAGGAGGAGACAGTGGTGAAGGCGGAGGCAGCGGGAGAAGAAGAAGAAGTGGAGCAGGAGCTCGTTTCATCGAGGTCGAGCTGGACTCCAGACCGCACGGCGTCGCCGGAGTTCCCGACGGAGAAACCGCTAGTTTCCGTGAGGTTAGGTCACCGCAAGAACCACAAGTCCACCCCCGACGGTATCATCACCGCCTCCAAATTAAACTATCTTTTCTTTCACACGTGTGCTCCGAATTATTTGCTCTACGTCTAAACTAGTGGTGACCTCACGACGGTGATGCCACCATCAAACCCGGTCCGCCCGTTTCCTTTTCTCCGTTGGCGAGCGGTGCGAATGATGATAGTGAGATTATACGATGGTGCAGGTAAGGCGCTGCGGAGAGTGGCGAGGCCGAGGCGGGAGGAGACGCTGGAGAGCACGTGGCGGGCGATAACGGAGGGCCGGGCAGTGCCGCTGGCGCGCCACCTCAAGAAGTCCAACATGTGGGACACACGCGCCGCCCTCGAAGATGCGGAAGCACCGGAAACGGCGGCGGTGACGCGGAAGTCGGAGACGCTCAGCGACCGCGAGACTGCAACGCCGCATTCCGGTGGAGGCGGCGGGGAGTCATCATCGTCGTCGACGTCGACAACGACGTCGGGAGTGGGACGGGGGATGCTGCGGAGGGAGCCGTCGCTGGGGCAAGATGAGCTGAACCGGCGGGTGGAGGCGTTCATAAGAAAGTTCAACGAGGAGATGAGGTTGCAGCGGCAGCGGTCGCTGCAGCAGTTCGCGGAGATGATCGACCGTGGGAGTCACTGATCTACCAATAATAGTAGAACACAAAAGAGACGAGGGAAAGCGTTTCAGGGTAGGATGAAAGAGATGGAAGAATGACTACTTGTTTGTTGGTGTAATTGCCTTTCTTTCTGTGTTTTGTTTATGTTTTAGGCTCTAATTCTGTGCTGTACTTTCTCTGTATTTACTTCAAATTATACGTGGATATATCATAAATGCAATTGCGACCGTTACAGCCAACGATTAACCACCACCTTTAAAGAGCCTTTTCTTACAACTAACTTTTTCTGTTACCTGTCTGCCCCACAATAGACTCAGACATCTCTACTTGACACACCTATTTGGCTTACAGAAGACGAAACAACAACAACAACAGCAAATGGAACTTACGATGCATCAGCATTCTGATCGAGTGTTCTATACACATTGGAGCTGTTTGCCAGATATGACTCAAGACCATTGCAGTTAATACCACCTATGTTCAGTCGCCAAGTAGCTCCTTCAGTATGCAATCCTCAAGCAGAAGGGATAGATGATGCGGATCTAATTGCCTACTATACAAGTCTGTAATCTAGCATCTGCATAATTAATTTTGGCTTCCTGGTCTTGCTCGTTTCAGTTATCTCGCTGTTCTAGTTGTGGAGTCTCTGATGAGCCTCATCATGCTTCCAGTATCAGATTTGGGTGATGGATCTTCCTCCCTCTCTGGCTGGATGTTTAAATCGATTTGAGGGGCCTTAACTGCCGTCGGAGAAGTTCTTCTGTGGTCAGGTGCTGCATTGACTATCGTATCGTTGCTTGCTATTTCTTTTTGAGAAGCATTGTCATCGCCTGGACCAGTCGACGATGGGTCACTCTTCACTTGTGGCAGCACCTCAGACGATGGTAGCATGGGCTTCTGCTGCTGCTTCCGTGCAGTCTCAGATTCCTTTTCAGACTGACGCTTTTCACGCCTTAACATGAGTGTTCTGAACCTGCGTTTCACGGTGAGGCAAACGTTGCAAGTGCAAGTCTGCTTGTGCTTGGGACCTTTTCCGCTTGGAGGCTGTATACAGACGATGCATGTGCAGCCAGGCCTGTGCCGTGGGTGTCTTGTTGTTGGTTGAGACGTCGGAAGGTTTTTGCCTTCACCAAGAATGGCAAGGTTGGCAAGTGTATCGAGCCCATCAGATACTTCAATGTTGTTGCTTTCTACTTTCACCTTGGCCCTCTTGGAAGCATCTGCTAATCACCAAACAATTGGTGTCAACAAACCCATACATCAAGAAAACAAGTTGAATAAAATGCTAAATCAAATTTGTGTCAAAATTTTCAAAAAGCTCGCTACCTCAGATCAAATTCAGTGTTACAGGTTAAGTTATCTTCCGAAATGATACGGTAAAATAACATGTGAACCTCAGCACAGAAATGCACATCAAAGTTTAGCGTAAAGTGTTTGGTGGTGTGCTCATAACGTCTATGACGTCAAATTGGAAGCTGAAGCCATGGTACTAAAATATGCTATTAGCATTTTATCATGTGCCTCGCTAGTGTAATAATGACGAACTGTGAGAACATCCTTCCTCTTTTAAGCATACAACTCTGGGGATCAGTCTATTTTAACATACCCCATGGAAAATATCCAAAGATTGATGTTCCTATTTCCTGATGACCTTTACTTCAAAACCTTTATCGAAGTAACAGCATTTTAAATGATCATTGCACTTCCCAGAACCATACCTATACCCAGACATGCAACTGATTTATGTATTTTCCATGAGAAGTACATTACAAGTGTCCATATACTTGACCTGGAATTCTCAAGTAAACTAATCAACACAGAGTCTCCCACATTTTTTTATCAATGAGACAGGAACAACCATAATGGCAATAATGAGTCCTCTTGTCAAATGCTTAAAATGGCATTATCATGATCTTAAATCAAAAGTCAAATGCATTAGTAAGAAATATTTTGATTTGTTACCATAGGAAATGGGTATTGCCAAATTAATCACAGAACTTTTCGCACCTGTTTTACAAGAGATCATAGCAGCTATCTGCTCCAAATTCAATTCTTGTGCAGATGAACAAGATGACCTACATGTTCAAAGAAAAGTCAACTGTCAGAGAAGCATCACATTTTGCTCAGAAAAAAAAAAAAAAAAACTGATGACATTTAGCTAAGGTTTCAGAAAAGTCAAATTACAATATTAAACAGATATCTTGTGGTTATGCTAACTCTAACTTAGAGTTCATGTCACAAACAATCAAACATCATCAAGTTTAGCTACCATGGAATGTGCCACAACGTATGGCACCTGGTAAGCCAAGTAGGATTTTACATGACTCCTCTGGTCCCACAAATTCTGAAGACATAGCCAAGAACTCAGTCAAAGGCCCTTTCAGCATAGAGGCTTTCACAAAGGCCTACGAGTCATCAACCACTTATGCCCATGTCAACTCCACAAGTAGACAAGGTATACCACCACTCAGGTAAACAAACATAATTTCTCAGCTCCTCTCCTGCATTGACCGCTAGGAATGCCAACTTTAGTCCATAATTAGCTAACAACTAATCTCTACAACCAGACAAGCTCATCCCCTTTATAAACAGAGCCCTCTATGACCCCAAAGAAAGCTCTCTTGAAAGAATTGTCTCAGTTAGATTTGGTCACTCCATCAGAGGCAATTTCTGGTGTCCTAATGGTGTTCATATTGTAGGCCAACAAATTTGGAGGGTCTTTCTCTTCCCTTCCTGCAACCGGGTGAGCACCAAAATGACAAAGGGCCACACAGCCATCCAACAGTTATGCCACTCCCATCCTCTAGTTTTCATGCAGCAACTGTAATTCTAGTAGCTTCTTGCATCTTACATCACAGAAAATTTTTTGACCATCACAAACAATTTGCTTACGAAACTAGAATCGCCGACCTTCTAAAATCATGCAAATCTCACATGTATCAGTACCTTACCAAAGTGATTACTCTTATGAAATTGAGCATCACAAACAAAATGCTCTCAAGCAGCTGTCTTTAGCTATGTAAAGCTTTTAAATGCTATGCTAAGTGACCACAAAAGGTAATACAGCAAACAATGTGTTGTGATTGCCTGAAGAAAATTGCAATTCACAGCCTTTCAGCTTTGACAAAGCACAATCCAGTAGAAAATCTATGGGATAGACTTTTATTCTATATTTAATACAGATAAGGTCCATCTATGGATGCCATCATTTAATTGAACTCTGAAATGTTTTTAGCTTATTAAAAACTAAAGAAATTCCAAATCACCTTTGAGGATCCGAAACATTTTCAGTACAAGTCCACTTAAATGGCAGGAGTGCGTCAATTGGCAGTTTGCGCCACTTCAAACAATCCTCACACTGAGCCCATTGATAATTTTCACTGGTCAAAAACACAAACATTAGCATTCAATGAGCACAATATAAGTAATTTATTCTTATTAAAAGAAATACATGTTAATGAAGTAACAAAAACACAAACATTAGCATTCAATGAGCACAATATCAGTAATTTATTCTTATTAAAATAAATACTTGTTAATGAAGTAACAACAAGTGATTCCCATAGAATAAGCAAACATTACGTAGATTCGAATGACAACCACCTTCAGGAATAGTCAATCTCATTGAACTTTTCATTTATACTGAGTGACAAAATAGAAATGAGGTGTAAAGAAATACAAGGGTTTTAATTTCGAATGATACTGCCCATACCGGGTGGTACGTACCGGTCCGCCAGTAGACCGATATGCGTACCGCCCACTATTGGGCGGTACCATCGATTGAAGTTGTTTCTGCCCCATTACCGTAGCGAGCGGTATTAGCCGAGGGACAAGAAAGAAGAGGGAGAAGAAAAGGGTGAACCTGGAGATCCGACGTCGCTCTCCCTCAACGATCCTAATCCATCGTGGATGCCGCAGATGAGATGTCGCCTCCTCCTCGTCTGAGGCGACGAGGCCTCGGCGTCGTCGGCGGTTTCTCCTCAACCATGTGGGGAGAAGAAGCCTCGACGGGGAGAAAAAACCGTTCCCCACGCGGGGAGAAGAAACCGTGCGTGGGGAGAAGAAACCACCTCTTCTACCATACCAAGCCGAGATCAAAACTCCGATACGGTACAAAATTGCAATCCTTGAATAAACATGCAAATACACATAATCCACATACAAAGTACATCTAAAATGTGGGTTAAACACCTATGCTCCTTGTTTCATCTTAAAGGCCAAATTTCTCTGTCACAAAACCTACCACTACATGGCATAAGGGTAGAGGAAGCAACTTCTACATGATATTAGAAAATGGATCCAAAATTACTTGTCAAAATAAGCCCTTAACAAGTTAACATTTTGCTTTTCCCACATGGCTATGAAGCATATGAAAAATTGAGCCAAATGTTTTTATTATGATGGGTAAACCGATTCGGATTCATCAAAAGCAACTGGTTAGCATGATAAAAGTTAATCCAAGTGTACACATTAAACACACACACTAAATGAGAGAAGACTTCAAAGAAGAATCATAATTTTCATCTAGTTATGCCACTTTCAAAAACTCGTTTCTCTCTCACACAGAATTACCTTAAACATGAAAATCCGAGCACACTGTATGGGTGCAGATACAAGTCATACTGCTAGTCTGTTTCTGGCATAGAATCAGATATCCATTATCTTTGGACCATGACACAGGTTCAGTAACTAGATTGTTTACAACATGAAATAAGATCCAGATCAAATACCATAGCAGTTTGAGTGAAAAGAATTGTGAGCAAAGAAGTAGAACCTAGAACACGGTTTTAGGGGTAAAGGGGTTTGCATAAATATGCTTCCCCTTGTTAGCATAAAATTCAAGGGAAATCTTGTGCATATAGGAAGTACCAGTACAAATGAAGTTCCTACTTCTCACTTCTGGGTAGAATAGTCTTCCACTGATTAAGAGTTCCATGATTTTCTCTCACCTCTTAATATGGATACCATTGATATAAATATGTAGCCCAATTTCCAAGCCATTTTAACTTCGTAACTCATTTTTTAATACCATGTACCTTCCTCTGTTCTGCATTCTAATTCCTCATAACTTATATGCAAGATTTATACCTCCTTGAGACATACTCCTTTTTCATACTATACAATGGCCTGATTCTAAACAGAATGCCTTGATAAAAAAGAATAAAAATGAATGTGGGAGCAACCCACATGGAGTTTTTTGACTTAACTATCATATATTGCCAGTTCCCTATAGCAGTGACTGAAATCCAAACTGAATTGATAAGGTTCTCCACTGCCAACCTATCCTACATTGTACTACAGGACAAACTCTGTAAGTTACCATTTAAAAACTACAACGACCAACATGTCAAGATACTGATCAACTGAGATATATATATATATATATATATGTGTGTGTGTGTGTGTGTGTGTCTGTGTGTATGTATATATAGGTATGTATACATAGGTATGTATACATATATATAAATACATACATATATATATATATATACATACATATATACATATATATATACACATATATATACACATATATATATATATATACATATATATATACATATACATATATAATATACAGAAGTGCTTCTTTTGGATCTTTAGGTGTATCACTGGCCTGTTTTTCTTCAATAGATACATTTGGCATGCAAGTTTTAATTTCATTTTAAGATCTATCAGAAAAAAAAATCAGCATAATATATAGCCCCCAGATGTTGCAATCAACATATACATTTGCAGAGTGGAGAAAACAACCACATTAAACAAACTTTAAAAAGTAATTAAAATGTATGACGTTAAGAAATAAGGAACATGTGCCAGAAAGAATACCCAGCTGGATTTGTGGTAAAGTATGTCCGCTTCCCTAATACAGGTGCTTCCTGTTCACAATAAGGAATTGGATGTTAAAAAGAGAAAATATAATTCCCAATTCAAATTATATATGCATAGTAATGAATATGGTCCAACTTTTGAAAAGGCCATATCTTAGCAAGTACAGAAAAACAAAAATGAAAATGCTTTGCGTTTGCAGAATGACACTCAGAAATGAAGTTATGGGGCATTTAGGAACTTGACAGTCTAATGAAGTCAGATATTCATGGTAAATCAATGCATTTTCTGGCATTTGATCCCTTACTAGAATGGCAAAGTGACTTAGCAAAAAAAACGTTCTTGAGCTTTTCTCCATAAGCAGAAGGTTTGGTAAGAACTATGAAACATGGATATGGATACTGAATATTATACAACCTACCATGGATATGCTGATATGTAAATTCTTGAAAAAGGATCCAGCACAGATACAACAAAGGAAAATATTTTAAATATATAATACTACATATGACAAACCTTGTGCTTATTGAGCACAAGGTAAGCATGGTTATTTGAAAAAGGATCCAGCATGGATACAACTATGAAACATGGATATGAATGATCTACTTATCAAGATTCAAGATAAATAATAGCTTGGGATATCAAATGGCCAGAAGACTCTTTCTGAACCAGAAAATTAGAAAGAATGCTAGTCCCATAAATAAAATAACCAAAGACTGATGTTAACAATCTCATAATTAACATAGTCAACAAAGGATGCAATGTGGTCAAGTAACACTAGGTTAGTTTAATCATATTTTAATTTGGCTATTTGTTATTCTATTTTGCAGAACATTGTTGGAATCTTCAAAATAATTTTTTACATGCAGTACCAGCAAATCTTGTAAGACGTTTTTGGTCCAATATGATTACTGTATTTTATGATATGAGTTGAATTTTATATTACTGTATGAGTATTTATTAAGGAAAGAATGAGCAGCCATGTCATCTTATTAAAGCTCTGTCAGCAGCACTTTTTCCTCATTGAAAAGAGTGCTAAAGAGCTCGAGTTTCACAAGAGAACAGAAAATGACTGACTTGAGCAGAAAGAGGTTCAGTCTTTTGAGCACTCACTATATTTTACCTCACTTGGAGTAGATTAAGTGAACAAGAGTCTGATCTTTTTTATCATAAGAGAAATGTCAGCTTAAAATCTGTTTGTATGGAGAAAAGTAGTTTCATACTTTCATTACCATGCCTTTGAAAAAGCAATAAAATCAAAAGCAAAGGGAAGAATAAGGCTGGAACTTAATTCATCAACTTATAAGTCCAAAGAGCAAAATTTAGCCCTATATAAGTCCAACTATCCAAAGAGCAAAATTTTAGGATAATCCGATCTTACTAGTTACTAGAAACCTTCTAAAATCTTATTCCGTTGTGAGGAGTCTTGTCTGCAACACAGCAACAAGGCCAATCTCTATAAGATATGCAAAGACTGATGTGTAATGTGTACTATTCAATGTATAGTTGTGATACTCCATTCCATCAGAGTAACTTCCACCATTGAAAGTCAGTTTTCTAAGAGCTTTGTTTGATTGACAGTAAAAGGACTAACAGAAAGGTTGCTTTAAGCAAATCAAGCTTTCAGTTGATATAGCTGTTCCAGTTCAAGCTAACCAAGAGCGAGAGCTCACTGATGCAACTATATTTATATTTTGAGAGTTACTTGGGTATTGACTATTGAAAATCAGATAACAAGAAAGAACAATTTTCCTCATTTCTCTCAGAAGAATATACTTTGTCATCTGACACACTCCTTGCTGTAAAGGATCTGTACAGCTGCCCTCGCCAGCAGTCAATAGCAGAAAACCATGGCTAAAACCATAAGATATCTCTATGAATTAACAGTAGAAAAGTGGAATAGTTCTCTTTTTCTAACAGTCTTTCTCTCCACTTCTAATAAGCAAAAAAGATTTTAAATCTGGATATTATATGAGTAATAAATTTTTAATCATAAATGGCGGATGTGTATAAATTATGAACGTTGCAACCAAAAAAATACAGAAGCACTTAGTCAAACGTATCCGACCTAGATATTAAACAATCAACAATCTACTTTTGCTGGACTTCCATGTAGCATCAGATGCTGTACATCATGTAGTTAAATGATTTACAATAAACCTGAGGATAAGGAACAAAATTAGCAGCCAACTGGATATATAGTCTTATATTCACAAATAAGTGCAACCAAAGTAACAAAACACAATCAGACAAATTATACCCAACAGGGTATACAAAGGTATAAGAGCCTAAGCACAAATTCTACCCATTCATGCATAAATTAGAAATTTTAGCATAGTTTTGTGCATATATTATTGCACTGATTGATGGGTACCAGTATCTACATTTAAAACCTTGGATTTGCATAAGATCTCACCGCTATAAGAATCATAAATATCATGCATGGCATAGTGGATCGTACTATTCTCAAATTTTCAATGTATGCATGCAGTAGAAGAATATGGTGAATTTGCAAAAAAGCAAAAGCTGCGAAACAATAACCTGGGAAAAAATATCTTAATGACAAAAAGAAACTAAACAATGAAGTAGAAGGATGAAAATTATAATAAACCATACATAGGACAAGATGGAGCAAAATTGGATCCTTCTATTAAGCATGAAGCAAACCTATAAGAGTAATACAAAGTGCTACACCTTGTGACTTAAGAATCAAAAGTTAAATATCACCATAGCAGTTAAGTACAACATAAATGATAACTCTAAGCTGTTTACCTCATATTCCTCGAACTCGTGACCTTCAATCACAACAATCCCAGGAGAAGAGTTTGGAGGTGGTCGGAGCAGCTCTTGAGCCTCTTCCCATGTTAGTTTCAATTCCATGGATTCCTCATTTTCAATCCGTAGACGTTTACTCTTTGAGCCAAGAGTGCTGGCTTTCCTTTTGCTAGGAACCTGCAACGACCTGGCAGCAGGCCCATCTTGTTGTATAAATCCTGCCTTTGTGAACTTAGGCCAGGACGATTTGTCTGCTGCATTGATTGGATTACTTGGCTCTATGCTGGCTTTAGAGGCTCGAAAAGGGACATTTCCAATGAGATCTGTAACAGCAATTTTGTCATTACCTTCTGGAGGTGTTGAGAAATCACTGCCAGATATATGTGTTTGAGTATCCTGCATATGAATATGAAAATCAAACTTTAAACTTCATAGTTCTTAAGTTAAACAAAGTCAGAATTTTCAATAATTAACCAAATAAATTGGAACACCTTAGAAAGATATCATATTCCACATTTTTATTAGCATATAAAATCATCCATACTACAATGGGCATTCCTACGGTTGATAAGGTCCTCCAGAGCAAATAAGACCTTATGTATAACTATTGTAGACTTCAACTGAAATATTACTTGGAATGGTAACATCTTTTCCCACTACTGACCTCTATGTAGTGCAACATCCCTAGTTAAACTTATAATGGTAAAAGTCTATTTTTATTGTTCTGCTAATATAGAGATGCATGCTGCCCAAGAAAAACAAAATTGATAGCAACACATTTAAAAGAAAGGTTGACACGTGGATGCCAATACATATTATGAGAAGTCTCTCTGTCAATATGCTTCATGAAGAAGTCAGAATCTATCTATTTTCTAGATCTACATAATTTGGTCATGCGTGCATATTTTATTTCAAGAATGTTAAACGTACAAGTCACAATAACCAACCTGTTCAGTAGAGCCGCTAGAAGCCTTTCTAAATCCCATGACCAACTTTCCTTCTGGATCTATCCTACTAAAGGTAACTGCAGAAGCACATAAAGTGTAGTTACACCAGAAAATAGCAAATAAATTTTGGTTTCACTGGAAGTAAAATTGTCTCTGGGAATAGAAGAGAATAAAGAAGAGTATGAACAAAAAAGAATCGAAGAGGTGTATTTAGAGTAAAGACCCAGCCCTTTCCATTAGCATCTTCAAACAATTTTATTATATGGAAAATTGTATGTATATCCCCGCACAACCTTCATATATCACATCATGAGCAAAGAGCAAATGTGAAAAACTACAACCGCTAGGATGAAACAACTTTCAGAAAGCTAATATAATGACTTGACATTTCATGTCGTAATGGGAACATAAACGGTCAATTACACTAATTTTACTTTTCTTGGAATAAATGGTAACCTCAATACAAGATTTCAAAGGATCAAATATACAGGTCAGGTAAAATACATTCACAGAGTTCTGAGGGGGAAGAATCGTAGACATATGCATTTGCCATTCAGATAAATTATGATGGATTAATACAAAGAAGAACAGAAGCATCAGATAGCATAGTCGGCTTGCAACAGTTGAGGAGAAAAAAGAAATTGCTCTGCTTATAGTACCTGTGTCTCCTGCTTGCAATTGCATTGCCTGAATACAAGGTGTAACGCCTTCCAAGACATACATCCTGCTGTTATTATTAGGCCAAAAACGAAACTGAAACACCCAATCCTTTCCACTAGCATCCTGAACTTTCAAAGGAAGTCCTTCAGGCTGAGAAATTGTGGGAAAGTATGCCTATGTTGTAACAACCATGACGATAGTCAGAGACAATCGCAAACTTAATTCTTAGTCTAGTCTAGATAAGAATATATTCCAAACATAGACATTTTATATCTAACAAAGTTTAAAACTTTAAATTATATATTCCAAACTTAAAACCCAACACTGCATATTTTGTGCTTCAATTTTCAAATCAATGTCCGGACAAGTATTGGAGTCAAACTATAACTGGAACCCAACCCATTTAAGTTGCCTTGGTCAAAGATTGACCGGCCAAAAGTATGCAAAGAAGCTTCTAGAGACTAAGATCGGTTTCTAAATGCAGCTTTACTAGCTATTCTTCCCAAGAAACAAGTAATTTGCTATTTACATCGATGCCTCTCATATGTGGTAAGGGTGTATTTTAGTATGAAATGTAGAAGTGGTAACTCATGCCTCTCAATAGCTAAAAGAATATGCATAAAGGTACACCGGCATGATATAAATTTGCAGCAAGACTATCATTAAATAAAAGTAGACATGTCAATATCTTTTTGGCATGGTACATTGCCATGCCATGCCAATCCGGTCAGCACGCCACCTGGAACAACCACCAACACTGGCAAGAATTGGCCTGATCATGTAATCTCATAGCCCAGCATGTCACAGCAAGAACCAGCATGACTTGGCAAGTGGCAATCCATGCGAACCAGCATGGTAATCTTTATTTACTAGCAACTTAAAAAAACATATGACGACATTATTTATATAATGCAAAATGAAAGATTCATATCAATTACCATAGTTTAGACTTTGAAGCAAGGTTTGCCGTACCGGACTGTACCGCCCGGTACGGGCGGTACGTACCGGTCCGACAGGCCAGCGGTACGCGGACCGCCCCGTACCGTACCGAGTACTGTAGCAGTGTACAGTGCTCGGTACACGTGAGTGTACCGCTCGGTATACCTGGGTGTACCGAGCGGTATACCGTACCGTACCGGTACCGAGCCTGGGTCGAAACGCCGGTACGGTACGGTACGGCGAACCTTGCTTTGAAGTACTTATTTGTACAAATCTTTTAATTTGAAGTATAATAACTTGGTTGAGTAGGTAAAAGATTGTAGTTGTGTTATCAATCATCTGCCCAGGAAGGCTAACATGGTGAGTTGATATCCTAAACCAGAAAATATGCAGGCAGATTGGCACATATGTGTGGCAGTTGAGTTGTTTTCCCCAGTTAGGTTGGCAAGTATAAGAACGTTCAAGAAAATTTCGCAAAAGCTCATCCATTTGCATGTAGACAATCCCATTGCAAAAAGGTATCAGACATAAGATCTAGTATGCTTACATGTAATTGTTAAAATCCCATCACGATCTTATAGTGTAACATTATAAGATGTAGATATTTGCAGCACACATTCTTTTATGCAAAATGAATCATTAACTTCTATGGCTTCGCATCCATTAAAATTCACATTCTTTCATGCAAAATGAATCATTAACTTCTAAGGCTTGGCATCCATTAAAATTTGGGCCGAGCCCTAAGCCATCACTCAAGAAAGTAAGCCATCATTCTTGAATATCGGTTGTAGACTCTCTACTTAATGCTTCCTTTCCATAGCATTGTTATAGTAAAGTCAACAATCATTATTAAAGCATCATTGGCATCAGTTGTACCCTTCAACATTTCAGTTCTACACTAAAAGCCACATGGTATGGCCATAAAAATAATGAATCAAAGACAACCTGTAGAGGTCAAGAGGATGAAGCTAAGAAGTGAAGATCAACCAAAGAGCTAATTTTAGAACTTATAAAATTGGTTCAACTTTTATACTTAACCCTGAAAGAGGCAGCATGCTGACCATCTGCTGCATATGGATCATCTCGGAGACAAGTAAGAAAAACCAAAAAAAAGTTTAGTTGCTTTGGCGTAATAGATGACAAATCATGAGAAAATTTGAATGTGAAGAATGGAAGGAGTATTAAACAACAAAATAGGTAATAGATATAGATGCAATGGCCACACAGCACTTCGATGTGAGTAGGAAACTATAATGCACCTAGAGACATGGCTCAACAGAAGAGTAATGTCAATACAACCAGATAGGGAAACAATTACTCTATAAACTTCAGGGCTCAATTACTTGATTTGTTGAAGATCTATTTCTAAGAACTGAAAAGTTTAAGATGTCACCTCAGCACATTTCTTTGGAAGCACAAGACGTCCAATCCTGCCAGCATCACTAGCACTTAACATCTTTTCAAACAATGGAGTGATGACGGAATTTGTACTTATAATAGGTCAAGCAAAAGCTTCAGTGGATTAGACAGAAATAATATGAATAGAATGTCAACAAATCAAGGTTAGATTAACAATGACTAAACCAAATATATAATGATTAACAAGGTGGAAGGATACTCCCCAGATATTTGTTGTAGCTCTTGATCTGTTATCCTAGGCCAATATCGAGGAAGCAATTGTGTTCGTGAACGGGCATCCACTCTAGCTCTTCCATTGCGCATTTGAATTTGCAGTTCAGTATCTGCGATACCCTCGGGGTAAAACTGCTTTGGTAATGGAGAAGTTGTTAGTTGTGGTGGTTGGTTTGACAAGAACTTCATTGGCTCCCTTGATCCATTTGTCGATGAAAAGGGAGCCGCCAACCCAATAAGTGGAGAAGAGTCTTCTTTTGAAATAGGTAAAGGTTGCAATTTGATAGATGAATTTGCTTTTGCTTCAATTTTAACTCCAGAACTGGTTGAACAAGGATCTGGAATTACTGATTTCCTTGTAGAATCAGGATCATTTTCTCCTACAAGCAAGAAAGATTTTAGCAAGACATCAGTGTTTCTTACTTCTTCTTTATATTTATTGTATGAAGGAAATGACTCCAAACCTGTGTTCCCATGAGCATATCTGTCTCGTGCAATATTGTTATGGCTGCCAGACATTATTCTTTCGGGTAGTTCTTCAAATTTCTTTTCATGTGCTGATATAGAATGGCGGCCTCCAGGTGCCAATTTTTCAATGTTACTAGGTCTGTCAAATTCATATGATAGCCTTTGCTGTAAGTCAGACTGCAAGCTTGTCATGTTCCACATATGTGGAGCTTGACGCCACTGTCCAGAAAATGGACTGGTTATCGGTCTCCCAGATTTAACAGGTAAATCTCTCCTCTCAGATACATGTTGGTGCATAAGCATAGGAGAAGACAACATTTGATTTGGTGCCTAATATAGTAAGAGCAACCATAAAGCAAAAGAATTGGGTAAGTGGTAAAAACTAATATGCAACCAAAACAATTGCTCTCGGAAGTCTATATCTGGAGCTAACATTATCTGGAATAAGCACAAAGGATGATATAAATAGGAAATAGACATTTGGGCTAATATATTAAAACTAGGTCAGATGAGTACAGCAGCTAAATTATCCAAGTTTTGACTTGCAAAATTAGTTGCATTTCTCCTAATGTGCACACAAAAAATAATAGGATCATGTCATACCATTCTCAGACCTCTTTCCTACACAGTTACCTGTCATTAGTCATGTTTAAAGATTTGGACGGAAGGGACTCAAGGAGAATATAGGAGTGACAGGGTCAAAAACTTTGCGTGAACAAGGAATTTATTTTATCAGGCATTTGTTAAAACAACCAGAAGCAACGAAACTAGTACGGAGTGCCTACAATTAATGAAATTAGGTAATTAACCTTACATTTTAAACTCTATGCTCTCGTATCAAAAAAGCCAATTAAATATTTTTTGACCAACAAAAATTTTCAAATGTGGTGCAGCATGAACAATCATATACCAGAAAAAATATATAGAAAGTAACAGTGCAACCTTTAGATACTGCATAACAATCACCACAAAAGCATTATTGAGCTCACCATCGCAAGAGATTTCCTAGCGCATGCAATGCACTCAACTCCTCCAACATCAAGAAACACGTACGTAGGGGCTGAGGCAACACACCCACAATGCACCCGCTGCAAACCAAGATATACCACATAAACAGCCACCAGCAACATTTTGTGTTATTAACATTTCGGGGTGAGGCCAGACGCGCACATGCTAATCTTACTGATTAGAATAAAAACTGAGACTTTATTTTCTAACCTTGCCACACGCCTCACAGTTCCTCCAACCAGCAACATCAGAGTGAAACGTCTCGCAGAAAGACCCTTGCTCAAAAGCGCAGCTACAGGGAAACGAAAAAAATCCCGGGCAAATCTTTACGAAGGGCACTACTAACTGACGAGAACAGTAGAAAAAGGAAAAAAAAAGAACGCTCAACCTTTTAGAACCGTACATCCATCACCACAAAGACACGAAACCAAATCTTACGAAGAGCACAAATTGAAGACAACAGTAGACCAAGAAACAAAAAGGAAGTTCGACCCTTCAGAACCGCATATCCAATATCACAAGCAGAAAAAGTACCATCCTATTGCACTTCCTTACATACGTTCAGCCCCCGCCTCCTCCCTCAACCCCCCCGCCCTTCCCAACACGAAAAAAAAAACGTATAAAAGAAACATATTTCAAATATGTGACCTTTTCTCCATCCGCAACGACAGAACACCAATTCAGCAAGCAATCACAACATAACACGACTAATAGACTGTTAGTACGTAAAGATGAAAACCTCAAAGTCAGGATAACAAAAGGAAGGGAATGTCGATAAAAGAACAGCCGCCGCAGCCGCAGGCCCCCGATGATCTAATGATGCAGCAAGTAGCATCGCCCGATCAAATCTGAGCACCGAAGCGCCCAACTCCAGAACAACCAAATTCATTTATAGAAACCATCCAACGTGGAAAAGACCTTTTTCTTAACAGTAAAAAGGGAGATTTGCAAAACGAAAAAAACAAGAGAGAGAGAGAGAGAGAGAGAGAGAGAGAGAGAGAGAGAGAGAGAGAAGGGGGAAGACGCACGAGCAGCGGTCGCAGAGCTCAGCGATCTCGCCAGAACGAAGGCGCCACCCCCCCTTCTTCCGCGGAGGCGTGTGGTCCAGTATAACCTCCTTGCAATGGGAGTTGAAGCAGATCTTGCCCCCTGACAGCGACACCGATGTAGGCGACGACATAAAGACGAGATGGTAGGAGAATAAGAAGAGATGAAACCGCAGATCCTGGTCGAGAGCTCCCAATCAAGAATCACGAAGCCGTAAATTGGAAGCCATGAGAGTGAGGAAGAGAGCTATGAGGGGTCTGGTGAGTTGGATTGGGTTCGCCCGATCGAGGAGGAGAAAGAATCGAGGACGACGAACGAGAGAACGAAGGGGAGGGTGCGGAAGCTCCATACATAAAAACGAGTTGGTGCTATCCCTTAATACTATCAACAGCAGCGCTTCGGACGCACACAAACCATCATACCAAAAAGACACCGTAAAAAGCGAGAAACGAACGATCGGCGCATACACTGTTATGTGCGCGTTTGACGGTCAGGATCGATCCGGTGACAGACATGGGTGTCGGCTGGGGGGCTCGGAATCTTTAGTCTTTGCCTTTGTCTTGACGTCATGGCTTCCCGACTGCGACGGCTGCTTCGAGATTCGTGGGATTCATCGACCAACGGTCCCAATTTGCGTGCAGGGTGCGCTCGATTCACCGTTTCTTTTCACCCATTCGGCGCAAATAGAAAGACAACGGCGTTCATGTGGGACCCGCGTTATTCGATTCCTCCAATCAGAAGAAAGGTGGATCGTTCGGGCAGCGAAAGCGCGTCGAACGAAAATTATTCGGGGTGTTCTCGGCTTTATGTGCTTGGCACCGTCGATTGTGTACCGTGTGATGGTCGGGTGGTCCGATCCAACGTCTCCAAGTAACGATAGATTTGATTCATCGGGTTCGATTCGGCTCGAAGAACAGATGCAAATATCTGATCCCTTCTAAATCATAAACATTACTTAATTGATGTCATGCAGCCGATCGAATGAAATATGCCATTCGATGGGGAATGCATACTGGAGATTATGATTCCGACACTGATCCAAACAAATCGAAAATTTCAATCTTCCCAGCTACTTCTCCTGAGCAAGAACACGTTCAAACCCAATGGTCCTGTCAATATATTACATGTAACCTACCATAGAGTCTCTTTCTTTCCGTCGACCAGCGTTCTCGTGCAAGATTATGTGACTTGGAACTTCTAAGATAAGCTCATGATACCTTTCTTTGGCTGCTGCTTGCAACAGAAGCTTCAGCGGAATGAGTTCTTTTCTGGTGGCTGATATGAGGTCGATGCCGTCACATGGAACGTTCGCTTGTTGTGGAACGTTGGAGATGCGCTCTCGACCCTCGACATCCAACGGGCTTCGAACGGACCCCTTCGACATTGACGGTGGGCCGAAGGGCAGTGCCGTTCCCGTCTCGCGAATTACCCGAACCGCCATCTCAAGCACGAGCGCCTCTCGTCTCCTTGCCATTGCCCGTGCGCGTAATTTTCTCCACATCGAAGGGCTTTCCTTTCGAGAACCCGTCGCTTTCGTTTTCTTGATTTCTGCTGTTACTGTGGAGAAGTAGAAGAAAAGGGACGGATGGGTCCCGTGCTCCATTGCGAAAATTTGAATTCCCGGGGAAACAAACCCTAGTTTTCCCTTCAAAGGAAGCTTTTTTTTGTTTTTTAGCCCCCATCTCTTCTTACAGCAACGCTGGTAACTCGGGTTTTAGTTTGATTTTTGGAGCATTACGGTGATCTCCATCTCCGCCTTCCTCCCTGTCCTCGGTGATGAAGGCTTTCTTGCGTGGGCGTTGCCTTGATTCCAAGTTTCAGGGTCTTCGGCAAGGGCGGGATAGATTCCAGGTTCTTATTTGGTTCCCCTGTGCTCAATGTGTTCCGAGTATAGTGTTACAGGGTCGTGTTACTTGAACTAAATCCGCAGGAAATATCTCTTTTTGACTCTGTACTGCAGGAACTCCAAAAAAGATTGCGGCTTTCTTGTTCTGCATTGAGAAAGTTGTCATTTTGGTAGTTATTTTCAATTTGGGGGTTTGGAATCATGTCAGCTGCCACTATGACTCCTACCGTCGCTCGGAGCTCACTGGAGGTGATGCTGGATACTATCAGGCTGAGGGATGAGCAGCCAAAAGATCTGCCACCGGCTTTGCCGGTCCGCCCCACCTCGAGGGGACGCCTCCCCACCTCAAGAAGGTCGTTGGCCGTCAATCTTAAACTAGACAGAAGTGCACCTGAGGAACTTTTGACGGACTCTATGAAGTGGGATGACAAGACGGAATATGACATGCCAAGGGGTGATAAGGGGGCGGTGTTTAGAAGTGGAATACTTCAAAGTAAGAGGATGGCAAAGGTGGAGCGACCATTAGAATCTCCATATATCAAGATTACAAAGAGAGACAGTTATGAGGAAAAAGTGGAGGTAACCGATAATCGAGCGAGTGCTGCTGTCCAGTTGCCATCAGCAGTGTTGCTGGATGACAAGTCAGAATGGTGTGACACAATTAAATATGCCCTAAAGAAGGTATTAGTATTTTTCAGAAAATGTCATCATTATGTTCTCTGATTTGCTTGATTACAAGAAACATTGCTGTCGTTGCCATGACATGGTTCAGAATTTGTGACTCATTTTATTTTGTCCAAGCATGTTAGCCTTTTCTTTTCCAAGGAAAAACATGGTAACTTTGACGTGGATTCATGGAATTAATTCACTATAATGACATTGGAGATTTGCTTAAATCAACATGTAATTCTGCTGCACCGTTTCAGATCTAAAATGGTTGAACTTCCTCTGACATGTACAAAATTTATGCTTGATTCTTTGGCATATTTATTCTTTAGGAAATTTGTCAAGCACGTTACTTATGGTGTCTTCTTCATTTCAGAACCTGCAGGTTTGGTGTTGGATCTCCAATGCCAGGTGGGAGCTGGGCCAGATCCATACAATTTCCAGAGATTATGTAGATATTTTGCTGTCTAATGGCAATGTAAGTTTTTAATCTGTAGGTTGTAAGTCTGCAGCATTTGAATGAATGGCACCCAAGTACTAACTAGTGTTTCTATTCAGGTTCATTCAGTTTCCAGGGAAAGTATCTTACCTGCCAATCCACATATCCTTGATGGTGTTGACAATCTTATACAACTTAGTTACTTAAATGAACCTGCAGTTCTCCACAATATTAAATACCGATATGCCAATGATTTTATTTATGTAAGCATGTTTTTGAACAGACATTACTCCCGGTAACTCTTCCTGTGTTTTCTATGCTTTAACTTATTTGCTGGTTTCTTTTCCTTTCTTTAGACCAAAGCAGGGCCTGTTTTGGTTGCAGTCAATCCATTCAAAGAGGTGCCCCTTTATGGAAGAGATTATGTTACAGCTTACAAGCAGAAACTCAAAGACAGCCCACATATTTTTGCAATAGCGGATACTGCTTTTAATGAAATGATGAGAGGTAGACAAGTGTCTTTTGTTGAAAATTGTGCAGTTCTCTTAGTTATGCCCATTAGTGGTTACATGAATTTCTGGACTAATTGATAATTCCTGTGTGCGGGTTCTGCAGATGGAGTAGATCAATCTATCATAATAAGGTGGTTATATCTTTTCTCTCCGTAGGAATATGTGAAACTTTAACCTATTTATGCTTCTTCTGCTTGTTAATTAGATAGAAAAATTGAGTTAGCTTTGCTTGATGAACTATTCTGTGTAATGAGTCACAGTGGTGAAAGTGGTGCTGGTAAAACCGAGACAACGAAATTTGCAATGCAGTATCTTGCAGATGTTGGGGGTGGTGGCAGCATAGAGGATGAGGTTTTGCAGACTAATTCAATACTGGAAGCATTTGGAAATGCAAAAACTTCAAGAAATGACAACTCCAGCCGATTTGTGAGTTTGCCCAAGTCCACTGAAAATTTTATTTATTTTCACCAGATTTTTTACTTGTTAATGGACATGTAACCCTCAGTAATGCCAATATGGAGCTTCCAATTTGATTATTGTTTGAAAATATGTTTATTTATATGCTGCAGGGAAAGCTAATTGAAATACATTTTAGTGCCACTGGAAAAATTTGTGGTGCTAAGATCCAAACCTGTAAGAAATTATGCCTGTTTGCTGCTTCTCATTTTATGTTTTATATATCAACTGACTTTTTCTCCTCTCTTATTCTTCAAACTTTGATGCATGCAAGTCTTACTCGAAAAGGTACTCCTACAAAGGTTAAAAGATATCTTAAATTAGAATAATGTTATTGATATGATATTTAATGGTGTATGAAAATTTTCTCTTGTACAAGCAGTCAAGAGTGGTTCAGAGAGAAACAGGTGAAAGGTCATATCATGTATTCTATCAACTTTGTGCTGGAGCTTCTTGTGGTCTTAAAGGTGATCATGTTTTTCTATTATGGCCTTAGTTGTTAAATTTTGTTATTATTCCCTTATTTGATGTTTAAGATATATTATGGGTACTTTCTGATGCTATTATAGTGCAGATTTCTTTTTATTTTGTTTTCCCTATTTATAGCAAGGATAATTAATTAATACAAAAATTGCAAGCTGTAAAATGATAAAATAAGTCATTTTTTGTGTCAGTAATCAGTCAAAAGATTTGATGATGAGGGTAGAATAATTTGGAAACACCCAGATAAATACCTTGTAAATTGTTTTTCTGTTCTATTAGCAAATACAAACTTTTTCAGTTACTGCATTTACTCAGTTATCCTGATAGGCTCGTAAATCTGAAAATCTTTAGTCATATCATGTGTCTCTTGTAAACTTATGTCATATCATGTGTCTCTTGTTATGCAGAGGAGTTGAATCTGAAAGCAGCCTACAAATATGAATACTTGAAGCAGAGTGACTGCTTGACCATAGATAATGTTGATGATGCAAAAAGATTTCATGTATTAATGGTAAATTTCAGTAGCTCACCTAGGCCCATTTTATATTACCTTGAACTTTTTTATTGAAGTTTTTTTAAAAAAATTGGCATTAAATTTTTTAGAAAAAAAATTCTCCAGGAAGCCTTAGATGTCATCAAGATCTCAAAGGAAGATCAGAAGAATGTGTTCTCCATGCTTGCAGCAGTACTATGGCTGGGTAACATTGCTTTCTCAGTGATTGACAACGAAAATCATGTCAAAGTTATCCTTGGTGAAGGTATACTATTTTATATGTGTAACATAAATCGCTGTCTCTTCTCTTGTTCCCAGTATTTGGTGCCTCAAACTCTTTGATGATGCCTCTTGCATGTTTGTTTAACATTAGAAGCTTCAAATGAATTTTGACGCTACTTACTGGTCCAGCACTTGTATTGGAGAAGTTTCTATGTTTAACCTAAGAAACAAGAACTCTAGCTGAATGCAAATCACATGCTTGGTTAAATACCCTTATCTAAAGTTTAGAGTTTGAATGGCCAGTGTTATTGAGTTATGCCATCCAAGTTGAAAATACAAAATTATGAAGGCTTCATTCAAAAACATAATTGACATATCATAATAAAAATATGGTTTTCCCGCTCCAAACAATTATGGAACTTGGTGCAATTCTTTTGAGAAGCCATACCACAATATTACTTTGTTTTTATTCCAAAGTCTAGTTGAGGTAACAAAAGTCTAGTATGTTGCAATTTACTGGGTATGAGAGGATGAAGAAAATTTAATCTTCTTTAGGCTAAAAGATTAATAGATAATAAGTTTTCATATTCACATTTTATTATATTAAAGGAGGCAGTTAAAGTTCTTTCATTTTGGAAGATATATCATGTAATTTTTTGGGAGTTTGTCTGTGTGCAGGAGTAACTAATGCAGCAAAGTTGATGGGTTGTGAAGTACCAAATTTGATGCTATCTTTATCAACTCGTAAAATTCAAGCTGGCAACGACAGTATTGTTCAAAAGCTTACATTACAGCAGGTCCAAATTTGCATGTGTACTCTTCTCCATCAATATGGTAATGCCCAATCTTCATATGTCTTTTTTTCTTGTATCTCTTTCTTATTGCAGGCAATCAACACCAGGGATGCATTGGCAAAATCAATTTATTGTAATTTATTTGACTGGCTTGTGGGACAAATCAACAAGTCACTTGGAGTAGGCAAATGCTGTACTGGACGATCGATCAGAATTTTGGATATTTTTGGTTTTGAGTCTTTTAATGTATGGATCCTATGGTTACATTCAATTTAATATCTGCTTCACATTATGTTTCTTTTTTGTTGGACTAACATTTGAACCATTGCAGAACAATGGGTTTGAACAGTTCTGCATCAATTATGCTAACGAGCAACTACAACAGCACTTCAATCGTCATCTATTTAAACTTGAACAGGAGGCAGGTTCTAAGTTTTTTGACACTGCTGTTATTTCTTTCCACTAGTGGGCTGCTTTATTTTCTTATACTGCTGAGCAGAATTCTTTGCTAAATATTTTATCACTTTATTATAAAAATATAATTTACTTATAAATAATTTAAGTAAAAGTGGGCTTACCACTTCTATATCTTGCACATTTCTTTTTTGAAAATGAAAGGAGAAGCCTGTGACTAAAGCAGTAGAAAATGCAATAAGCATACCGTGTGCAATATGGTTTAAACATGAAAGACTGGTCACTGTTCATGTCAGTTAAAATAATTGGCATATTTCAAAATCTGATTGTTGGGTTTTAATAATTTAACATCTGAACTCTACTGTATCTACTGTCTAGTTATACTGTTTGACATTGCATCTTTCTTGTACAAGGAAATTCAATGTTTGATTCTGTACGTAACTGCTCTGGGTGGAATTATGTTGGAAGAAAAGAGAAAAGAAATATAAAATGAAATGGAACTTAGATTAAAAATGGCATAATTTTGAAGCATGTACATGCAGATGAAACCATGCAGATTCACTAATGTTGCAATACTTAAAATAGGAGGACAGACGTGTGAGTAGATAAATTTCACTCTACACCTTACTGGAGGAAGAGGTCAGATTGCGTAAACTAACCAATACTACTTGACATTCAAAAGATGAAATATGCATTTCCTATAACTGCTATGATTTTTTATATGGATATAGGATACAACTCGGGGCCTTAGAAGGATAATACAGACATCTATTTCCTTTCTCTATCACCCATCCAACTCCTAAGTCCAGCTTGATTCGGAGTTTTTAATGATATTGACAAGTTTTGACTGGTCTGGTAACCAGTTTAGTAATGCATTTCCACAGGATTTGATTTTTTTGCTTCTTCGTAATCGCTACTTCCAAATGCAGTATTTGCAATTCCTAGCACAGGTTCATTTGAGCTTCATTCTAAGAAAAATCATGTGCTGAGTTCATCATGCACTTGAAATACATTTCGAAGACAACCTTAGTGATCAGAAATTCCCACTTGCTGCATAATCATGACAACTTGCAGTTCTTGGCATACCTCAGTGCCTAGTCAGTGCACATATCAATAACATGATAGTCTTTGTGTTGGTTATATGTTGACACTTCTTTTTAAATGAGTATGGTCTATGGTTTAATCCCTTTATACGTTAGGATCTTTTTCCCTTGAAAATTGCCATCAATCTGATTGAATTTTTAATAGGTGTTATTAGTCTAATTGCCAGTGTTTAATGAATATCCTTATTTCTATTCTTGCTTTCTGTAGGAATATGCCCAAGATGGAATTGATTGGGCCAAAGTTGAATTTTTGGATAACGCCAATTGTCTAAACCTCTTGGAGAAGGTATTTGTTGTATGTTCAGAAATGTTGTAATTTATGAAATGTTTCTTTCGAGTTGATTGCTTGTGACTTTGTGGTAGATCTAACATGTGGATTATAACTATATTTAACTTTCGTATGAAGCCAAAGATAACCCTAGGGGGTGGTTGTTTCACACCCAAGCATTATATGATTGATTAGGAAAGTTCAATGTGGTTGTACTTATTTAAAATTTAATGTGATTCCAGGCATGATAACAGCGTGAATAGTGTTAATGGTTGGAGGGCCCAAATCCTAGGATTAGGGAGCGAGGGGAACCTCCATGATATTAAGAACCTCCATGCTAGAGAAATAAAAAAATTGCTACCTAAAATGTACCAATTCCAAGGTTTTTTTCTTATGGTGCTTCCTCCGCTGAAATTTTATTTCTCTATCCATTGCTACATTGAACCATATCAATTTGTTTTGTTTAAACAATAACAATCTTTTTTAACTATTGGGCCCAAATGGTAAACTTGAACCAACATAGTCATATGGTCCTTTTGATCCAATTGGCCTGAATGTTGAATTCACTCATCCAAATATGTGGTCCAGGTGATTTGGGTGGTCCAGATACAGGATTTTTACCCTGGGGTATCTTTAGTTCCCAATCATAAGGTAGGTTTAACATAGTGTTCTGGATATAGTATTTCCACGCTGGTGTATCTTTGGTTCTGAATCATAAAGTAGGCTTAACATAGTGTTCTAGTCTATCTACATCACTTGTGATCTAGTTTGTAACTTGCTGTAGGGCTATTAGCAATGATTTAAATTCTGGTTTATATTAATTACCATTCTACTGGTACTGTATGTTTGTGTTGCTTTGATTTGGTCGGCATCGACAATTATATCTGTACTATGTTCCATGAGATATTGTCTGATTTGATCATGGGCCATATGGTTCTACTCTTGAAAAAGAGACCTCGAAGGTAAAGGGGTGGATCCTTTCTTATGAGCCACAATCTTTCCTCGAGTCTCCTTGATGTGCAACTATTGGTTTGTCTAGCCCCTGGTTGGGATGAGTATAGTGGGGACATGAACGGCCACCAACATTTCATCATCAAATTTTGGGGGTTTGATGATCTATGGTGTCTTTTAGGTATTGGCCATGTGGTCCATGGGCAGCATGATTGTCATTTTGAGTCTACCTAACATGGGGCTATTAGTTTGTCACCCGATGTATTCCTATCAAGGGAGGTTTTATGAAACTTCTATCAAGTAAGGTTGTAAAACACTTGTATAGCATCCAATTGTTAATCAAATGTTGGGTTTGAGGATTTGTCTATTCCTTAAACTATTGTCTGCTTTGGTACCACATGGTATGCCCTTAAATAACGGTACCTCAAAAGGAAAGGGATGAGCCTGCACCTCAAAAGGAAAGAGTGAGGCTCTTGCTTATTAGCTGCAAGTTTCCTCGACCTTGATATGAGGCCACTGGCTCGTCCCCCATTTATTCCACAATGGTTAGTTTTACTTCAATATTGTTAGCATACTAGTAGTATTTCATATTGGTATACTAAGTAGGTCAGTACACTTTGGTATCTGAATCGTTGACCCTTTGTACCTTGCTATAACCCTCATTTTAACTTAGAGAAATCCAAAGAGAACCTTGTTTGTTTAATTAAATTATTTTGTAGTGTGCAACTGTGGAACCTAATCTTCAACTATTATAATTAGCCATATTCTGGTTTTAACTGGTAAATGTTGAGTTCAACTAATCTTAATATGGACTTCAATTACTGAATAACATGGTCTTTAATGTTCTTATCTATGAGTTTGATGTTATCCTATAACTGTAAATGTTTAAACAAGGACTAATATAACAGAAAATTTGTGCTGTACATAAGCAGACTTATTGTAATGCTTAGCAAATCTTAAATATTGGCAATGCTAAGTACTAAACTTTCGGCTATATCCTGGCTTTTCAATAGGGTCATGCATGACTCAATTAATCTTGTATGAGCTTTAATTTGAGAACAACTCATGAGGTTTTAAGCTTACATTAATGGTCTTGATGTTCCCATGAACGAGATAAGGTTGCTACCTGTAATTCTAGAATTATTTTTCAGTATCATATATGCTATATTTTGGATTACATTTTTATTTTTTTTTGAGGTACCTGACAGCATTGGGATTCTTTGCATTCTTCTGCTTGCTTTTGCCAAAATAATTATATCTAATACTATCAAGCATATTTCCTCATCTCTGTTAATGAGAACAATTTCATGGTCTATAATTTTAATATATTGGAATTATGTTAAATCTTGCTTTTTCATTCATTACAGAAACCTCTAGGGGTAATATCACTTTTAGATGAAGAGTCGACTTTTCCCAAAGCTACTGATATGACTTTTGCTAACAAACTTAAGCAGCACTTCGCTGGTAATCACTGCTTTAAGGGGGAAAGGGGAGGTACTTTTAGGATTTCCCACTATGCCGGAGAGGTCAGATTCTATGCTGCTTCCCTGAACAGTTTTTGCTAGAATTTAAAGTCTCTTCTTTGGTTACTGTAATATATGAAATCCATTTTTAGTTCAATGAAGTTATACTCTTGATTATATTAACTTTTCATATGAAATTTGTTTTTTGCACATAAAGAAAATTCTATCTTGAATATGCCATTTGGCTTGGACTGCATATAGTGTTGATGATTTTCATTGGAACCATAACGTGGGAAAATGTCTATAGATTTTCAAGAAAAGATTATGTAATTGTTTCTTTTAAAGCAGATCTGTGGAATTATTAATTCAGCATCTTGTAATTTATTTATTAATATTTATTTCAATCACTAAAAGTTGTACTCAACTCTGACAACAAGCAAATAGTAAAAGAGATGACCCAGCACACATGGCTTCTGTCATTGTGGGGTTTGGGGGTGGTTTGTCCTAGAAGTAAAAGCTTGTTTTTGTGACTTGAATCCTAGACAATCAAGTTACTTTATTGTTGTATCAAGGTTCACCCTTTACAGGAAGCAAATAGTAGTGTTCTGAAACATTAAATAACGTCAACTAAGATATTGTCCCAAGTAAATAGTGCAGTGAATCAGATCAACGAAAAGTATATACTTTCTCCTGGGTTCATTTTTCCTTAGTTGATGAGCATACAGTATTACTTCAACTTTTTTATAAAAAAAATTTTGGTCTCTGAACAAGGCATCAAATGAGTTATATCTCATTAGATTTGTTAGCGTGCTTAAATCATTTTTTCATTTTAAGCAACCAACAATTTATTCGCTGGTTAACTTCCATAGACTAACAATTAGGTGGATAACAGGTTTTATATGATTCAAGTGGTTTCCTGGAGAAGAACAGAGATACATTGCATGCTGATTTGGTCCAGTTACTTTTGTCATGTGCTTGCCAGCTTCCACAGTCATTTGCCAACAACATACTGCAACCTGAGAAGGAGTCAAGCCGGTTTCGGCAATCAAGTAGTTTTGACCTACAAAAGCAAAGCGTTGTGGCAAAATTTAAGGTAGTTCCTCATTTGAAATGGGAAGTAAATATCCAGTCATCTTGGAGATAATATTATTGATTTTGCTTCCCATGTTCTTTTTGGCATGGATGATTTTCTATTTAATATGTGTGGCTTGCATCTAGTTGAGTTACATATGCTATGCATTCATTTCTGAAAAATAATGCATGTCTGTGCTACCATAATAAGTGAAAGTGGTCCATATCTTGTCTGCACAGTTTGCTTTCAGTTGAACTAATTCCCATTTGGTCTATAACTGAGTTGTTATTTTTTCATGAAACTAAGTCTCTTGTTCTTGTCAAGTTCAAGGACAAAATTGGAGATTTTTGCTTTACTCAGATATCTTGGAATATTTGTTTGATGACTCAGAACTTGTTTGATTTTTCAATTTGTGTATCAAGTTGGTTACCAATCTATTCCAAGATGCAAGAAAGTTGGGTGTCTTTCTTGAAAATTTGATTTCTGATTTTTCAGTGATCATGTTAGATTGGAGGGTTTATCTCACTTTATTTAGCTTTGCCTTTGCCTGTTGTCAGTAGCTTCTTGCAATAGTTCTTCCATGAGGGATCGCCATTTGTTATTTCATATTGGTAGTCAAGTTCATCTACCTCATCTCCTTTGAAGCACCTTCGTGGTCAAGGCCCTGTTAGTGTCCAAGTTTCATGCTTATGGTGTCTTGCTTTCATGTTCTTTTCTTCCCATCTTGTCTGTCGTACATGTTCAAACCATATAAGCTTGGAGGTTACTATTTGCAATTCTATTATTTACAACCTTATTTTATTTTATTTTTAATATTTTTAAACTATCCCTTTGCAAATGGACATACTTACCATCTTCTTCCTCTTCTTTCTCCTCGTCTTCTTTCTCCTTTTCCTCATCTTCTTCTTCCTCCTTGGAGGACGACGTTGAGGGGGTGGCGAGTGGGGTCGAACAGCGTTGGCATTGAGCGGTGAACAACGATGGCAATGAGCATAGTGATGTCGGCAGCCAAGATAAAATAAAGTGTTGCGAGGAAGAAAAAAAAAAGAAAAAAAAGGGGATAAAATCGATAATACTGGGGCTATAAAAAATAAAATAATATTTTATTTTTTTAAGGGATTGTTAATAGTAAAAAAGGGGCTGTAAATGGTAAGCTTCTAAGACTTTTCAGTTTTCAAATATCCTATCATAGCCCAATTTAATTGATAGTCTAAACGTGCTTGATTCCTTGTCTTTTGGTTTGTATTAGCTCCTTTTAAGGTTTGCACAATCAATATCCATCCTAGGATCAAGGACTAGGATCCAGCATGTCATGCAGGATTGAATAGGTAAGAAAAATACAAAAAAAAATCATATATATATATATATATATGTTTATGTTTATCAAAATTTGAAATATTAGGATTTATTTACACTAGTCTAATGTGTTTAGGTTATATAACCTTGAGTCATTTTAGTACAAAAATTCTTATAAAGGATATATCGGTTTGGACATGGACCGGTCTGCAGACCACCCTGTTTCGGGTGGTTCAGTCCAACTCAAAAAAGAAAAAAAACCCAAAATAATAATGGGGCTTGTCTAGCTCAGCATTAAAAAAGGAAAAAAAAAAAAAAAACTTGGGCTTGTGAACATGAGCCCTCTTCTCGCGATGCTTCTGCCGTCGTTGTTGCTTCGTGATGTTGCTGTCATTGCCATTGCTGCTGCTTCACGAAGCCATTGTTGCTTTGTGATGCCGCCATCGTTGTGTTCCTTCTTCTTCCTAGGTATACTCCCACCTCTTCTTCCTTCTCTTCCTCCACCCCTTTTTCATTTTTCTTCCTCCTCTACTGCTTCCTCTTTATCGTTTGTACATCTCTATGTATTATTTTCCAAAATTTCTTTGTTCAAGAAAACTAAACACCTAAAATATCTCACAATATTTCATTGCACTATTGATTTAAATTTACATTTAAATTGCTTTTGCTATATAATTCTGGCTCCAGAAGCCTTCCTTGAACCTCTAACTCATAAAGAGCTTTACAGATAGAACATTGCTTCCTTGAATCCACATGCAAATGGATTTTTGATAAAAAACCAGCTAGGGTTGGTTGGACAATGATTGGGATCATCTAGAAGTTCACTGGTGAGTATTAAGATCAGCAGGAATTTGTCTGGGATCTGTGTAAAATGGATTGACTAGCACTATAATTGATCATACCACCAAGATTTGCCAGAAATATGTCAGGATCTATTGGATTGTTCTAGGATCCCTACATGAAAATTTAGGGATATTTGTTTTGGACTTGGCTTATACTGCAAACCATGAATCATAGTCTTGATTGGATATTTGTTGTGATGCCATTTTACTTCTGCTGATGTATCTGCAGATTTTGTAAATCACGTATTGTCAGACTTCAGTCACACAGAAGTTTAAAATATTCTGATATACACAATAATGACTACTGGCTGACATGATTGTACAATGCCATACAATGATAGTATTTGTTAGCCATGTGCGTATCATGAAGAGAAAACTGGTCTATTTTGAGCCAGAAAATGCCTGCATGCCATTGTGAATTGACATATCTGGTGCATCCTCTGTGCTGTGATAAGCACAGTACTTCATGATGCTTTTGTCCTTACCTAAAAGGATGTTGCTTCTGTCTTTGGTAAGTCATGATCTCCAGTTGCATTTAGTAATATTCTAACAATGACTGAAACCACAAGCGTCTATGTGGGTTTCTTAAGAGGTTCAACCATTTTCTTTCATTTGTTTAGACTGCATAGTTTATACAACTTCCACATGTAGAAGGGAGTTCTGCATGGCATGCCAGAGGACTTGGACTAATGTTAGTGAAATCTTGTGGTTGATCTTGGAAATTTTGATCTAAATTTGAAGGCAAACTGAACTTTGAAATACTTTAAAATGATCCTAGGGTCAACTTTTCAAGTTGATGCAGCGGTTAGAAAGTACTACTCCCCATTTCATTCGGTGCATCAAGCCAAACAGCAAGCAACTTCCCAGCATGTACGAACATGATCTTGTGTTACAACAGCTAAGATGCTGTGGGGTCCTTGAAGTTGTCCGGATATCCAGGTCAGGCTATCCAACTCGAATGACACATCAACTATTTGCTGAAAGGTAATTTGTGAAATTTTCTTTTGCCTCAAGAATGTAATGGAGCAATATTTGTGGGATTCTGACATGCTTATATTTTTCCCTTCTAGGTATGGCTTTCTTCTTTTACAGACTTCAAGTTCTCAGGATGCACTCAGTTTGTCAGTTTCCATCCTACAGCAATTCAATGTGCCACCTGAGATGTATAGAGTTGGTTACACAAAGTTATTTTTCCGCACAGGACAGGCAATTTCTTTCTCATTATCTCTTTAACATTTATCCCTTTTGCATGTTTGACATGTCTATGCTGGTTATTAAAACCTAATCTAAAGGTTCACTTGAAGTAGACAGACAATTGCATTCTCATAAATATCTTGTTCCTGTTCTCTCTCATACATAATAACCATTGATTTATGCTTTTTCTCTGAGCTTTTGTTTGTCCTCGAGGACTGTCGGAGCTTAGAGTTTTTGAAGGTTCATTGAACTAGACTACCTTTGCAGTTAAACGACTATCTTTTGGATAAATGATAGGATATATGACAGTGATGTTTCAAGTTTAGTGTTTACAAGAATAAAACCAAATATACATATTTTTTATGTTGTAATTGAACTGTAACTGTTCAATTTCGTGTATTGATATCTATTATTTGCTTTTGTGCTTGACAACAGAGTTTCAGAACTTATATAAATTAGGTATTGAAACTTCTTCTAATGAGCGTTTTCTATTAAGTTTTCTTATTGTGATGCATCAGAACTTAAAAATTGTCCATATATGTCTGTATTCTGTAACATTGAAAACATAACCCACTTCTTAGTTTTTAGACTGATAGTATCTATTTTGATCATTCTTAAATGTCCTTAAATGTTTCAGGCATGCACGATTATGATGAGATTCTCCATTAAACATGCTGAACCAGTCATTACTTACTAGTAAAGCATTCTAGTTAGGTACACACGTTGATCCTTTATCAGCTGATGTGAATATGTATAGAACAACCCAAGCACCTCTCTTTATGTGGGATCACTAAGGTATATGGGTGTCATAGTTCTAATACAATAATTTAGTGTACATCCTATAATCCAAACTACAGGAAAAGTACTTGGTGTGATATTTTTATTCAACTCTAGGTTACGAAGGAAAAATAAATTTTCCTAAGTTCACAAATTTTGATCATCATTAATGAATTTGGTATAATTCTCAATTGCCTCAGAATTTCAATATATTTCTGAAGCTTGAAGATTCCCTATTCATGTCAGTTCTTGTAGTATCTTTCTGAGCCTATGAGGTTTTTTAATCATTATCAAGCTATATATTAATCTACAAATAGATACCAAAATCATAACCATAGCTGACCATTAATGATGTTTATGGAAGCCTCATTCAAGCTTGTTCCAATCTGATGCATGAATCTTTTGTTTACAATCACTTATTACTTCCTATCATAATCATTCGGTACGACTCAATACAGCTCGGTATGTCTCATACCAACAGCTGGTTGATATATCGGTATGGACCGGTAAGACGAATCATGTTTTTAAATGTAGCAGTCACACCTACCATAATCTTATGGTAACATACCTTTTTAACATCTGCCTTTTGTATGCTGTTATTGTTGATTGATCTTTTCTGGCATGTGTATGTATTCAGATTGCTGTACTGGAAGATGCTAGAAATAGAATTCTACAGGGGATTGTTTGGGTTCAGAAGAACTTTCGTGGTCTTCAAGCTCATAATTTCTATCAACGGCTGAGGAAGGGGGCAACTACATTACAATCATGTAATGCTTCTACATGCACTGGGAGTAGCTATTCTCTTGCTGTAAATATTGATTTTTGACCAGGCTTTTTGTGCATATACAGTGAAACATTTGCACTTGTTCTATAATATAATAGTGTTTTATGGTTGCATTAACTGGATGGACTTTCGGATTCTAATCATTTCTGTCATTCTTCAAGCATTTCTATTTTTCTATTTTGAGAAAACTCATTCAATTTATGTTGAGCTTCACCCACCTTACTATACTTTATTGGGCTTTTGTGATTAAAAACAGTTATCCGAGGTGAAAAGGCGAGGTGCGAATTTGAAGTTTTGACAAGGAGATGGAGGTTTGCTATTCTCATTCAAAAGCATGTGAGGCAATGGATAGTGGGGACAAGATTTAGTTACCAGCTGAAGGATATTATACTTTTGCAGTCTGGTAACATAATTATAGCTTGTAGTCGGGGATCTAGCTGTTTTCTAGTTCCTTTGTGTCATTTGCCCTCATTAGAAATTTCATCTCATCTGCAGCTATTCGTGGTTGGTTGGCAAGGAAGACTTTTATCAACTTGAAAATGCACAAAATGGCAAAACTCAATCAAGTGGAAGTGAACAAAAGTTCAGAAAGAAATCTTGCACAACTGATGAAGGTATTAACTTTATAATTCTATGTAAGAAGAAGTCTGTTCAAAGACCTATCAATCTTCAAGTTCAATATCAGGAAATTTATTTTTTATTCTTGTTCAATAAAAAATAATCTACCATAAGCAACTCATCAGCAAAATTTCTGAAGTTGTTCGAAATTAATTTCTTGAGTTATTTGGTACTTTAATCTTTAGAGCAAAGTTGAAACTGTTGACTTTTTTAAGCAAGTACCAGTGTCATGCTACATTTCTTCTTGTAGTGTTGTTATAGAAGACCTTTTTGTAGTCTAGGAAGTACCATTAAGGATCATATGAGCTAATAATTGCAGATTAGTATATATAAGAGAGGAGGATGTATCTATACTAGAATATTGATATCTTACTGATGCCTAGCAACACTGAGTCCTGATAACTAGAATGCACATTACCTGTTACTCAAGGAAGATATTCAGCATCATAAATGTCTTACTTGGAGCTTTCATATGTTCATTTGGTATACCATATTAAAGAACTAAGCATATTTAGATCCCTTTCACTTCCGTAATCCCTGAACTATTTGTTTTTTGGTTCTGCATTCATCAATTATGTTTTCTTCTAATGAAGCTTTATGTCCTGGAAAGAAGATAAAGAGAAATTTATAAACTTTATTTTCATTCGGAAAGTGAGATAAAACAGGTTCAATTAATGGTCCGATACAAGGTACTGGTATATTGAGCAGTATACCAATCTGTATTGGCCAGTACTACTGAAAACATAAGAAATGAGTATCGGTTGATGCTGTATTATATGGTCTAGTACTGGTCCGTTCTCAGGTCGGAAGTATTGGCTGGTACAAAGCAGTCCAGCTGGATCAAAACCATGCTCATTGTTAAGTGAAGTCAAGTTAGAAAAAAGAAAGAAGCATAATGGCAAAAAGAAATCAGGAGAACATAGAAAGAAATATAACATGGTAGAAACACATGGTGTCAAAAAATAGCTTGATAAGACTATATTGAGTTGTGATCGATTGAAGCAACAATTTTCCATGTGATCATGTCAAAAAGCAAGCTTTCCTTTTCGATTTTGATTAACGACTATAGCAGACATATTACCTTTTTATAATATTTTCCCAGATTAAAGTTCTTAAAGTGCCATGGTTACTAAATGATAGGACAAAACCAGTGAGCTCCCTCAAATTCACCCAGAAGTTATGGATGAACTTCACAGGCGTGCCTTAAGGGCAGAAGCAGCATTGAGAAAAAAGGAAGAAGAAAATGCTATCTTACAGCAGCGACTTAAACACTATGACACAAGATGGTCAGAATATGAATTGAAAATGAAGTCTATGGAACAGACATGGCAAAAACAACTGACTAGTTTGCAGGTGATCTTTTTTTTTGCTTTTGTGAAATTTCTAATTGTTTTCTTTTCTAGTTCTATAATATACTTGGTAAGCAAGATGCTTAAAGGTTCCTCTTCAAATAAAATATATGCCTTAATTTAGTATGGCTTCTTTTAGGAAAAAGGAATTTATAATTTCTTTTTCCATTTTCAATGTAAACTTTGCTCAAAATTCAATTTTAGTTTGTCCTTTTCTCCAAACCGATTCCCAACTGACAGAAAAGTACCCTTGGAAGCTTTCTTGAAGTTTTGAACTACTTTTATTGTCAATTATTTACATGCAATGCAATTTTCTCTACGAGCATTTATTCTTTAATTTAGTATGTAGAGGAAATAGTCTATGACAAATACCTAATGGAATTTGTGTCCTTTATACAGTCAACTTTAGCTGCTGCAAGAAAGAGCCTCACTTCTGACATGGCAAATCGACCTGGACAGCTGAATATGTCAGCAGTTAACAACTGTTATGACTCCGAAGATACCATATCAACTGTCAACCAAACACCAGAAGACACTCCTGCCAAACAGTCCATTGGTGCTGAAGAAGTAAGGAGTAATGATAGCAAGGAAATTGCAGTTATCCACCTTGTAAACGAGTTTGAGCAGCAGCGGCAGGTATTTGAGGATGATGCTGGGTTTATTGTTGAAGCTAAGTCAGGGCAATCAAGTTCTAAGATAAACCCTGATGAAGAGCTGCAAAATTTGAAGGCACGTTTTTCTACTTGGAAGAAGGTTTACAAGTTGCGGTTACGGGAGACAAAGGCATCACTTCAAAAGTTTGGTAATCCTGAAGAGAAAGCATCCAAAAAGTGGTGGAGCATAAGATAAAGTTGATTGTTTTCATACAATGATCCTTTCCAGTATATCGATATCACACATGCTTGTTACCGAATTGGTGAGGACCGGAAATTCTGTGTTTTTGCTGAAGTTTGAAGTTTCAGCTATCTTTGAATAGTACTAAATGGATTATCTTGCCAACTTCTGAAAAAGTTAGTGATGTCTTTTCCTGTATGATGTACCGATAGCACAATTGTGAAGCCCTATGGTCCAGAAGAAGGTTGTTTATTATCCTTTTTTTTTTGTTCATTCAGGGAGAATATATTCATCCATAGGTTATGAGAGGTTTTAAGTTGTGACAGAGAACATTCTTATGTAATTATCAGTAAGTTTCACTTTTAAACATGTCAGAAATTTCACCATTTAAAACATGAATAAATTAAATTATTTCTACGTCCTCCCTTGTTTATTTTATTAGCAGAATTTGCATCATGTTGTTCGAGACTTATTCTTATTTTAGATTATTTGCTGGGTATTTAATACATTCATCTTCATCTGCAGCCAACCTTCCTCCTTATTAATACTATGTTAGTAGGTATGAGCCTCAGCTGTGTAAAACTTGTGGAAGCAGAATTCTCAGATTTTATCAGATGTATAATTTTATTTGATCTATGATGGGTGAAAATTGCTGAAGGCTCTCTTCTATTAAGATCCTTGTGTCATGTATTCTGCATAAATGTTTCAAACTGTTCAATTTTTTCTAAATTTCTCCTGTGTTACTTGGCAGGTTGAGAATTCATGTGGAGAGTGAATTAGTGAGATAAAAGTGCTGGTCACAATGGAGAAGCTTTGCTAGGACTTTCATTTAATTCAACATCTACTCTAACTGAATGAACGAGCAATGAGGATGGAAATGGTTTCTACAAACTAAGAAGCTCAGAGACTTCAATCGGTATGTTCTTCTGGGATTAATAATGTCATATCTTATAGATATTAATCAGCTTTACTTAGTTTGCAAATTAGTGCCAGTCTCTCTCATGGTGCCAATCGAGTTTTTGGCTTTCCTTGGAATTATCATTTTACTACTTACTATATATGGTGATGCTGTTAGTGGAAATTTTTAAGCAGTTATTATTAGACAAAATATATGTTTAGGTTGTGTATTGCCTCCTGAGCTTGAGGTTCAGATAAATGTTAAAATCAAGAATCAAAGACAGCAGTTTATACTTCCAAAGATCTTCATCATTTGGCTGTGGCCTTTGCTGTGAAATGACTTCATATGTGGATTTGTTGTTAACTTGTGGTTTTGCAAGTTATATGTGAGGTTAAGATGCAATTGATAAGTTGGACAAAGCTAGCATGTTGTAAGATGTAATAGATGTCATTATTTTTCCTCTTTTTGTTACTTATGCAAGCTGCTGTTTTCTTCTTTATAAAAGCAGTAATTTAATATGATTTACTTCTGGTCTCCACATTGTAGCTTCCATCTCCGCACAATGAGCGAGTTCACTATTTTAGTTTCGCTCCTGATGTCTGGTATATATCCTTGTACAAGATCATTAATTTGTGAGTGAACATTTTATGCTTTAAGAAAATGCAAAAAAGATATCTATGTTTGGAAAAAGTAGAAAGACCAACATACATTAAGAAGTATAATGAAAAATTGAAGGAAAAATTATCGCTATAAGGAAAATTCATATTTTAATTCTGGTCTTACAATCTGCAGCATTCTGCCACAATAAGGATAGAAAGAGTGATATGTAAAATCATGGAGCATTACACTTTTGTAGTCTCCTGCTCATTTTGGAATCGTGTATAAGTTCTCTTAATCTTTCATCAAATAGATTTTGTATGACAAACTGCCCTTCAAAGGAGCCAACAACCGCTATATACAGTCTTTGGAATTCTATAGCGTATTGCTCTTCGAAGGTGGAAGTGTTGCATTTATCTTTGTAGAAATGATATCTGGAATCTCCAGTTATCATCCATTATAGGTAATATTTTGAGAAATTGGACATCTTTTATAATTTCTCTGTCTGTGCTAAAATCAGCATGTTATAATGCTGTAGTTGCAGGACCAATGATTCAGAGAAGACTTTTCTATCAAGCATCACTGTCTTATCTCACTGTTCTTGGAATCAGAAACTTTGTGGCAGCTTCAGTTGAATTCAGTACTTGAAATTTTTGTCCAACACATTGTCACTGCAAAAAATTTGTATTTTTCTCATGGAGATAAGTGTCAGAGCTGGCATATACACCATCCTATAGTAGCTGGCAAGCCATCGTGCTTAATTTAAATTTTCTTTGAAATTGAGTACGTGCAACGGAAGAAAACCTCAAAGATCCTCACAATGGAGTTGAATGCTAACATTTGCTCAAAGCCCATTTTCAAGAGGAATTCCAGTATGGAAATTAGTGAAAGGCCTTCAAATGCAGCAAGGCAGAGGTTTGCAAAATCACATCCGGACGGTGTAAAGATTTCCTGAGAGGTAAGAGTGATGGCAAGGTGAAATTCCTACAAATATGTAGAAATATGTAGTAAGCTTTAACAGTTTATATGTATACACTCTTCTGTATGTTTCGATCTGAATCTCTTTATGGTTTTGTATTTGCTCTTTGTTTGGTCACACTGCAACTCATCTTCAATCCATTTATTGAAGAGGATGGGCTTTCTCTAACATGTGCAATTTTCTGGAAGTGGGTTCTTTCTTGTCATGTAAAATTCTTACAAGGGAGTGAATACTTGTATTTAAGCTTCGTCGTCCATAATTTTATCATTAGCTGTGGATTCTTTGACATTCACCGTGTGCGCTCTTTCTTTACGACTGTGGAATGAAGGATTTTGAAGTTCTAATTGGTTTTATGGCATGTTCTTACTTATTTTCTTCTTCTGGTTAATGAGAGATCTATTGGGAATTGGATTTTGTTACTCAAGGTGATGACTTTTTGTCACTCATCACCTTCCAAACCATTTTACAATGCAACAAAGCAATGATGACAGATGCTAATTAAAGTGTTGTCACATCCCACACTCTGGGAGGTTCTCAATGATGCAATGATTGGAGGTGCATGCACCTTGTGATTTGTTTGATCAGAGGGTTCTTGGATCCCAAATGCATCTATGTTTCACTTCCAATCCTAATAGGATATTTCCATCGACTTTGTGTATGGTTAATTATGCTAGAGAGTTGGAGTTTCTCCATTCAATCATTTTCCTTTTTTTTGTTTTGTTGCTGGATGGATATATCGTTCTTATACATCTTTTCTTTGTTTTCCGAGCTTCTAGCGAATTACAAATAGAGTCAGAAAAAATCAAATCTTTGATCTTTGATTGAGTTACAAAAACTTTTGAATAAATAACCTATATCTGAACTGAATTCTTTCAAGTTAAATTTTTTTTGTTCTTAATTGTTCTGAAACAATTAGGAGATTCTCAGAAGGAAAGAAAGAAACATGGATATTTTTGGTGGTACAGATGCATGCATGTATGGCAAGCAGCAGAGAGCTTCTTAGCTTCAGGTGGCTTTGCTGTAGCATGTTCAGCGTATGCTGACCATCGTGCATTCCCACAGCTCGCAACCACTAACCAGTCTTGCAACACACCACGAGGCAGAAGAATCCTTTTCCCTCTGCAGCCGCTCCTTCTCTGTGGATTCTCCCCCCCTCGCATCCCTTTCGAACGCCTCGAAAAGCTATGCCGAGGAGCCCTCTCACCTCCAAAGGTTGGCTTTAGACCATAACACGATAGAAAAGTGGATGGGGACATGTGAGTGCAGCGGTGGCGATAGGCGTCGACGGAGAAAAGATGAGGAGGCAACCCAACCCAAAGACGGTGTCACATTTCAGCGGGTGGCTTTCTTCGATATCAACAAGTAGAACGGTAAGGTAAAGAGAAGATTAAATGGGTCTGTTAAACACCTTAAATGCGATCGATCGTAACTTCCACACACACACACACACCTAATGGAGACATCATCTGCTGTTGCGATTGATGCTGCGACATGTTCTGCCAATTCCTTCCTTAGCTGTACTCGACTACACGCAACATTAGAACGCAGCTTGTCTTCTGCTGGTCGTGTCAATGGGGGTAGCGTGGCATGGCGCCGTCTTCGTCCGTGTCATTGGATTCAACCTAATAAGCCGGAGGAAGGAGATCGCAAAGCCTCTTCGTTCGACTCCACAATAATGGCTTGCTGTTGCTACGATCGCTATCAGGTGGGACACTTCATATGCCGAAACAGAGCCACCGGTCTTAGAGCCCATTCAATAGCATCATCACTCGGTATATTTTAGTAGCGAGCAGGTCTCGGGCTTCCAAGTAACTTTAGCGACAGAGAGAGAGAGAGAAGGGATGTGACCACCGCTTTTGTCTCGCACACCTATCGTTCTCTCTTTTGACGCCCTTTTCCCTGTGTTATTCACCTCGAAGGGGTTCGTTCTCCATGTCGGCTTCCTTCTTCTTCTCTCTCTCTCTCTCTGTAGGTTGTCTGTGAAACCTTGCCGGAACGGTTGAATCAAAGAGCGGTCTTTCTTTTGGTGCAATGGAAGCAGCAAAAGCCGAGTCTCCTCCTCCTCCTCCTCTTCTAGTGGAGTTGTCGGTAGAGGCGCTGAGTCTCCTCTCAAGATGTTATCTTTCCCTATCCAACCACTCCTCCCACCCTCTCTTCGCAGTCCTCGCCGCCGCTTCCATCCTTGCCTTCCTCTACCTCCCCCGCACACTCCTCCCCCTCCTCCTCTCCCCCATTCCCATCTCCACCTTCCTCCTCCTCGCCGCCCTCTTCCGCCTCCGCTCCCCGCCGCCCAACTCCCTCGCTGCCGCGGCCGCCGTCGAGGAGGAGGTAACCCCAGTTCTCTCGGAACCCAAGCCCGAGGCCAAGGCGGTGGAATCCACCGATTACCATCAAAATGTGATCTTTCGCGATGCTTTCACCGACTGCCTCCGCTGGAGCGGACCGCTCGAGGTCATATACGAAGACTACGAGGGGGAGGAAGAGAACGAGGAGTCCCGCTGCAGAGGACGCTCGCAGGAACAACACTCGAAGTGGGCCCAAAATGAAAATTTGGGAAGCGGGCGACTGTGGCCACTCCGGTTCGCGTGCGACGACTCCGATACCGACAGCGAGGGCGGCTCCCCGGCCGCGTCGGGGTCGAGCTCGCCGGCGGAGCCCCGGCTCCCGTGGGAGGACGAAGAGCAAGGGGACGACATGATCGAGATCGATCTCGAGGAGGAGAACCTCATCGAAATTGATATCTCTGGCGGTCGGTGATCGAGAGGTCCCTACCGTCGCCAGCGGCGGCGGAGTGGAAGAGGGAGTTTTCTGCGACCGTCGTTTTCGGTCTGTAGACAACTTTGCTTGATGACATAATCCATCAGGCAACACAATAGGACGAGTTTGTATTCGACGAGAAGAAAAAGGACTACAACATCAAATACGGATTTCCATCTCAATATATATATATATATATATATATAATGCAAGAAATAAATAGGCATCGGTGAGATTAAGAAGATTCTCACCAGATATTTTGAAATGAATGGAACACGTGACAGTCTTGTCGGCTTCTGTTGGTATGTGATCATATTAGCTTCCACAAAGAAAGGGAAAACACAGAGGAGATATTAAAAGAAAGGTCAAACAGAGGATGCTATCAAGCAGAGGAACTGATTAGCTGTAGCTTCTTAGAGCAGATAGATGTCAAAATAATTCACCAGAATGATAGATCCAATGAAGTATTGATATTTTCTGCATGTATTAATTATATCATCGATGGCTTCTCCATCACCCAATGTTTTCTTGTCCATGAAGGTTGTGGATCATGCTGACTGTTAGGGGAGGTTAAACCCGTTGACCAAGTCCATAGCATCATCTACAGAGTTGGCCAATCTCTCTGCTTCCCCGGTATAGGTGTGAGGAGTCAAGTTCAAGAGAATTGTCTTTGCTTCCTGGGGCAAATCCAAGCTCTCTGTAAACTCTCTGATGCTCTTCTTCGACACAGCTCTTCCTCTGGTCAATTCCTTCAGCTTCTCGTATGCCTCAGGAACAGCATATCTTCGCATGACCTAGAAAACAATGCAAACAGCACTAACAGCTTAAATTTGGCATCATGAATCGCTTGAACAGAGTCCAGATTATGAAGCTGAAACACAAAAAACTTTAGCTACAAGGTCATGTAAGTGGCTTCCGATATCAGAAAAGATATTGATTACACAAGAATTCCACCTTTATATTGCTTACGATTAAATATAGTTCATTCACTGGGATAAACTTTCTCTGATCATCTTTTTAGGGTTTTAATAAGCCTAGACTAATTGATAGTTTATGGATCCAGCAATCTCAAACGATCCCTCTGCTTAGGCAACTAAAACATGCACATTATGTCATACACCTAAAGCAAAGGAAGTAAGACCATGGGACGCAATGCCCGGAAAGTAAACTTAATAAAATGGACTAACTTTTATCCGAATGGAAGAGATTATAGTGATACTCTTCCGGTTATAATGCCAAATGATGAAAATTATCCACAACAAAAACAAAAGTCATTATTCTAGTGCCTTTACTAAACATCAGAAAAAAAAACTACATAGAACTTCAGATCCTCTACCTGCGTTTGAGTTTAATTGAACTTGTCAAACACAGAACAACTGTCAGAGTCTTACCGTTTGAATTGGTTCGGCAAGGACCTCCCAGGTCTGCTCCAAGTCTTCATTTAAACAAGATTCATTCACCTGCAAAACGATCACTCAATTTTTGAAATAGGCAAACCTGCAAGAAAGCCCCTAAAAGATTTTTTTCTACTCTTTTAACAAATAATGACCAACTTAATCAATGATAGTGAATAGGTAGTAATCAGATAAAACTAAAGAGAAAATAGAACAGATAAAAAACCTGAAAAAATATGCTTGCAGGAAAGATAAGAGCAGATTAAGGAAACAACTCGAAGCTGCAACTACAGCCAAAAGAAATGGAGATCAAGAGGGAGCATAGAAAAAGAGAGCCATAAGAAGGATATAATAGTCCTTATTTTGACCAGTAATGTAACTAACAATACATCTCAAAGGCAAGAAAATATCTATGTAGTTGGACTCCAACTCGAAATTTTATAGTTTTTTGTAGCTGTTCATTCTTCCTTTACTCCCTTTTCCTCTTTTTTCTTTTTTCCTCTTTCCAGAGCCATGCCTGTGGGGACACCCTGCCATACATTTCTGCTCACCATATTGTCAAATATTGACAACACATACAGTGCCAGTGGCCTTGACTTACTCAAGAGATGCTCTCGATTAGGCAATCTTTAATAGTAATTTTAGAGCCAAAAGTACAATCTGTGTGAAGCTACAAACTTGGCTTGAATGAACTATTCATCAGAACTCCCCAGTCTTTTACCTTGTTCATGTTTTCTGTTTCCTTAGCATTATTCTTTACCGTGTTATTCCAGTTCAATTTAGATTAGCATCACCATCTACCATTGCATAGTTTACAAACAGATAATTACAACCACAAAATATGAAGAATTAGAGATCCTTAACTCATGATTGCACTTTAGTTAAAATTTACATCGCAGAATGGTTGAAGCTACATGTTCTTATGCTCTAAAAAACGAACTCTATTTATAAGTATCATATCTGACTTTTATGTTGGAAATGACAACAGAATTGTTGCAGTATGTTTTATTACTGTTATACACACTGAATCATGATAACCATTTAAACCGCAATTCAACTTTCAAATAACTAATCTGCTGATTTGACCTTCAGTGGAATCCACTGATTATGGATAAGCAAGGAATGCATAAGATGAAGAAAACTTCCTGAAGTAGTAGTAGAATAACAAAAGATATGTCAACCGATTACAAATCATTATTGATTAGTAATGAAAATACAAAAAGGTTGGCATGCATGTTGGCTTCAAACCTTATCCTTAAATGCTAACGAAATCCATCATAATCAAAAGGTCAAAGAAAGCTTTGCATGGTAGTTCTATATCCTTACTAGTAAATACACACAATGCGCAGACTGTTTACCTGGAGCTTTTTGATTCCCAGTAGTGCACTTTTATAAGCCAGAAGAGAGTAACCTAAACCGACACCCAGGTTCCTCAAGACAGTTGAATCAGTTAGGTCACGCTGTTATGCACAACACAATAGTAAGAATGACATCACTGCATGAAGACCAATGGATAGAACAAAAACTGAATACACATAGGCACATGCATCACACACACACACATAAACACATATATAATATGTGATTTAAGAATAAGTGAATCTTTCAAAGCGTTCTTAAATAGTTGAATCTTGTTATAGGTTCTGAGATCACAAGCATGTATGTATCACTCCCAGCAAATTCAAATTTAAATTTACTACCAAATAAAGCAGTTTCTGACATCTGACCAACAAAGAGAAATCTGGATCAAGATGGAATAATACCTGCATCCGTGAAATGGGCAATTTCATGCTAAGGGCTGATAGAACGGCATTACCCAAGCATAGATTGCCCTCACTGTTCTCGAAATCAATAGGATTTACTTTGTGAGGCATAGTGGACGATCCAATCTCACCAGCCTTTGTTATCTGCAGAGAACATTAGAAATATTTATTCTCGATCAATTTGTTACAAAGGAAAAGAAATTAATATAGTAGTGGAAAGTTAGGGTTACCTGTTTAAAATAACCTAAAGATATGTAGCTCCATATATCTCTATCAAAATCAATCAAGATGTTATTAAACTGCGTGACATTATTGAAAAGCTCTGCAATGTAGTCGTGAGGTTCGATCTGCATGATAAGAGATAAGACTTTGACTCAGAAATCTTAAGAAATTGCATGAACTGCTTTAAAATAATGGTCTACACAAGGAGTGTATGCATTTGTGTGGCCTAATATACTTGCAAAAGTCAGATTCTAAAGATAATCTAGACAATCAACACACCAACATAGTTACACTGAGTGAAAGATAATGCATACAAGTCAGATTCTAATACAATCAACACACTAACATTGTTACTCTGAGTGAAAGATAATGTATACAAGCAACTCCTAAGTATTTGTCCGTTCTTATTCAAAGCCGGTTTTGTTTGAACCTCCCATCCCACTTCCGAATAAAACTGCTAATAGTCTTTGTATGATTTTATCAGTGTCTAATTGCGAGGCTTCCTCAGGTAGAAGCAGAAAATTTTGTGCTCTTGTAAAGCTCCACTGGGTAAAGCAATTCAAAAGAAACTATCTTACTGAAGCAAGCATGTCACAAACATGGCGGTGTGTCGTGAAAATGCATAATTTGGTTAACTATAAATGAGAAGTTTCACAAAGTCTGACAGGCGAATTCTGATAGGCCTCCTAACTAGTAGATTGTGTTATCCATGGACTTTATTACATCTATATCAAGAGACAATCACAGAATAACAAACAAAAAAATGAGGTAGTTGATCAACTGACTATAATCCAGTCAAGGCTAGAATCTTTTTTCAGATCTAGTAAGAAGATCAGCTTCACATTGATCCCTTGGATCACCAAAGTAAATGCTTTAACCAGCTTGAAGTATTTAGAAGATATTTCACAGGGAATGTCAACTGAAGCAACGATGTAATTATTAGCTCAAAAATCTGGGCCAAGGATGTTTGTGACTTAGAGATGTTAAATAATATCATGTTAGGGTTAGGGATGAATTGGTGGGTACTTGTGAGCAACAAGACAAACAATATCAAGATCATGTAATTGCATAACACAAAGAACAATATGTTTTTTCTACCAAATTAAGCATGCTTTTTTTTTTTTTGCCTATTCTGCTTTGTGATCTAGTAATGTACAAGACGTAGAATATATACTTACATGTCTAAGGATGATTGGAAAAAAATTGCAAAAATAACAAGGCGGCATCTTGTAATTGAGCAGAAACTTCAAAGATGTTGCAAATTAAAAGAGAGAGAAAACAGAAGATGAGGTTTTCAAATTTTGAAGGCAAATCTACATGATGATCGAATTTGGAAGATTGAGATTGTCATGTTTTCTCCTGTACAAAGATGTCAATTTGAGTGTTTAAATCAGATGAAATTTCAGATGAGATATGCATCTAAACAATACAATTAGCGGCAAAAACCGAAAAACTTGTAATAGAATAATGAAACACAATACTATAGACTTGAAAAACTCAGCATGACCAGAGGTCCTTTTCCATGTAAAGATACCTTGTCAAAGGAAATGAATTCAATTGCTGCTACTAGTTATTGAAGATAAGTATGATGAAAAGAAATCATTTGCAACAAAAATTAAGTTGGGCAAGATATCTATTAATCTTGAGTGAGTATATAATCATGCAATAATGTATATGAAAAATATACCTGTGTCACATAAGCATTGAAGTCTACTCCTAGAGATTGTACAAATTCTGCAGTAATGCTTTTCCAGTTGATATCAGGGTATGCAACTTTATGAGCATTATAATTTCCAACTGCACCAGCAAACTTGCCCAATACATGAATTTTGGAGAAAGCCTTACCACGCTCACTTAGTCTGACAGCAAAATTTGCCATTTCCTTTCCCAAAGTAGTGGGTGAAGCCGGCTAAACACGACAAAGAAAGAACTGATTAATTTTTGTTTCAGAATGAATAAACAATTGTTTATGGCAAAAATCAATAGCACTAACTGTCCATATTAAGATTGTTCAAAATTTCTTTGAAAATGACAAAAAAATTTAGTGTAGCATTACCTACTCAGGAAAACTCATTGCCAAGTAACCCACACTTTTAGAATGATGATGTTGCCCTCTCATGATCAAGGTTTTAAATTTTACAGTGTGCCCCCACAACATGCTGGCATGGTACCACAGTTTTCATGCTGGCCAGCACAGGTAAGTGATTGGAAACTATTCTAAATAAAATTTCATTGTATAAAGCATGAAACATGTCATAAATTTATTTTAATGAATAAAGTGAGTTTAGATGTTCCTTTCGTCAATGCATCATTAGAGATTTATAAACAGAATGGAACTTTTTAAACTCTAAAATTTTGCAAGAAGTAATTACATCATTGAAAATTTGACAAGAAAGAGATCAACAACTTAGAAACCATAACATCTATTAACCCATTTCTTGACCACATAAAGTGACATGAGCTGTACTGTTAAGTTATCCTAATATTATGTGATTTAACATTTTTAATGTGTTAGTTTCACTAATAAAAGTACCAAGCAAATTTGTATAAGATCTAGAAGAAAGAAAGGTTAATGGAAATTGATATGAGTTATTAGAAGCAAGAAAGGCCAAATGTTTGACACAAAATTTAAAATATTTAACTAGGAAAGACTAAGCAACTTAAGGTAACATCAAAGAAAAAAAACTACATCTCCTCTATAATAGGTGAAGTACCTGCCCATGAGTGCGCGACAGCATAGGAATATGCGCATTTTCCTTTGCCATGACACGTATTGCTTCACATAAATCAACCATGACTGGAAAAATGACCTTGTTCATAGCTTCTTTTAGTGATAATGCATGAGCCAAATTGTTTATATCCTCGGATGTACAAGCAAAATGAAAAAACTCAAGCACCTGAAAGAAGAGTATCACACTAATCAAGAACAACAAAAACACATTGTCATATACTAATATTGTTAAAATCACACGGTAAACAATTTAAGGACAAACAAAACAGCCCCTCCTGGCAGTTAAGAAAATAAAACTAACCTTTTCAATTTCTGGATGAGATTTACATCTTTGCTTCAAATAGTATTCCACTGCCTTGACATCATGATTAGTTATTTTTTCTATTTTTTTTACTTCTAAGGCATCATTTATATCAAAATCATGAATAATTTTTTCCAAGAAAGACTGAGCATCCAGACTGAACTGCGGGACCTCTGTAATTTCTGGGACTTCTGAAAGCTTTAACAACCATTTCACCTGCAAAGAACCATTCAAAACCTACTTAACAAAAGCAGCTAATGTTAACACCAACAGAAAAACCTTATTCCACTTTCCTATTACTGAAAAAAAAAAACTTACTCCAGAAATTATGAGTACATACCACCAGTGCATAATCTTATTTCAGCTTATAAGCATTTTCAAACATAAGAAAAGAGAGAAAAATATTATATTTGATAATAAAACATTGTGGAATTTGGATATTGCATCTATCTGGAAGTAATCAATACCAACATGATATGGACATGCCATCTTCAAAAATCTTGTAAAAGTAGGACAAAACAGTGCATAAAACAGAACAACTAACATATGAATTTTATATTATGATATTTTACTTTGTACAAATTAGGCAATATATGTCATATATAATTCACGATACACATAACCAACATTCATATGAATAAAAGAATTCATAAAAAATACTTCAAACACATACAAGAAACATTGAGGAGTTAATCAGCAATCTGATCCACATATATAAACTCAATTATTTGACATTCTATATATATGTAATAGATTAACATATATAAGTATAATGGTGTAAGACATAGTATGCTCCGATCTATCCAACACAAGTTGAAAAATATTTGAGATTTGGTCACAGACATGGATGTGTAAGCACTTTGAAGTGTCTGTCATGATAAGGATTTAAATTAATCTAATACAAATTCTACCTCCACAATGATATCTTAGTAAGTTCATCACTCGGAAACAATTGTAAGGCTGAAATCATAATGTTTGCATCTGATTGACGATGTTGTGAATTCCAACTCCACAAAAATGTTTGAGTTACTCCTCCAAGTCTACCTCGATCCTGTGTTGCATAAGCCAATATTCAGTCAATGTTCTTCTCCTTCACTAATGTAACAATCATTCTTCCTATGCACTTGGGGGTTGTTTATTTTGCAATAAGTTGAAAAATGATTCTGACCTTTAGCCCCAGACCACTTCTGCAGAACTTGAGTTCCGCTCCAGTGTTTCTAAGGAAGATTTTTCTAAGGCAAACTTCCTCCTCCCCAAACATTTTCGCTACACAAAACTCTAAAAGTGAATCACTTCAATTGTAAGTTCAACTTAAAGGCTGCCACTTATTTTCAGCATTGTCCTTCCTAGCACACCAAATAGCCATCTTAGCAGTCTAACACTTTTGAGTTCTTCTCAGTTCACCACCCTAAAGTAGTTCTCAGTTCAATATATCGTGATATAAAACATAGATGAACAGATGAAAGAAAGTTTCATTGATGGTTAAAGTAACAGATATATGTCCATTGTTTTATAAGGGCGAAAATGGACTAAGCTTATTATGTTACTATAACAGCTTAGGAATAAAAAAGTACACTTCACATATCAAAATGCTCAGGAGGCCTCTACATGAACCAGCCAATTACATAGTAAAGCAAAAGAGGGAGCTAAACATGCAGAATACTAAATACTCACTTATGAGAAGTGACTGTTAGATATATATAACCTTCAGATGCAATGAAGAGTTCCTAAATCTTGTATGCCAAAGATTTCCACAAGTATATTAGGTGGTTCTAGGGCTTCTTATAAGACAATAAAACAATCAATTTATGCACTTTATGCAGAGAACTGAATTAGTATACAACACGGTCTGAGCCATATACACAGTATAGAGTTTAGTACTACATTCCTAATGATCACATGGCATAGTGGCAGAGATATGGACTATTTCAGAGCAGCAGTCATCAGAATAATAAGATCACAAACTCATAAATCAATATGATCACTTGGTTATTGAGAATTTAAAAAGAAGAGGTAGGGACAAGTATATCAAAAACTACCATAACACACTTGGAAACAAATCTCACATATAAAATGATAGAAAAATGAGTGATGATTCAAGAGTGTTAACTGGCCAGTATATCAAACACAGGATAAATAAAATGAAACGGTTGATGTCAATTATACTCGACCAAATAAAAGGTCCAACAGAATTAAGCTTCAAAGAGAGGAAATTGACTTGATTACCAAGCTAGTTGGACTAGAACACTAACCTCAACCAATACTCGGTGACGGATCAATCCATATTCGCTAAAGAATGGGCGTAAGTCCTTGACTTTCTGCATATAACGTCCATCCAACGGTGACAGAGACATTGTACTAGCTGACAAATCCCAATCGGTGAGATTTCCCACATTATTCTTCTTCACCTAAAGAAAACTGAATTCCCTTAGAATCAACTAAAGAAATTGAATGAACCTAATTTAATAAACCATTCGAAAGCCATCTCATTTAACAAAAGAATAAAGCATCCCAACAATCCTAGACCTTCTGGCGTCCCAAAGAAAGAAACAAATAGGTAGGTTTGTAACTCTAAGATTCTTATGGTTCGTAGAGTCGAAGCATGGCATGAGACAATTAGAAACTGGGTAATCCGAGGATACCATGCAAATATGTGTACAAGCCTTTTAAAAGAAGCAGCCTTCTTATGCGACTGCCGGCAGAGAAACAGTAGCTTGCAGGAATGCTAACGCAATGAGTTAAGCTGGGTTGAAAAGGGGCGCAGTCTTTCCGTTTGATAAAATTTCCAAAAGAGCAATCGAAAAGAAGTACCTCCAGGGGAGATGAATCCGTGGAAGCGATGTTCAAGGACGATCGGGGAGGGCGGACGGAGGCGGTCTTCACGAAGACTGGGCCCCATCCCGACCTCGGGCGGGAAGAACTCGGGCCGCCGAGGGACTGGCGCGCGCCTTGGCCCGTGGGAACTCGCAGAGAGGCCACTGCTTCCATCGGCGCGGTCGTGAGGGCGTAGGTACCAGGACAACGGAGGGAAGAAGAGCTGCAAGGAGAGTGTTTCGGAGATGTATTTAGGAACGGAGGGGAGGGGAGGCGGCCGCCCTTTCACCTGTGGCGACTCAACAGCAGGAATGTTCGTAATCCTCCAATGTATCGAATTGGCGACAAGGATGCGGCGCCACTTTATTTATTTATTTATTTATTATTATTATTATTATTTACTTCGGAATAGAATTTTTAGTAAAGAGATATACTTATTTGTTTGCACGTTTCCCTTATGAAAGGTATTAATCGATTTTATTTACGATGTATAAATGATTTATCTGCATACTTTTCTATCCGGTCTATCATATCACCCGCTGCTTACGAGTGATGTAAGATTTCTCGTGCTTGATTGACGGACCACTGTCGATAACTTACTGTCGGCAACAGTATTATTGAGGGGTGCAATTTTCGATGGTCTGTCAGCCAAATCACGAGAAATAGCTACGTATACAATGCAAGCATTGTAGGATACGAAAGCTTTACGATAACAATATTACACCATTATGTGCGGAGGATATAACAGTGCCACTGCCCATGATGGCTACGGTGGCTGCACACTATCGTCCTATGTGGTGGCTACAGTAGCACCATCGCTAACCGCAATAACTGTGTTGGTTGCAGTTAGCCATGGATAGTGTCATTAGACGTTGAAAGTCAACAATATCGATAAGCACGTGTGTGTATGCATAGTCACGTTGCAACGATCATGGGGGTCACTAGGCGACACACGTGCACAACCATGCATGAGCAGGAAGGCCATGAGCACGTGGCAGTTGCACACAGTGGTGACGATAGTGCCTTGTGCATAGCCACAGATGGCTACTGCGACGCCTTATGCAAGCGACGATCGCTCATGACAGTGGTCGTGCCTCCTGCAACAACTATAGTTTTACCTCTTTAAATTTATTTAATTCTAATTTATATCTTTTTAAGAGTTTTATCCTTTAGAAATATAAAATTTCTATTGTATATCCTATAAAAATTTATAGTTTTACCCTTCAAAATTTTAAAATTTATGTCCTCAATTATAAAATTAATTAATTTAATTTATGTTAATCAAATATTTTGATCAGACTTAATTATTAAGTTTATAATGATTCTGTAATCAAATATTGGGATGAAATATAGTTTTATAGACTCCTTAATATTACATATACTTATATCTATGGATCGCTCCATGTTTTTATTTTACTGAAAGGATATATTTTATCACTTTCATATATAATATATTGAGATGTGACTATATAAATCTAATTTATATAAGGTCTCAAGCTATTAATACATTTAAGTATACATAAATGAAGTCGAGAGATAATTAGATTAAAATAGTCAAATTTATTATATTTAATAGGGATGATAAATTTTATGGTAGTTACGAAGAATTCGATTATAATTCTAGTTCTTTTACTAGATTCATAGAAAAAGTAGGGTATTTGTGCTTAGTATATTTTCCCAGATATGTCACAACAACAGAATAGGATTATTGAAAAGTGAAATCATACTCTTATAGATATGGTTAGGAGCATGATGAGTTATTCTTCTATATCTAAATCAATATAAGGAGAAGCTCTAAGACGATTGTGTATATGAGTTCCTAGTAATTTAATTATATCAAATTCTTTTAAGTTATGGACGAATAGGAAACTCAACTTAAGATATTTATATATTTATGATTGTCTTGCAAAGATACGATACGGGTCTTCAATTCACATGAAAAAAAAGAGATTCAATTATTATTTTTAAATATTTTATTATTTATCTAGAAAATTTTAAAAGGGCATATATTTTATTGTCTTAATCATAGTACGATGATAGTTGAATCTGATAATACAAGATTCCTAAAAAATAATAAATCAATAGGAGTAAAAATCATAAAATTTAATCTTGACATTAATGAGATACAAGTTCAATCTAGTAATATAAGATTCCTAGTTAGTACGATGATAATATAAGAATATGATAATACCCCTTTATCTAGAAAATTTTAAAGGAGTATATATTTTATTTTCTTAATCATGATGATAGTTTTTTTTTTATAAGTATCATGATGATAGTTGAATCTAGTAATATAAGATTTCTAGAAATAACGAATCAATAAGAGTGAATATCTCAAAATTTAATCTTGACATTAAGGAGATACAAGTTGATACTCTTTATCATTCAAGAAATTATTGTTACTCATAATATTAAATGATTTGATAAAAATAAATAACAAAATAACATTAGTTAACTCTCATATAATATTGATATTTCTTATGGAACAATCACAATCGATAATTTTAATAATATCTCAAGAAGACTTGTCATTTCTTATTATTATATAGGAGTAAAAAAGGACTTGTCACTATTTTTACAAGTTATTAAAAGTGGATTTTGAAAAGTAATAAGATGTAATAAAAGAAGAGTTCAAATCAATTACCAAAATGGTATTTGAGAACTCGTTAAATTACCAAATAAATATAAAAGAGACTATTATATAAATATCACTGAAAGTGTAATATCAGATAATATAACTAAGACTTATAGTTAAAGGTTTTATTAATAAAAAAATATATCAACTATAACGAGATATTTTTTTATTTTTTTTAAATGAACTCGTTAAGAATTCTCATGACATTAGTAATTTAAAGAAAATAGTCAAATAATAATTAATATTAATTAATAACTTGAGTTCCATTGCTGGTCTATTCACTTGCACTTATAGTCTAAAGTATTTGAAAGAACATATTCTTATGATTGGGTTTGTGAACAACCCATAAAAGATATGGTGATGTATGTTTTAGTGAATATTATAATTGACATTCTTGCTTACATGCTTAAAGTTATTTATTTCTGCTATCTCGTTCACATTTATGTATGTACATATTATGGCTGAATATGATAATAAAATTATCTTAATAAGATAAATTACATGGATCATTTTAAACTACATTAGGAAGAGCTAATAGTATTGTAGTATATAGAAGGAAGTATGATATTGATAATATATAATTACCATGACTCGTATTGCTAGTTAGACTTAATGTAATATTATTATATTTATTATACTTATTGGTCATTTTTCTTAATTCGCAAGCGTACAAATAATTTTTAAATTTTAAAATCTAGTTAGATAAAATTATTTTTAAATATATTTTATTTTATTTTATTTTTTGATTTTGAATCCTTTTTTATCTTACCAATTAATAGAACAAATGAGATAATGTTAAATTATGTTACTCTATCTAATTTGTAAGTATATATTATAGATATGATTGGATTGTTATATCGGCCTATAGAAATGAAGTTTAATTACACTAGGATTCTTTAATAAATATCCAGAGACTCTCATAATTATTTATCGTAGATCATTTACTCTCATCTATAAAAGGACAATACCTTTTAGAGACTCAGTGAATAATTGGATACGTAAGATACATTTACCAAATAATCATTTGATATTATTGAGAGATTATTTATCGTAGATACATGGATATGTGAATAAGTAGGGATATATGAATATGTGACATTATTAAGAGATTACATATCTTCTCTTAATCATGTGAACTAATTAATAAGAGATTATAAATATTCTATTATCTCTTTTTTATCCCAAATCCGAGAGAGGAGAACTCTATAATGCATTTATAGATCAAATAAAGATTTTTTAAGTTATATCGAAAGATATACATCAATAAATTTAAATCTATTATTATTATTATTATTATTATTTAATTTTAGATTTAAATATTAAAATTTTCAGATAAGAACGATTTTTATCCCTTGTGTAGGAGACATTGCATTCTCTTACGAGATACATATTTTGTTCATTTTCGATGCAATAATACTTAAAAATAAATTAGATCGGTCACATTACTTAGAAAATAAGACAAAAATAATACATCAGAAAAGAACGCAGTCAAAATTGGATCATAAACCTCCCACCCATATTTATCTGACGTTTTCTGGTAGAGCACGCTAAGATACACTGAGACAACAATACCTGATGTGGCATTGGCATCTTCTCCTGTGTAAGCTATTCCCGGGCATTAAAATTGGGAGGCCACCCGTTCATTTCCAAGTGAAAGGTAAATATGAGTCCCAAGTGTTCTTTTGGAAATCTCCTCTTCATTCTCGGGAACTACATACGGCATCAACCATTATCCACTTCGTCTGTCTCCAGCTTTTCATATCATATGGCGGCCGACTGGCTGTGACCGGACCATTAGCCGTTGAGATGAGTATTACTACCTCCCATCTGTCATTGGTCAATATATAGTATCATAAATTAGGCGTGAAATCGATGATTTACCATAACATTAAGATTATGATTGGATTTGGTTCTTACAAGGAAACCTTGGATTTTGTTGCTCGGAGCAGTGGACTCCGATGCAGGAAGGTTCATGGGATCCGAAACTATATCCTTTGTATATATTACTCTTACCATACTAGCGCGCGTCATTTATTGTCATCCTCGCTCATCCGCCGTCGCCTCCAAT